GTATTTACTGCCATCTCTGTGGCTTTGGCGCACTCTTCACGACCAACTATATCATTACTTCTTCTGGATATCTTGACAAGCGAAGTAGAAACGATAGATTGACTGGTGTGGGGAATTTGGGAGATCCTGAAAAGCCACCATTTGTGGCATCATAGCGAGCTGCAAAATGCGTGTAAGCTTCCTCTAGCAGGTCCACCTCTAGATCTTCCTCTTGCTCGCTCTTGTTGGCCTGAGACAGATGAATGCCTTCCTCTGCAAATTCACGGAGCTGCCGGGTGATCTCCTTTGCGCTCTCTCGGCATCGTAGTTGCTGCGTGTTCCAGACATCTCTCAGTTTCTCCAGAACATCAACGAAGCCAACTGGCTCTTCTCCACCCAGCTTTGGCAGCGGAGTTGCATTTGGCCCCGGCCAGTATGTACCCCCGAATACAGGCTCAAGATCAGGAGTAAGGAAGACGTTCAGAGGCCAGCCTCCGGACCCAGTGGTAGCTTGGACGTAGTTCATGTACACATCGTCAATGTCCGGCCGTTCTTCCCGGTCCAGCTTGATTGGAATAAAGGATTTATTGAGTATAGTAGCAACCTCAGCAGACATGAAAGATTCCTTTTCCATAACATGGCACCCTGTATGAATCTGTTAGTACATGCATAAAGTCCGGCGATTCCGCAGGTCTGAGTGCCAGCATACAGTGACAAGCTGAATAGCCGATGCTCAGGAAAATTAGCCGGTTAAGCTGTTTTGCCTTATTTATAGCCGTAGAATCCCAGAGCTGCCATGCAACCGGGTTGTTCATGTGGCTACGCACCTGTTAGAGTCGGGGTGCCGTCTATTAGCCCACGGTCCGGGGGGAGGGAAATTATCATATTCATGGGTGCAGAACAAAACATCACATACATACGGAGAGCGACTTTCGCTCAGCCGATTTACCAGCTCGGCGGACGCTGGAGAGCCCGCGGACTCATCTATGCGTTTTCTATGCGTGGCTGTATCCATGCTGCCAGAATGATGGCGATGTTGCTGCTTTGGCGGGAGGTTGATGGACGTTATGGCGGGCTACTCCCGAATTAAAGATGGTATCAGGCAACACGACCGGGGATGCACACACGTTTAACTTAGTTAAGTTGCCTAGGATGTTAAGTTATATAGATTGAGGGCAGGGAATGTCCCGACAGCCGCGCTCATTAATGCGATTTAAGTATACGTGCACCCCGAGGATAATCAGTCAAAAGAGACGATCTTATAGCACCGCCCGCCACGTCGTTATTGGCGTCTTTCTCGGGGCTTTTCGAGCTGTTTAGCGGGCAAAAAGCGGCTTTTTGCTGGGGAAAACATGACCTCATAGCACGTGACCTGGGGAAGGCTGAGATATACAGATAGAGATATACAGATGTGTATGTTCAGTTCTGTTGATATTGTTTATAGATAGAAGAGTACTAGGCTAGCTGCTGTCGTTGAGAAGGTCGTCGAGTTCCCGCTCTTCCTCCTCTGTCAGCATTGATTCCGGGGCAGGTTCCGGGGCGGCTGCCGGCTTCTGCTTCTCCGCATCCTTTGCAAGCTGTATCTCCCTTGGATCAAGAGGCCACTGGCGAACGGTGGCATCGATGCTGACACTTACCACTTTTGATCCCGCAATAAGAAGCCCAGTCACTTCTTCAAAGTGGCCGGAGTAAGTGTGGTGGAGTTCCCCGGTCTGGATAGAGCAGGGAAGGGTTAGCAAGGACAACTTCTCCTCTGGTTTCGCGAAAACATACCGCTCGATCCCACACTCGAACTTCCTCGTCTCGACAGGCCGTGACGACCCACCCCCTGGCCTCGTCCACAACGATATCTTTGACGTAGTCGGGGTGTTCCAGCGCCGTTTCAGACTTCCATCCGCTCTGACGGGTGAGACACCGGGCTATATTATCTGCCGAAGCGGTCCAGAGGTCCCCGTCCTCGTCGAAGAATATTTTGTAGATGCTGGTTTCATGGACCTTGAAGGGATCCGAGAGAACTGCGTCACTCGGGTTTGCCGGAACGGTAAAAGAATGAATCCCCTGCCCGCTGGACGAGCTGAATAGAGTAAGTGGATTACCCTCTGTTCTCGCTATCGGGTCGACTGCCAGGCACTGGATTCCGTGGGTATGACCCTTCAAGACGTGTAATCTTGTTCCGGCAGCGGCATCCCAGATGATTATCTCTGCGTCGGCTCCTCCTGAGACGAGCAGGCTGCGGCCGTCGGCATGGACATAAACTACCGCCTTGACAAAGTCTGTGTGTCCCGTGAATTTGTGGCCAGGTTTACGGGTCTTCACGTCCCAGCTCCAGATAGACTTATCCCAGCAGCCAGCATAGACAGTGCTCCCGTCTGTAGAAAGACAGATAGAGGGCAGCGGGGCAGCAGGGCCTCTGTAGACTGCAGCCGACTCACCCGTCTGAATTCCAATTTGATTTTAGTCTCTCGTCCCTTGGGGTATGCTGTCCTTAAGGGGTATAGCTCACCTACTTCTAGGATAAGCTGTCTGGCAGTCCCAGAGCTCTCTGCGAGGAACACAGCATCGTTCCTCGTAGGATCTGCTGCTATGGCCAGTATCTTACTCTGCAGCTTGATAGGGCTTCCATTCGAGTTCTTCGACTTTTCTCGCTTTCTCTCAGCGTTCTCCAGCTGTGCCCTAGAAACCAGTCAGTCCTGTACAACTACTTCACTATAGCCCACTAACAATAAGCTCTTACGTAGTTTGAAAGAAGTAGTCTCTATTCGACGTCTGCATGATGGTCCCTTTTCGCGTCACTTTTTCTCCTTGCTTTTTTCTGTGTATTTTGCTCTGCTCTTCCTCGTCTTCTTCCTCGTCTTCATCTTCATCGTCGTCTTCTTCCTATCAAAAAGAAAAGGCTGCGCTCTTGGCCCATCTGCCCCGCCGTAGGCTTCGATCCTGACCAAAAACGGCAAAAACCAACTTCAACCTCCAACTTCGCCTCGTTCTTCGCGCTTTTCAACTTGTCACCAACAACGCCGCAAACACTTCTCACGTCTCTCACCTTCACTCTTCTTCTGCCCGCCCGTTTCCTACTCTTGAGTCCGTTCTCTTCTTCCGCTTGTTCTTAGTTCTGTTTCTCTTCGCTTTCGCCGCGCGGATCCGCGCACCGTCATCATGGACATGAACAATTTTATTGGGTATGGAGCATAGCGAACTGCTAAGCCTGAGCTACTGAGAAAGCTGTACAAGAGCTAATAGGGTCTATTCTAGTCGGCGATTCAACCTCATTTCGATGAGCGATATTCGGTAGGCCACCCTGATTACTGCTATATCCTCCGTGGGGTCGACTTTTGGCTAATTTGGCATTTTGTTAGTTACGTTGGTACTCTGCACGACATCAACCCCGAGGCTTCAACGATTGCACTTGAGAACGTCGTATCGCATGGCACTGAAGGCAGACGTGGCAATGCATCGGATGAGGTCCCTCCAACTAGTTGTGTTTACGAATACATTGTTTTCAGAGGCAGTGATGTGAAGGACATCAACTTTGCCGACAATGAAAAGGAGAACCAGGCTCCAGAACCGCCGCAGGTGCCCAATGACCCTGCTATACTAGGTGTAAGTAGTGGACCGTTTACCTCACTTCTGAAGCCTGCAGCTGTCATTTTCGCATTATCCTTTGTTTGTATGCTAGGCATGGGACAAGAGCATACATACTAAGCAAAGTGTGAAGCTTATCATGATGTTACTCATGACTTCACGCTGATACTTCACATTATCCGTGTGAAGTCAGTATTCAGAACATTGGCTAATAACTATGTGTTTTGTATTAGACTACGGCTCCTCCGCGCCAAGCTCAGGCTCCCGCAACCGCCCCAGCTCCTGCCCAGGCTGGCCGCGGTCAACCAGCTCAAGTTCCCCAGCAACCTCCCCGACAACAGCCACCACCTCCTGGCTATCCTCAGCAACCGCCATATCCTAATTACTACAATCCTTATGGACAGCAGTTCCGTGGGCCTCCCGGTGGCCCTCCCGGATTCCCTGGAGCACCTGGCCCTGGCCCTGGCTTCCCAAATATGCCTTACGGACAACAAGGCTGGTATCCTCCCCCAGGTCAAGGCTTCCCACAGCAACAGGGCCCATTCGGACCACCCCAGATGCCAATTGGCCCTCCACGCGGACCTCCAGGACAGCAACAGCAGCCTCCGCAGCCGCCTCCGCAGCAACAGCCACAACCCCAGCAACGTGGAGCAGAGGGGGCTCCAGCCTCTCAGAATGCCCCAATGCCAACTTCCGAACTTCCTGGTGGTGAAAAGGCTCCAAAGAAACCTACAACCCCTGCCCCGGCCACCGCTGCGCATAAGGATAACCAGCAGCCGCCCCAAACCAAACCAGAGGCTTCCACCACCCAAAATCAAAAGCCAGCTCCCGCCAAAGCACCTGCCCAGCCCTCCTCCGAGGCCACTACAGCTCCCAAGAATGAAAGAATTATTCCTGCTGTCCCTGTTGCTGTGCCCCTAAAGCCCACTGCTCAGGTTACTGCATCCGTCGGCGTTGGCCAACAGCCAAACCGAAGTGCTCCAAATGCTATGGAGGAGGCAACCCGAGCTGCTACTGCTGCTGTCGCCGCTGCAATGGCAAAACTGCCACAGCCCGCTGGATCCCAGCAGCAGCAATCTACAAACGGCTCCGTAGAGGCCGTTACTAAGAAGGTTAATGAAATGCGACCGTTTGATGGTGAACGTCAGTCGAGAGGCGGCCACCGTGGCCGAGGTGGCCACCGTGGACACCACCACCACCATCAGCAGGTCAAGAAGATCGAAGTTCCTGCTACCGATTATGACTTTGCATCTGCGAATGCGAAATTCAACAAGCAGGATCTCGTCAAAGAGGCTATTGCTTCCGGATCACCATTACTTGAAGCCGAAGGAAAGGCTCAAAGCATAACTTCCGAGGCCAATGGAGCCGAAGGCGGTGATGTCTCCAGTGCCGCATCTGGTCATGCTACCACTGTTGTATATGACAAGACCTCCTCGTTCTTCGATAACTTATCTAGCGAGATGCGTGATAGGGAAGAAAACGCCCGGAACAAGACCAGCGGCCGTGAATGGCGCGGTGAGGAAGAAAAGAAGAACATGGAGACTTTCGGACAAGGAAGCGTTGACAGCGGATACCGTGGTCGAGGCCGTGGCCGTGGACGAGGGTTTGGCGGACGAGGCAGAGGCTATAACCGTGGCTATGGGGGTAACCGTGGCAGAGGCGGCTTCCGCAATGGACGAGTTGCTGAATCTACCGGGGTTCCGTCCGCTTCTTAAGAAGGTCACCACTCCTACCATCGAGACCGTCATGGCCCCCCTTTTCCGCCTTTATCTTCCCGTCCTCGGTCCCTCTTGATGTGTCTTCTTCAAACTGGCCGTCTGCCTACTTTGAATACCTCTACAAGTTTCAATCTGCTCTTTTTGTAGCGAAAGAATGATATCACGCCCCGTCCCCTTGGTTTGGTCTTGGGTTGGTATGCGCAAACCACCGCGCATTTCTCTTAGCTGCCTTACCCTCCCCTTTTCTTTTTTCTGCATGGCGCATTCGGTGGGTGTCTCTTATGGATTTTATTCAAGGTTGGCCAGGTCGATGAATGATGCCACTGAAAATGATCGTACCGTTGTTTCCTTCTCTTATCCCCTCTCTCCCCATGACTCTATGTCTCCCATGGCTCTCTTTTTCTCTCTTCTTTCTTCATCCTCCATTTCCCAGAAAAAAAACCCAATAATATGCAATCTCTGCTCCGGCATTTGTTACCCCCTTTTCTCCTTCAACGCAAGACCATCTATTATCTATTCTTCGGTCGACTTCATCACGAGCCATCCCCTTCTATTTCTATCCCATACAGGCGATTTTTCCTACTTTTGATTTCGATTCTTGTCTAGATAAAAGGTGCTTCATCCACGGTCATTAGCAGTGGACACAGGAGATAGCTTGTATCATATCCAGGGGCTTAAAAACCGCCTACACAAAAAACGACAAAAAACAAAGACACAGCCTATCGGCTTCTTTGTACCTCTCGTCCTCTTCTGACCTGTATATTCATCTTCTATATTGTTTACTTCGGCTGTAGATGTATTTTGTTTGTTCCTTCGACTAGTCAATGGATCTGGCAGTGCAGCACGTGAACTGCGCGCGCCCAACAGCCGCGGCTCAACTTTGCTTTCCAACGAAACAACAAGCAGCTTCGCGAGAGAAAAGACAGCCCGGGCAAGTTGCCATGATACGCTCGCTGAGGCCCTGGAAACACAGTTAAACGCCCGATGGTCCTGTGTGCGATGTTCGTTATATTCTCCTGAGAGATAATTGACCGTTACATGGGCACACACAGCCCTCCATGCGGCTTGCGCTCTCCCGAGTCTGCGCTCACGACTACGCTTCCGCTTGATCTCCCTATTCTTATCCACATTCCTCAAGTCCGAGTCTCATGCAGGGACTAAGCTGTTATAATAACCCATGAATCATGTCAGACTCAGTTGGTATGTGTGCACCTTGGTCCTCAGCTATGTTGGGCATCGTGAAGTGGCTCGGCGTTCAACCCTCGGCTAGTGACAACTTGCTAACGGACTACACATCTGTCTCCTAGACCGAGTCTTTGTCCATGCGCTTAATACCGTGAAGAAGATTCCCCGGACGGGGTCGGCTAGGCCACCGACGGCCGATCGATTGAAGCTCTATGGATTATACAAACAAAGCATGGGTATGGTTTGACGGTTACCCTGTTCCGATGCGCTGTGAAGACTTTTGGATGCAAGGCTGACCACCGGAATTGTTGGTAACTTTAGAGGGGGATGTGGAAGGAGTAATGGATCGACCGGTCGGTGATGCCGACGTCCAGGCTGAAAAAGAGAAATGGTAAACCTACACCTCGTTTGGCGAACGATATACTGGAATTCATTGGCTAATCTTATTCGTTTGCTGTTAAAGGGACTCATGGTATGCGCAACGGAACTTATCACGAACGGAGGCGAAACGACGATATATAACGACACTTATAGAGACCATGCATCGATATGCGTCTCCTACTCCGGAGGCACAAGAGCTTATATCCGAACTTGAATTTGTTTGGGACCAAATCAAGTCGAATACTTCATCTTCATTCTCGAATCCTGACCAGGGCTTGAGCGTGTCTGGCCCTACCCGAATGCCGTCACAAACCAGCTACGACAACACGGGGAGTAGGATGGCACGACAAGACTTTGACGAGGCAGGGAGGGGCTCTCAGTTGCGAGTACTGAGCCCTGTAAGTCAACCGGACGGAGGCTCAAGGCGGCACCGCTACGGAAGCCATTCTGAAAAGGAGAACGATCACGGCCCCCGAAATAGAGGCGGTGATGATGCCGAAGACGAAGAGGACGCAGACCAAGATGAGGATGAGGAGGAAGAAGAGTTTCAAGAAGCTAGGAATAGCTTTTATGAGAACCAGGAATCAGGCGAAGACCCACGGCTCCAACATCCCCCAACATTAGGCCATAAATATTACCAACGATGGCAGAAACGCGTTGAGCAGGCCTTAACGAAGATGACCGTCGAAGTAGCTGCCGTAAGAGAGCAGCTAGAAGCCCGCAAAGCATTCGAACAGAGGAAATCCGGAATATGGTCCTGGATTAAGTGGTTTGCTTGGGTAGCTGTACGGCAACTCTGCTGGGATCTTGCTCTGTTAGCAATTCTTCTATTATATGTCCGCATTCGGGATGAGAGACGGCTTGGAAGAACACTTAAATCAGCCTGGCTTGAGGTAAGGCAAAGATTATCCAGAGTTCGAATATTCCGCCGGCGGTCACGTTAGAATAAAACATCCCTCTCCCTCTCCTTTTTTCACTTCTCTTGGAACTGTTTTATTTATTTTACTTTACACCAATATAGAGACGAAGCTTTTATTATCATACTAATGAATTATATTGAAAGGAGCTTTATATTGATAGACGGGGATGAAATACAGGCAACAAATACATAAACACATCACTTCGTATCCCTATTTCTAATAAGCTAGAAATATATATAAAGTAAAAACACCATCAGGGAGAACATTATTTTGGTTCAATAAGGAGTGAAGAAATATGCTACAATGGGAAACGTTTTCCCAGAACGCCACATGCATGCCTAACATCGGTGCTCATTATCTTTTGCAGGACAGCAACAGTCCCTCGGTGAAACAGGTAGAGAGAATTGAATTAGACTGACATCTAAGCATCATGTCAAGAGGAAGGAAGTTGGGGTATATAAAAAGCGCCTAAGGCGGCTCTGGGAGGACATCATAGAGCACAGTAATGCAAATAGCTCAGATAGCTACCCGGCTCAAGGGAAGTAAGTGACTTAATCTTCTCCGACATATTTGAACCAGTTTGGCCGGCAATCTTCGAGCTGGAGGAATGGTTCTCCTCGGTAAAATAGACCGGCTTCACATTCCCTGCATTTAGGGGAGTTTGGGCAGTTCAGGAATGGGATATGGTTATATCCAATATCTCGGAACCTAATGTTAATACAAGTTAGAAATCTGCCAGTAAGAAAAGATACAAAGGTGTTTTTACCAATGAATTTTGCTTTTATCGGCAAACAGGCCCAGTCCAATAGAATGAACGGGGGCGTCTCCCCATCGTTCATAGAAGAATCCTCCAGCCTGATCAAGATGGTTGAAGTAATCTTCATATTCCTTGCTTCTCCAGAAAGACAGGTCACCTATCTCAAAATTCGACCAAAAGTGGCAGGTCGAATACCCATTTGCTTTCTTGGTATGTTCCGGCCTTTGTTTGTTGTCCGTTAACCAGTCCATGGCATTATTCTTATGTACGTATCCCGGGTGCTTTTCGAGAAACTTGAGAGTTTCAGGCCATAAGCCTGGCATAGTCTCTGGCGCATCATACAAGTTGATTGTAAAGCCGTAGGTCTTGTTCCTGTCTTGCATGTATCGGAAGACATCATAGTCCACATCGCAGAAGAAGCGAACCTTAGGCTCAACACGCCAGTAGTACTGCATATCCGCTAGGGCAGGGTGCTTATAAAACATCCCACTGTTCCAGCGGCACATCTTGTGGTAGGAGAGCACGGTGCTATATTGTATGCCATTTGCCTCCATGGCCTTGGAGGCGGTTTGGTATTTATCCATATCTATCCAAGACGGAACATCCCAGTGCTCTTTTGGTACGATTTCTATAGAGAAATGTGACGCATATTAGTACTCATAGAACCAGCCGCACAGCAGTTAGAGGCCGTATCCAACAGCATACCGTAATTGCACTTCGCTTTCGTTTCCGCCTGCGTCCTCCTTTTAAACTCCTCTGTAAATGGCTTGTCATTGAAAAACGTCCAAGGATAGTTAAATTTTGAGTTCCACGTCCGCTCAAGTTCTTTCATAGTTGGAATCAAGTCATCCAACTCCTCGTTCCGTACCAGAGAAATGAGTGATGCCTTTATTCTAGCGGAATTTGGATTATCGGGACTGTAGTCGTCTCCCTGCGCCCTCCATAGCGGCCCATCTGGCTCGCCAGTCACTGAAAGACGTCAGAACATTGTTGGTACACGGAATATACTTAGGGAATCTCACATTCTTTCAAAGGTTCGCGCTTAAGCCCGTTGTCATATTTATGTCTCCGGATTGGCGAAAGGGGTAGGGATGGAGAACTAGAAGTCTGGTAGATAAGAAGCAAAATTAAAGCAATGCCGACTCCTATTATCAGTCTGACCGGCCTCGCGACAGCCATGTTGATAATGGACACGCAGAATGTTATGCGCTCTTATGTTTAACAGAGAAGTATTAAAATATTTTGATACCTGCAGCCTGCATCGAGATGATGCTATCTCGATCCCGGCACGTGACAAGGAGATTAATTAAGCTTTAGCGTCCTCACGTGACTGGGACATCGCGCGTCACGGTTGTTTTTTGACATATAACGAACTCGCATCGCGATTGACTTGACATTCAATCTTGGGTATGCAAAGGAGGCTTGTTCTTATCTGAGGATAATAGATTCCAGAGAAGCCAAATGACTGAACTATAGCCGAAATGGTCACCTCCTCAGCCCAAGATTTACTGGCAGGATTTGGGCGACATTCATCCTGCGCAATTCTTGTGTCTCAGTTATAGATCAGGGGATCCATAACAATGTCTATTTCGCTTCGAATAGGCGCGTTGACTGACGAGTTGGTAGCAGCTGTCGCCAAATCATCAGATAAGGTATTTCGATTGCTTAACACTACGTTTGTGTGATCCATTTGGGTCTAACCTGGTAATAGAACCCATTAACCACAGTGCGAAGAGCTGCTATTGAAAGGAAAATCAAGGATAATTCCTATTTAAAGACGAATAAATTTGAGGTTATGAAAAGCCTTGATGGCCTACTAGAGAAATTTCAGGTCGTCGGGAATGACGAGCTATCAGATGCACTTCATCAAAGGCTAGAAGAATTGGACCAAAAGAGATTGAATTTGGCCCCTGAAATACTATCTCTTCTGTTACTTCTCTCAGACAATCCGGCCACCCTTACAGACTTAGAGAGTTTGAAGGAATTCTCACTACCGAAAACCCCTAAGATTTTACAATGGGCAGACCTCAATGACTCAGAGTTAAATGAACCAGACGATCTCTGGAAGGATATTGATTACGCTGCGGAGTCTTCTGATGATGATATATCTTCGGTATCTAGCGGTGTTTCAATTCCAAAAATTGTACCGCATGGCTCAACAGTTCCTCTAGAAGAGTTCTACCCTTCTGAAGACTTATTTATAGATGTGCAAGACGACAACTTGATAGCCTCTATTATCAAATCACAGGCTGTCTCAGGACGAGCAGATGCTGAAGTACCTTTGGTGACTGAGCTTCATATCGTTAAGGATGCCATATCTATGCTTCGCGGTCTACCAACATCAACCTTCTCAATTCATGATGATAAAATTGGGATCAATCGGAATGTTTCCTTATCTCATACCTCCCAAGTTGCATTCCAAAATTTGATAGGGTCCTTCCGCAATATCGGAACTTCCATCCAAGCTTTAAGGTTGTTTTTGAAACGCCCACAGCGAGTTCCATTTATGCAGACTTTCCAGAAGGAAGTAGAGGCGTTGGTTTCATCGTTTGATAGATATCTCTCCAATGAGCAATCGCATTATCTATATCAACCTACGCCTCTCTCTGTCAGCCTCTTGCGTCTGCTTCACAAAGTCAGACGGCGTGTTAAGGTACTACTTGAACTTGCTCGTCTTATCGATAAACTAAATCAAAATCGCAGTCGGGAAAACTTCCGCTGTTTAGATTTACTCTATGACTTAGTGTGCGAAAAACAGGCAGCTGGCGAGGATGGACAGTACCGGGAAATATCCAGGCTATTTTTTGCCTGTTTTGAGAACTATACAAAACCAATTCGACGTTGGATGCAAACAGGAGATCTGGATGTAGCCCAATCGTCTTCCTTCTTCGTCAGCACCTCGACCAACTCACGCGATGACCTGCAGACACTATGGCATGACTGGTTTAGCCTAAACTGGCAGTCAGGGTGTTTATATGCTCCGAAGTTCCTTCACCCCTCGTCAAAGAAAATATTCACCACTGGGAAAAGCCGCGTATTCCTTCGACATCTCGGTATTGAGCCCCTAACCACCAACCTGGCTGATCCTTCCTTGCTACATTATGATGCAATTTGTCCTTCAAACCAATCGTTATCATTATATCCTTTTGCCGGCCGGCTGGATGCAGCGTTTAACCAGCTTGTTGACACCAACCACATCCAGGCCTCCTCACTGTTGAAATCGGAGCTTGATGAGAAATGTGGTTTATGGCAATCATTCGATGCTCTAGAATACTTATATTTAGGCAAAGATTACGGGAGGTACTCCGTCACAGACTACAGAGTATTTGATCTGATAGATCGGGGTAGTCGATCCTGGAATGACCGTTTCCTTATTACAGAGTTCCTCAGGCAAGCTTTTAGCGGCTTGCCGTGCATCGATGTCACAAGGCTCATCGGGCGTTCAGCAAAGATACCGCTCCATGTTTTTGATAGCCACAGTCGGTCCGTTCAAATCCTCAAGGTTATCTCTGTCGATTACACCCTACCGTGGCCGGTTGCGAATATCGTCACCAAAGATTCCCTAAATATATACAAACGAATTTCACTACTACTAATGCAATTGCGACGAGGGAAATACACGTTGGAGAAACGTTGGTTTACAAAGCCACATTTATCTCCAGATGATGAAGAAGAGAGAGCTGATCGTGTCTTAAGTTTTTGCGTTCGACACCGCCTATTGTGGGCTTTAAATGTCCTTTACCATCATTTTACTGAAGTTGTCATTGCTCGTGCTACCCGCGAAATGGTCAAAGCCGCCAAGGCCTCAGCAGATGTTGATTCTATGATTGAGATACATCAGTCCTATATCAAAGCTTTGGAAGCGCAATGTCTTCTTAGTAAAGATTTTGCGCCTATACATCACGCATTGATATCTTTACTGGACCTATGCATATCATTTTCTGACACACAAGTTGCTCGCAGCCTTGAGTACCAACAAGATCAAAACGAGCAGTCATTGGGCACAATACGACTGGCACGGATGGCTAGGAAAAGGCTGATTGAAGACGAATCCGATGGCGAATCCGACATGGAAATATCCATGTTTGAGGTTGGGAATGCCACAAGCATCTCTTTTTTCGACGAATCCTACCATCGTCGTGTTATGCGCGTAAAATCAAAGTTCGATAGCCTCTGCTCATCAATCAGAGCTGGACTTAGGGTCGATCACGGTGATTATTCGCAGAGTATGGAGACTCTAGCGGATAGTCTTGAATGGGGCTGACGCGAATCCAATGCTTCTCCATTAATACTTTTAACTCGATGAGATAATTGACTTTAAATCTTTATTTCTCATTTTTAGAGAACTTTTGCTAAAATTGGTCGTATATACACAACTCTTAACAATAGAACGGCAAATATGGCATATAGTATGAAAATACCACCCGAAGCGTACAGACAAAACTGCGAAGTGCTCCTTTATTTGCATCAAACTTTCCTTTTCTATTGGCCATTTTTTGTCTCACTGGGTCCAAAGATCTACATTGATAGATAGAAGCGGCAAAATTAACCAACCCATCTTCTAGCACTGAAGAATACCCTACCCCATGGACCAATGTTTCCCCATTCCTCACTCATGGCTTTGTCTCCGGGGAACCAGCTGCCAATACCGGCCATAATGGTGCGCTCGGGGTGAGGCATGATTGCAAGCACCCTTCCGTCTGGCGAACGTACACCAGCAATAGCTTCAGGGCTACCATTAGGGTTGAATGGATATCGCATAGTTGGCTCAAGGCTTGTGTTGTCAACATAACGAGCCGGGGCAAGCCCATGCTTCACAAGTTCCTTGCCGTCCATTCCAGGGGTATCTTCAAAAGATGCTCTACCTTCTCCGTGGGCAACGGCAATAGGGAGAGAAGAGCCATTCATGTCATGGAAGAAAACGGTTGGAGGGATGTCAGTTGGTTCCGAAATGCGAACCATGCACACGCGACCTTCATACTGCTCACTGGCATTCCGCTCAAAGCTTGGCCATATTCCAGCACCTGGAATCAGCTCCTTAAGGCGACCAAAGAACTGACAACCGTTGCAAACTCCAAGAGCGAAAGTATCGGGTCTTTCGAAGAATGACTTGAATTCTTCGCGTGTCTGCTTGTGCAGAAGTACCGACTTGGCCCAACCACGTCCTGCTCCGAGAACATCACCGTACGAGAAGCCACCACATGCGGCCAAGCCTACGAATGAAGAAAGAGAGACCTTGCCAGTGAGGATATCGCTCATGTGGACGTCAATGGCAGAGAAGCCGGCCATGTTGAAAGCAAATGCCATCTCAGCATGGCTGTTCACTCCTTGTTCACGGAGGATTGCTACCCTTGGACGGGTTGCAAAAGGCGAGAAGCGAGAAGTAAGGCTGGTCATCAATGGTAGACCTGTTTCCTTGGGGTTGAAAGTCAAGTTGTACGATAGACCAGCGTTGTTGTCATCGAGAATATTCTCGAATTCCTGGTCAGCAGCGTCTGGGTTGTCTCGGAGTCGCTGCATGCGGTACGAAGTCTCGGACCAAGCCTGTTGCAGGCGAGAGCGGCTCTCTCTGTATATTAAGGAGGCTCCATGGTAAATAGCCAAGTTCTGCTTCTGCTTCTCCGCGACACGGCCAATTCTGTAGATCAAGCCAGGTGGTGGGCCACAGGTTGCAAAACAGCTTCTGAACTCGCCCTCATGAGCCTTGCGGACCTGGAAAACGGCGCCCAGTTCTTCATTAAATAAGGTTTCAATGGCATCTTTGACATTGGGGCTGGCACATATTTCATCCAACATGATCTGGGCTCCGCATCTTCCAGCAAACATCATTTCGGCAATGGTTGTGAAGAGACCACCATCCGAGCGGTCGTGGTAGGCAAGCACGATTCCTGCTTCCTGGAGGGACTGTGTCGCATCAAAGAAGTCTTTGAAAAGTTGTACATCCCGAATGTCAGGGCATTCGTTTCCGACTTGTCCAAAAACTTGTGCTAGAGCCGAACCTCCCATGCTCTTGCGGCCGGATGAGAGATCAACGAACATCAAGACAGTTTCACCAACTTCCTCGAAGCTTCGCAGAGCGGGAGTCCATGTGTTTTTGATATCCTGAACAGGTGCAAATGCAGAAATAACCAAGGACAAGGGAGCAGTAACCTCCTTGGACTGCACAGATTCCTGGTCACTCCACTTCATCTTCATGGACATGGAGTCCTTTCCAACAGGAATGCTTATTCCCAACTTTGGACATAGATCCATGCCAATGGCTTCGACAGCCTCGTAAATAGCAGCGCCCTCACCTGGGTGGTTGGTGGCGGACATCCAATTAGCAGAAAGTCTGACACGACTAAGCCTCTCAGGCAAGTCTGCGGCAGCAATGTTCATCAGTGATTCAGCAACAGCCATTCTTGCCGAGGCAGCTGGAGAAATGAGAGCAAGAGTGGGTTTCTCGCCCATAGCCATGGCCTCTCCAGTTTTCATTCCAAGAAGCAATGAGGTTGCAGTGACGGATACATCTGACACAGGAGTCTGCCATGGTCCGACCATTTGATCTCTGGCGGTGAGAGCACCAACGGTTCTGTCACCAATAGTGATAAGGAAGGATTTGGAACCAACCGCTGGAAGATGGAGAACTCTATCGACGGCTTCGGCCATCAACCCTTGTTCTGGAACGGAAGGGAGGTAAGTCTTCAGGCTAAAATCAAAAGATGGAAGACTGAGCTTTCTCGAAGAGACAGTCCTTGTCAATTTGGGCGGTTTGCCAAATAGAACAGACAGAGGGAGGTCAATTGGCTTTGGATATTCCTTGGAGTCCTTATCGAGCAGAACAAGCCGGCGACTTTCGTCCGGTTGCCCAAGGCCGCGACCAACAACAGAGTAACCACATCTCTCACGGTTTGCGATTGTGACGAAGTTGTTCATGCCCTCCTCTGACACTGCCATAACATATCTCTCTTGGGCTTCGCAACACCATATCTGCATAGGGCTCATACCCTTATCTGCATTGTCTATCTCACGAAGTTCGAACGAAGCTCCAAGGCCTGCATCGTGGATAAGTTCGGGCAAAGCGTTAGATAATCCTCCGGCACCGACGTCGTGGATAAACTTGATGGGATTATCAGCTCCCATGGCAACACAGGCATTGATAACCTCCTGTGCTCTCCTTTGAACCTCTGCATTTCCACGCTGCACACTTGCGAAGTCTAAATCAGCAGATCCTTCTCCAGAGGCGATGCTAGAAGCTGCACCTCCTCCAAGTCCAATAAGCATGGCCGGACCTCCGAGTACTATCAGGTAAGATCCCGGCTTAACTGCATGAGGATTTTTCAGAGCATGCTGGGGACGGACAGTACCGACACCACCGGCAATCATGATAGGCTTATGATAGCCTCTGATCTCAGACTCTCCATCGCTGGTGTCGACTTTAGTCAGAAGGGTTCTGAAATAGCCTCCTGTGCATGGTCTGCCAAATTCGTTATTAAAAGACGCGCTTCCAATGGGAGCTTCGAGCATTATGTCTAGACTGCTTGCAATGTGGTTTGGTCTTCCGACATCGAGCTCCCAAGGTTGTCTGTGGTCCGGGATGAGCAAGTCCGAAACACAGAAGCCACAAAGACCGGCCTTTGGTCGGGATCCTTGACCTACAGAGCCTTCATCTCGAATCTCACCGCCGGAGCCAGTGGCAGCCCCCGGGAAAGGCGAGACGGCCGTTGGATGGTTATGGGTTTCCACTTTAGCTAAAAAGTGAACTTTCTCCTTTGTCTGCACCCATTCTCCAGTAGCATCTGGAGCCCAGTGTCCGGCTTCTTCTCCCTCTAGAACCGCTGCGTTATCACTATACGCGCTGACCGTATAATCAGGGTGTTGCTTGTGAGTATTTCGAATCATGCCAAAAAGAGTATTCGGCTTTTCCTCCCCGTCTATGACCCACGATGCATTGAACTGCTTATGACGGCAGTGCTCAGAGTTGACCTGGGCAAACATGAACAGCTCCACATCGGTAGGAGCTCTCGAGATTGGGCCTCCAGCCGCATAAGCGTCAACAAGGTAGTCAATCTCCGAGGAATCCAACGCTAGGCCGAGACGCTTGTTTGCGTCCTGAAGGATCTCTCGGGGAGATTTCTCTCCATCCTTGAGAGATACCACTTCCAATGGGGCAGGGGGCTTCTCAGCAAACATAGCCTGGAGGTTAGGTTCCTCCGTGCTTATGACCTGAGTCATCCTATCATGCAAAACATCTAGGCTTGCTGCATCCAGGCTGTCGACCCCTTCGTCTACAAGACACGAGATTCGGAGTCCACGCTCGATGCGCTTAAGGCACTTTTGAAAGCCACAGACGTGGGCAATTCCAGTGGCTTGGGAGCTCCATGGCGAGATGGTGCCGACTCTTGGGCTAACATAGTAGGTGAGAGACCGACCATCTTGAGGCCCAAAGGATCCGGGAGAATCTGCTATATCTCCGTACCGCAGCAGCTGTTCCAAGTTGGTGGGCTGGTTGTCTTGCAAAGGCTCTGCAAGGTGCAGATAATGCACCCACTGGGCCCGGATAGCCTTAGCATTGGTGTTTGCCGCAATACCACGACATCGAAACTCGGAGAATGCAACGGATCCGGGTAGAGTCAGGAATAGCGAGTCTGATGAAGCCATTGTTGAGCTTGTATCAAACGAACGATCGTGCAAAGCTGGAGTATAGCAAAGACCGATGTACTTTGCCCCGCGTCAACCAGCTGTGAGTGGATAGTTAAATTGGCAGCTCTGACCAACCTAAACTCAAGGCGCAGAGGATTGCAATGTCAGTTGATAACCAGAATGATAATCAGGAAGTAACGAAATAATCCCCCATAGGATCCATCCTCTCTTGTTGAGGTCAGAAATCGGAGTCATTTCTCGTCTTCTCCCGCACCTTTTTTTTTCCCCTCTCAATTTTTCTTTCTTATGGCGGGTCTACGAGGAGTCACATGATGATAAAGATCTGATAAGCTGGATTTGGCTTAGCGCGGGGCATGGTAGCTATTCTTAGCTTGTTTGCTTTGTATGCTCTGTTTAGCATATTTGCATATATTTTGTGCAGCTTATAAATAGTCTTCCGGATTAATATTAATACCCGTCCGTTTAAGCTTTCGGAATGGATTTACATTATTGCCTTATCCCGAGTTTCATCCGAACCTTTCTGCTTACTAACAAGCCCTCGGTAATAACTCGGCTGCTTTGCTCTATCAAAAAAATCTTTTAACAGCAAGAAAAATTCTTTCAAATCGTCATAAGAAAAGAGAAAATATGCAATATCCAGCAAACAGACCGCAGTGTGTCTACAAGGCAAAGATACTGAGTAACTTCAGATCAAATCTATACAAAGATACTCGGGAGCTTGTCGCAAAATCGTGCCTGACCTTAGTCATTCATGTAAGCGCGGCCGTGCAATGCACCCCATCCAGATCAATATGATGAGCAGCCTCAGGGGCGACTTTGAGTCGCTAGACCGCCGCAGCTCCTGCCCAGCCGGGTATACGGCTCACCTCTTATATATACCATATCTGCTGCTCTCCGTCTTGAGCTCTTGAGCTTGAATCCGCCTGGTCTGTTCTCTGGACTTTATTCGCCCGGAGCCCGATCTTATCTAAGGCCGAGGATCGATCTCTGATCTCCACCAGAACCGAAGTTTTGCCGAAGACACTCAAAGCAATGTTTGGCTGTTTGGCTGCAGATGAAAAATCTACAATGTGAACTGTGGAAAGGTCGGCATGGAATTGCCGTGCAGGATAAGATGTTATATATACTGCGTGGTATATATATGTCGACATTCCCCCAGGAGCTCGATACCCCCTTTCACTTCCTGTGTTACTCCAAGCAGCCTCTTTCTGTCCCCCTTTTCTTTTGCTTGCCCTTAACCAGAGGAACCTTGCATAACCATGGCGAGTTCATCCAGCTCCTCATCACTAGCCCTGCCTCGTCAACACGCTCCCCCGGTCCCTGCTGGAGCTGAGGCTACAGACTTGCCCTACCGCGAGCTACAATCAACAGCCAATTTCGAAGAGTTCACGGCAGAGACCACTAGCGGGCAAATACTCAAGACTGTCAAGTCAAATGCCACAGGGAAGATCGAAGATTATAAGCTTGTTACGTTCACGGTTGGGGACCCGGAGAACCCAAAGAACTGGAGCAAAGCGTACAAATGGTACTGTACGATGGTGGTGGCTTTGACATGCTTTGTGGTCGCCTTCTGCAGCAGTGTTATCACATCCGACTTCAAAGGCCTTATGGAGGAGTTTGACATATCTCAGGAGGTCGCTTTGTTGACAATTACCGTCTTTGTTATCGGCTTTGGTGTTGGTACGTCTATTGCTGCTTGTATAACACATTAGGAGGAATGTGCTGATTGATTATCAAACCCCTAGGCCCAATGGTTTTCTCGCCAGCATCAGAAATATTTGGACGTAAACCAGTCTATGTTTCTACTATTTTTCTCGCCGTTATATTTATCATACCATGTGCGGTCTCCAAAAACATAGGAACTCTCCTAGCATGCCGCTTAATCGACGGAATCGCATTTTCTGCCCCAATGACATTGGTTGGTGGCACTCTGGCCGATCTATGGCGCACCGAGGAGCGAGGAGTCCCCATGGCTGCCTTCAGCGCCTCCCCGTTCCTTGGACCAGCAATTGGACCGCTGATCGGAGGCTTTCTGAGTGACGCTGCAGGCTGGAGATGGCTGTACTGGATCCAACTCATTTTCGCTGGTGTTGTATTCCTTCTCATCGCTTTCACCCTCCCCGAGACATACACACCCACTATTCTCGCAAAGAGAGCTAAAAAGCTCCAAAAGGAAAAGAACGACACTTCATATGTCACTGAGGCCGATTTGGATTCGCGTCTAATGGGTGAAAAATTACGCATCTTCATGATCAGACCTTTCCAGCTCCTATTCATGGAACCAATAGTTTTCTTCCTTTCTCTCTACATGGCTATGCTTTATGGCCTCTTGTACATGTTTTTCGTTGCGTGAGTTTCTCCCAGGGCCTGATATTTTTCCCTTTCGGTAGTTCACGACTAACCCAAACACACTTTAGGTATCCAATTGTCTACGAAGAAGGAAAAGGCTACACAGCTAGCACCACCGGCCTTATGTTTATTCCTCTAGCCATAGGGGTAGTGTGTAGTGCAATCTTTGCTCCCCTTATCAACAAGCATTATTTGACCCTTACTGCAAAACACAACGGCAAGCCTCCAGCCGAAACTCGCCTTATTCCTATGATGCTTTCTTGCTGGTTTATCCCAATAGGAATATTCATCTTTGCCTGGACATCATATCCTCATCTCCACTGGATTGGTCCTGCTATCGGTGGCTTTCCGGTTGGATTCGGCTTCATTTTCCTCTACAACTCGTGCAACAATTATCTAGGTATGTTACTGTGGGTTTAAGTTGAACAGCATGTGGATGCATTGCTAATACCGCTTCTGAATTAGTGGACACCTACCAACACCAAGCAGCTTCTGCTCTTGCTGCCAAAACGTTTATTCGCTCGATATGGGGTGCATGCTGCGTCCTCTTCACTACCCAGATGTACGACAGGTTGGGAAAGCAATGGGCCAGCTCACTTATTGCATTTCTTGCTCTGGCGTGTTGCGCGATCCCCTTTGTCTTCTATTACAAAGGGGATTCTATTCGCCGGCATTCAAAATATGCATACGTTGAGGACGAGGAAAACTCTGAGAAAAAATAACTGGTGGTTCGACCCTTCCACTTTGCATGTTTTATGAAGATTTTGTTTCCGGTTTCCCTTTTCTATATGTGCATGAGACACATAACGGCATACAGCGGCGATTGGGACAGGCGTTAAAGACGAGATGTACATACCATGGCCATTAGAGGCCAACCTACGATTTATTAGATACGTAATCACGGACCAAGTACCCATAAAAGTTAAAAGAATAAAAGTTTTAATTATAATGCAACTGGCGCTAGGGTTACAAATCATCAAAGGGGTATATCGACAAGAATGAAACGGCTCTACAGCCCGGGAAAAGCGCTCCTTAACCATGACATTGAACCACTTCTGTGCAGGAAGCACTAGCACAATGCAAGGGGTAGCCGAGTAAGTGTCGTTCGGGCTCTTTCTTCCTCCAAATAATCATACCCAGTAGAAATTTCCAGTCACCTGATGTGAAAGGGATATCTAGAGGATACGCAGTGCTACCAATGCACCCTACCCTTTCTATCAGCTCGGTGTCTCTCCCTCTTTTCGCCATTTAGATAAATAGCAAGATAGCCTCCCTGTATTATACACCCCTGGCCTCCGAAATATATCTCACTTTCAACTGGAGCCCCATGATATGGGAGTCAGCGCAAAGAGCCACCGGAAGCGCTAGATGTCGCTGACCAGACTGGTTAATTTTCGCCTGCTCGGTATAAAACAAAAACTTCGAAGCTGCGCGCTAAAATATCGAAGGTAAAAAATATGCATGCTACGCTAGTCCGAAGATAAACTTGTTGATTGTCGTACTTCAAATCAGTATCACCTTCCCTTATACCCAAAGGCAACAGGGTAATGATACCAAGAAAAGAATATGGGTATTTCAAGTGTAAGAAACTTTGTAAGGGAATTGCGGCTGTTGGAAAACAGCTTGTGAACCAAAAAGGACAAGCTGCGTGATATGTAAAAGATGGCGACTGGTATGTTACTGCACAGAACTAACGGTCCTTCAAGTAGCCCTGCATATTAGAAGCCAGGCTAGGGTTCGTAGCCCTTGGAGTCCATCATCTCACCTTTATTCAAAGAGGGTAACTGCAATGGCTTTGATGATGTTTTCTCCTACGGTCTGGTCGAGTGGTAATGGGTGGAAAGGGCTTACAGAGCTAAAACTCGGGAAGGATCCTGGAGGAAGCGTCGGCGATATGCCGCAATCTCTTGCGCAACGATGGAAAAGTCTTTCACCTTATCACGCCTCATATCGTTGATGATTTGCCTAAGCCCTGTTACGTACTCTTCTCGTTCAGCTGGGGTTTTTCCTTCTCGTAAAGAACCCATTTCAACGAGTATTTTGTCATCTATGCAATGTTAACAGCGCGTATTTGTCAGCCAATCACTCCAAGCCGCGATGAGGGCAAAGGGAAATGAATGAAACGGGAACGGAGAACATCTCAGGGGAGCAGGAAAATAGAAATAAAGGGTATCAAGGAGGAAATGTAAGGAAGAGCTAGAATCTGAAGACAATCATCCCCTCAACGCACCACTCAGATTCATGTCACGAAAGTGTTGAAAACCACAGGAGGGAGCGTCACAAACGCCACCGGCAATCTCAAGGTCACATAAGGGTTTGTGCGGATCAATATTGTGACTATAAGTCAAAGAGCGAAAACCACCACTTGTATGATTTGTGAAATCGGGATGGTAGCGGTATGCCCTAAAGAGTTTCAATGGACTACGGTAAGGGCTGAAACGATAAGTGGACTGATGCGAGGGAGCGTCAGCATCATTCTATGAGCGCCGTATTAGTGACCGATAATTTCAGTTGTAAAGAGAAGATATTGTACCGTGGAGGGCTCCAGAACAGCTGGGCAGGCCGCTTCTTGTTCACTAAGAGTTAGCGTATGCGCATCTGGATCTTCAGGTGCAGCAGGTCTTGTCTCCATAGATATTGGTTCTATGGGCTGAGGGGGGGCGGGACTGAATGGAGGGCTTTCCAGGGTGTCAGGCTCGGGTGGCTCATATCCCTCAGACGTAACGGATTCTTCCCGAGGAGTGAATTGGGGTTTGCCGTTATTATCTAGACCCGGCGATAGAGGCTCCATGATTTTATCCTCCGTTGAGAGGGACGGCTCCCGTGTGGTGACCATTTCATCGCCATAAGGACTGCCCAATGGAGTGGATTTAGCTAGTGAGGTCGATTCTTCACCTGATTCATCCTCCGAGCTTCCCATGGATTCATCCATAGCGGAACTGGAATAAGAACCTTCCCTAGTTTCCTGAGGTTCACAAGAAGAAGTATCGTCCATTACCGCGTCCTGCACACTGCCTATTTCAAGTGCTTCCCTTTCTTTCTGATTAGAATGGTCTTCGATGCTGCGACGCGCTTCCGTTAAACCTGGGATGCCTGTGCGGGGGCCTTCTTTGGTGTCAGCTGGAGACCCAACTTCAGGTTTTTGTATATCTTGGTTTGTGGCCATTTTGGCTACTGGAACCTCCTGTTTGCTCCCATTACCACTTGCAACTTCACACGATATTTCCTTGAGCTCTGTCATTGAAAAGCCCTCAGTCTCGATCCCCAGGCCCTCAAGTTCCTCAATCAGCTTGCGTTTGCCTTCTCGGCCTTTCGCAATTTCCTCGATAAGTCGCTTTTCTTGCTCGCGAAATTCAGCCAATCTCTGTTCTGATTTGAGTAGTTCAGCGTCCAGAAGTGGGAGTCCAGATTCAATTTCCTTTCGACGCAAAGCCTTCAGCCGTAGTTCTTCTGCGCGGTTAGAACCCAGAGTTGGTTGCGGGGTGGAGACATCGCGCACAGAACTCATAGCGGAGGTTGGTTCAACAGTTCCGCTCGTGCTCTGCTCAACGGTGGGAGTCGGAGTTTTTTGAACATTTTCGAGTTCAGATGATGAATTTTCAGTTTCCTGTAAAATTCCATCGGAAGTTATGCCAGCTGACGCATTCGAAGACCCGGAACTTTGATTCTGGCTAGACGCTTGCTTTTTAATGCGGCGCGCCTCTAGTTCGGCAATTTTTTGTCGCATTGCCAGTATCTCCATATTTTTCTGTATTAGGCCGTTAGCAGGGTTTGGAGGAGTATTTGATATAGACACAGGAGTAGAACGATGGGAACTGCGACTCCTTGGTGGAAAATCAGGCAACGGCGGTAACTCGCGGGTTGTAGATTTTGTAGAACGGCTAGGATGTGAAGTATTTGTAGTATTGGGTATTCCTCCAGTTTCAATGTCTGAGCCATACATTGCCTCATCATCACTGATATCAATGATAACTCTCTGTTCGGCGCTGGCAGAACGCGGTCCTGATAATGGATGTTTCCTTGCTTGTGTTTCATCAGGGTCATCCGTAAAATCCGAAGCCCTCGGGCGTTTCCTTGGGGCGCGAGGAGTTTCTGCTTTGTCTTTTAGGGTATCTTGGGGTTTCCCAGTAGAAATCGAGTCATTCATATTGTGAGAGTCAGGCCCTGTCATAACAAGCCCAGGAATTTGTGTCGGTACTGCCATTCCAGAAAGTGGAGGGCGATCAGGTAAAGGATGCGATAGGGAAGGTAATTCTTGTGGAGCAGTTGAGACGGGAGTATCCGCATTGGATGTTGAAGGAGAAGAAGTGAGGCCAGGGATCTGAGATGTTGATTTTCCAAGCCCAAGCTTTTTAAGTTGTTCCATGCGTTGCCTAGCTAATTCCGTCTGTGCTTTGTTCTTCTCTTTCACTCTAACTTCCTCGCGAGCATCTTGTGCTGAAGTCTGTGCTGATTGAGTGGAGTCATCATTAAGACTCCTGATCGCCATTTTAGTTGGCTGGGACGAAGAAGTGGTAGTCTGATCTGATTTCGTAATTTTGGCCGTAGGTGCCGAAGACGCGGTAGACTTAGCAGCTTTTGCGGCTAACATACGAGCAATAACATCTTTACGCTCCATGGGTTTGTTAAAATTAGCATCCGCGTCCTGACCACTCGGTTGTTTGGTTGCAGGTTTTGCCTGTGCAATGGGTTTTGTAGTAAGAGAGGAAGGAAGGGTATCTGATGTTTTGGGCTCGCCTGGGCCTTGAGCAACTCCAGCAGGTTTGCTGGTTGGCTCAACAGTGATCTTTATCCCGATTTCATCATATAAGCTCTTCAAAACGATGGGGTCTATCCCCTCTCGAACCAACTCATTATAGCGAATCTTGTGTGGCGCGAGATTCAATAACGCTCCCTGAGCAAGTGCTTTCAATTGAGACGGAGATTTCCCAGCTAACGGGCTCACATGTGCATCCTCCTTCGCGGGTTTAGCTTTTTCTAGGCTATCTTGCACTGGTCGATGTGCGTTGGTTGAGGTTAACTTGGGCTGCGGTTCGTTAATGTGTGCATTTAAACCGGCGCCACTTTGCCTTACGTTTCCAGAGCGCTGCGCGTAAGGTGCATAAGGTCTCTCAGCGTTAGGGCTTCTTTGTTCAACAATTTCCTCGCAGCTGCTCAGCTCGCCTTCTTCCCTCGCGTCAATGTCCATCGCGTCTGGTATTTTTTCCGGTTCCGGCGCGTCAGTGGGTCGTTGATATGTAGCTGGTGGACGAGCCTAGATATCCATGTAAGATTATGAGTATGGTAAAAGACAAAAACAAGGCATACCGGCACAGATTGAGGCAATAGATACGCCTGTGATTGTAAGTAACGCGGATCCCCTGTAGTAAAATAGCTAACATTCGCACCATATACCGCCTGGGGATCCTGAGGAGGAATATACGGCTGCTCCATGTCGTATGGAGGATAGGGCATATTTGGGTCGTAGCCAACAGGTTGGCTACTTGACCAACGAGGGTCAAAATTTCCATATGATGGTGTTTGCTGGTAACCCGACATATTTCCAGATGTAGCGGAGGCAATCATTCTTATTCAAACACTTGCAGATCAAGAATGAATGTGATTGTTTATATTTTGCCCAGGGCTTTGATGTCGAGGCATGAGAACGAAAGTGCAAGATGAAAGAGCGAGAATAAAAGGGATAAAGTGCCACCTGATTCAAATTAAGGCGGCCAGTCAATACGCGAGTAGTCTGGCAATCTGTCAAACAGCACAAGTCAAAAATATGCCGTGCATTCCCTGAGCCCTTCAACGTAGACAAAACGTTCAATATCAAGTTGTTCGTCTCCGTTTGACTTTGATATCATGAAGTTGAAAAAAAGATCTTGCTTGGCCGAAAATAGCCATCACGTGATACTCATAAGCGCCAGCGCCAAGCGCAATCGTGACGCTAGTACTAACTAGGAAGGATGTAAACAAACAACGCTAAAGTTGGCGATTAAAAGTCGATTAAGGTGGGATTTCAAGGCCGCAAAGAAGCCCATAGCTGCTAACTAACCTACCAGGTTTACCTGACCGAGACAATAAATGACTTTTGATGTGATATGAATTCTGTTTCAGCTCTTTTTTTAGTCTTGGAATTATTTGTTTTTCAGTTTAACCGTCATACCTCTCCTGTCACCACTTCTATGACCCTTACGCCTAGGGGTACCTCGTCATAGTTCTCCAGGGCTATTTTATGAATTAACGCCCCGTTCAACGATTTGATACCAGCTAATTCTTTTATGAACCTGTCGAAACCATGCATCCCTCCTTTAATAGCCCATCTAGGAGACACAATCCTTTCTCCCGGAGCTCTCCTTCGCCCTCTCCAGCTCCTCCAGATGCCGGCCTCAGAGTGTCCGGCCGGCCAAAGTCGGTTACTTTTACATCTCCTGTACAGACATACGCTCCAGGCCATTCACGGAACGCCTCGTTGACTCCATTAAACCCTACACCTGTCAATGGCATAAACAGACAACGTTCAAACTCAGCCCGGCACACCTCCGAATCCTCAAATACCTTTGCTCCAAAATTCATAAAGTCAGAAGAGTTACGCAGAGGCGCAGATCAGATCAGAGGGGAAGAAGGCGATAATGACTTCTCCGGGAAAAGATACGTGTGGCTGAAAGATCCCGAAAGAGCATTCATTCGGGGCGCTGTTGTTCGAGAAACCGAGGACGGCCTTCTGGTTGTGCAATGTGACGATGGACGCGTAAGTTTAGAGACAACTATAATACTTGTTTGCTGGGCGTTCTGACAAGTGACATAACAGCAGGTGGAAGTCGACCCGGAAAGTGTTGATAAGGTTAACCCTCCAAAGTTCGATAAGGCCGATGACATGGCCGAACTCACCCATTTGAATGAGGGCTCGGTTGTTCATAATCTACACACCCGGTACCAGTCTGACTTGATTTACGTAAGTTTGGCCTACACCTTAACAAAAAAAGGTTAGACAACGTTATTGACTGGGAATAGACTTACTCTGGGCTTTTCTTGGTGACTGTGAATCCTTACTGCCCCTTGCCTATATATTCGAACGAGTATGTCAAAATGTATAAAGGCAAGAGCCGAGAAGATACACGACCACATATATTTGCAATGGCAGATGAGGCATTTCGCAATCTTGTAGAGGAGGGCGAGAACCAGAGTATTCTTGTTACGTGAGTCCACATTTATTCCTACATGTTTTCTAGTTTGCTCATACTTGATATAATAGTGGTGAATCCGGTGCTGGAAAGACAGAAAACACAAAAAAGGTCATTCAGTATCTAGCTGCAGTTGCCCCTGGTGACGCAACTCAAGCAAAGCTATCATCTAAGCAACTAGGTGATCTCTCACAGCAAATATTGAGAGCTAATCCCATACTTGAAGCATTCGGAAATGCTCAAACTGTCCGAAACAACAATTCGTCACGATTCGGAAAGTTCATTCGTATTGAGTTTTCTCGCACCGGCCAGATATGTGGAGCATTCATTGATTGGTATCTGCTTGAAAAGTCCCGAGTTGTCAAACTCAACTCCCAGGAGCGGAGTTATCACATCTTTTATCAGCTACTCCATGGAGCTAGCAAAGAGTTGCGTGAACAGCTACATCTCTCAGATTTAGATATCCAGGACTTTGCATACACAAGAGGCGGGAACGATACCATAGCCGGCGTATCGGACGAAGATGAGTGGGACTCCCTTATCGAAGCCTTCGATACGATGAAGTTTGAAGATGAAGACCAGCTTTCAATATTACGGACAATTGCAGCTGTTCTACATCTGGGGAACATCACAGTCGGCAAGGAGAGTCTACGTGCGGACCAAGCTAAGCTCACCCAAGATGATACTGAAAGCGTGAGGCATGCTTGCCATCTCCTAGGTATACCCCTCGAGCCTTTCGTCAAGGGACTTCTGCATCCTCGGGTAAAAGCTGGACGAGAATGGGTTGAAAAGGTACAAACACCTGAGCAAGTTCGTTTCGCGATAGACTCTCTAGCAAAAGGTATATACGAGCGAGGCTTTGGCGACCTAGTCAATAGGATCAATCACCAGTTGGATCGTAGCAGGATTAGCTGCGAAGAGAGCTACTTCATCGGTGTCCTTGATATAGCGGGTTTCGAGATATTTGGCACGAATAGCTTCGAACAACTGTGTATCAATTACACAAATGAAAAACTGCAGCAGTTTTTTAACCACCATATGTTTGTTCTGGAACAGGAAGAATACTCCAGGGAGCAAATTGAATGGCAATTCATCGATTTTGGCAAAGACCTTCAACCGACGATCGACCTTATTGAGTTATCCAATCCAATCGGTATATTCTCATGTCTTGACGAGGATTCAGTGATGCCAAAGGCGACAGACAAAACCTTTACAGAAAAACTTCACTCTTTATGGGACCGAAAATCTCCAAAATATCGAGCCTCACGACTCAGCCAGGGTTTCATTCTCACTCATTATGCTGCGGAGGTAGAATATAACACTGAAAATTGGCTGGAAAAGAACAAAGATCCTCTCAACGACAACGTAACACGACTACTGTCAAAGTCCAATGACCCGCATGTTGCGAATTTATTCGCCGATTATGCTGATGATGTATCCAGCGGAACCAGGAGTGTCGTCAAAAAAGGGCTTTTCCGAACTGTGGCACAGAGGCACAAGGAGCAGTTATCAAGCTTGATGGCTCAGCTTCATTCAACACATCCCCATTTCGTCCGCTGCATTTTACCAAATAACAAGAAACGACCAAAGCTCTTCAATGGACCACTTGTTTTAGACCAACTACGATGCAATGGTGTGCTTGAAGGCATTCGAATTGCCCGAACTGGATTCCCTAATCGGTTAACGTTCAACGAATTTCGCCAACGTTATGAAGTGCTCTGTCGCGGGATGCCCAAGGGCTACCTGGATGGCCAGGTGGCAGTGACTTATATGGTTGAAAAGCTGGGGCTTGACAAATCTCTATTCAGAGTCGGTTTAACAAAAATCTTTTTCAGGGCCGGGGTGCTGGCGGAATTGGAAGAACAACGTGATACCCTAATTCGTGAAATCATGAAGCAATTCCAGTCGTTGGCTCGTGGCTTTATTCAAAGACATATTGCAAACAAACGGCTGTACCGCGCGGAGGCTACTCGAATCATCCAGCGGAACTTTCACCTCTACCTTAACTTGAAGTCATCCCCTTGGTGGAGGCTGTTTGCGACAATGAAGCCCCTTCTCGGAGAGACTCGCACAGCCGGAGAAGTCAAGAAGCGTGACGAGAAAATCCAGCAACTTGAAGCAAAGGCTCAGCAGGATATCGCCGAGAGACAGAGGATAGAAGAAGATAGGCGCAAGATAGAGGCGGAGATGCATCGAGTCAGGAAAACTCTAGAAAGTGAACGTTCCCTTGCATTGGATAAGGAGGAGATATTTAAGCGGCTGCAACTCAGAGAAGTTGAACTCAGCGACAAACTGGCTGGAGCAATCGCCGACCAGGAAAGTCTAGAAGATCAGTTGGACGAACTGATTGCTGCAAAAAAGAAGATTGAACATGAGCTAGACCTACGAAGGGGCCAACTTGAACAGGCTGCGCAAATAATGGAGAGGCTTGAGGGTGAAAAGAAGGAACTACAAGAACGCATTTCTGATATGGAAAAGCAGCTGAAATCTGTCGAAACAACGCACAGCGAATATGATGAAAAGATTGAGGCCCTGAATCAGGAGATCAACACCCTCAACAGCCACCTTAACTTAAAAGACAAAAAGCTCCAGGATCTAGAGGCAAAACTCCTGTCTTCCGACCAACAGCTTGACCTTGAATTGGCACACACCACAAAAGAGCTAGAAGCATCTAAAAAGCAGATTAAGCAACTACTGGAGGATAACCGTGAAATCCAGAGGCAGATAGCTGATTTGTCATCAACGTCTACGGGCTATGAGGAATTAGTCCGACGCAAAGAGGGCGAGGTCGCAATTCTCAAAGCTGATTTGAAAAAGCATGAATTCGAGAAACGAAGCCTTGAAACAGAAAAAAGGGGGCTCTCGGACCGACATGATGACATGCAGCGGAGAATACGTGATCTACAAGCTGAAATAGATACCACGAAACTTGAGAAGTCAAACTTCGAACGTGAAGCTCATGATGCTAGGAAGCTCCTTGAAGAGAAGCTGTCCGAGGATGCGGAATCCGCCCAGGGTAGAAAGATGCTAGACAAGCAAGTCCAAGACCTCAAGGCCCAACTGTATCAAACTCAAGCAGAGCTCAGCCGTGTTCAACAGTCGAGAGATGACGTTCAGATGCTCTCAGAGCACAAATTTGCACAGCTAAAAGAGGAGTTTGAAATTCTTAATGAAGCTAAAATAACCATTGAGAAGGAGATGTATATCCAGCAAGATACTCTTCGCAGGGCAAAGGAAGCTCGAGCAGCTGCAGAGGAGTCTCGCAAGCAACTCCAAGGCGAGGTTATTAAACTACGAGACCGAATTACAAAAATAGAGGAATCTCGCCTGAGTGCGGAGAATACATTCGCAAATAAAATGACTGCACAGGCAACTGAAAGATTGGCTAAACTTCAGGCCGAGCTAAACGAAAAATCTAAGGCACTCAATGATGCTGAGGCCGGGCATGCTCGTCTTAGCTCACAAGTTCAAAGCCTGAGCAACCTAATTGCGGAGTCCGAGAACTTCCGTACCCTAAATGACCAGCATAAAGAGCGGCTGGAGAGAGAACTCGTCACCGTCAAGGGAAGGCTCGCTGCATCCGAGAATGACAACAGGGCTCTTTTGAACAAAGTCCAACAAAAGAATCTCGATATTGCACGCTCTAATTCTAGGGCCGGCGATACCCAAAGAGCTAGGTTGGCACAGCTTCAAACCGAAAAGACTCGTTTAGAAGAGTCAAACAAACAGCTTACTCGCCAGCTCGGAGATGCTCAGTTATCGATAACTTCACTGGAGAAACAAAAGGAGAAACTTGCTTTGAGCACGGAGGACTTGAACCACGAAGTTGCGCGTGAGCACAAAGCTAGCCGTAATGCAGAGAAAACTGCTGCCACAGCACAGTTGCAGTTAGCAGAAGCAAACAGGAATCTCGAGACAGAACGGCAGCTTAAAACCCAGGCACAAGCGAATACCAGAAAGCTTCAGGCGTCAGTGGATCGGATGAACTCGGAGCTAGAAGATTGCCATCAACAGCTGATATTGCTCCATAAAGTATTTGATCCTGATACATCGCCCGCTGAAAAGTCCTGGGAGACAATAAAGCCCGACCTGTCGAAGAAAATCGATATGGCTGCTCTGTTAGAAACTGCGCACAATGACCTTCGGATCAGCGAAGAGAAACGTTCGAGAGCAGAAAATCAATTAAACGAGATGCGACGCCGGCACGCAGATGAAATGAATGAGCTTGATGCTCGCTATTCCTCGTCGAAGCGTGCTCTCCTCGAAGAAATTGATCAAAACCAGGTAGCCAACACGAGGTCTCCTGGGCACTTCAGGAAGAATTCAGAGCCTAATAAGCGGTTTTCCAACCCTTCAACCCCCAACCGTCGATATAACAATTTCATGGATGGGGTAGGTGATTCCGGGCGGTCAGATCGAACTGTTGACACTGTTGCATTCCAGAAACGGATGGATCAAGCCGCAGAAATAGAGAGCCTTCAGAATCAACTGCAACTGGCTGAAATGCACAATCGTCACCTCCAGAGCCAGGTTGATAGGGCTACCCCAGCCCGAGACATGTGGCAAGACGAGAGTCCATCTATCCGACGAATGCAGATCCTCGAACGTGAAAATGGTCGTCTCCATGAGAAACTTGACGATTCTGCTAAGAAGGTTTCCGCCTTGGAAAAAAGTATTCAATCCGGCGAGTTGAGTCTTCGCGATGTACAGGCGAAATCTCATGAAGAATTGTATGACCTTCTTAGCTCTCAGGAGCAGTCCCGACGATCTCTCCTCCAAGTACATAAGTCCGCACTAGCCGATCTCACTCATGCAAAGACAGAATTTGAAAAGCTCAAGCATGCAAGAGCTTCTATGGAAGTTGAGCTACGGGACACCAGGTCAGAACTTCAAGAGTTACAACTTGCACGAGACCATGACGCTGCTAGCCGAAGCCAACTACTCCAAGAGTTCTCGGATCTTCAAATCAGATTGGATGCTGAAACATCTAAAGCTATTGATGCTGATTCCAGTCTGAGCCTCTACAAGAGCCGCGCCAATGAATACTTCAGCAAGTTGGAACAGGCAGAAATTGCTGTTTTGAAAGCTACCCGCGCCGAACAGTTTGCCAAAGCACAAGCCAAGGAGGCAGAAGAAACCTGCGCTAATATCATGGCCGAAAGGAAACAAACCGATAACCTCATTGAAGATCTGCAGCGGCAGGCACAGTCTCATGAAGAAAGGGTCGAGGACCTTTCAGCTGACCTTGAGGCAGCATTACAAGCGAAGAAGCGTCTCCAACACGAGCTAGAAGACTACCGAAGCCAGCGGGCTATGGATATCGAGGACAAGGAAGCTTCCATGGAGCAAACGAGAAAGAAGTACCAAATGGAATGCTCGACCCTTACGAGCGAGTTGGAGGTAGAGCGTGAAAATGTGCTTCATATCCGAGGCGAGAATGCCCGCTTGAAGGAGGAACTTGAGGAACTTCGATCCAAGTGGGATGACGAAGTTCTCAATAGCTCAACCTGGTCCAAGGAGAAATCTAGAATAGAAATGACCCTACAAGATATCACAACCTCCCGAGATGATGCCGTCAAGGCTCATAATGAAGCTCAGGGCAAGGTAGTTACTTTATTGAACCAAGTTCGCACCCTTCGCACTTCCGTTGATGATATCTCAGCCGAGCGTGATATGCTCCTCAAGGAGAAACGCGGCCTCGAATCCAGGCTTGCTGAAGCAGGTGACCGCTTGGAGGACCTGGCCAAGGGCGAAAGTCCCATGCGAAACGCTGCTGGTATGGACCGCGAGATTCTTGAGCTAAAGTCCCAGCTTGCCCAGCAAGAGGACCTTGCCTCCGCTGCCGTTGGTAAGATGCGAAGGGCGGAAGCTCTTGCTACGGAAGTCCAAAAGGAAATTGTAGCTCAGCGAGAGTCAACAGCCCAGCTCTTCAAGGATAAAGCTGCGCTTGAAAAGCAATTCAAGGAGGTTCAACTTCGATGTGTGGACCTTGAAACGAAAGGATACTCATCCTCGAGCCAGGATGTCAGGTTCCTCAATAAACGAATCCAGGAGGTACGTAGAGTCCTATAGCTGCCGTCTTGATTGAGGAAAAATACTAACATTCCGCGCCTACCAGCTTGAAACTCAGTTAGAAGAACAGGAGTCGAAACGTAATGCTGAGCAGAAGTCTGTCCGCAATGTCGATAGAACAGTGAAAGACCTCCAGACCCAGATCGAGAGGCGAGAAAAGGTTAATAGCCAACTCACGGAGGACATTGGAAAATCGCGAGATAGAATTGAGAGACTTCTTCAAACGATTGAGGAGCTCCAAACTAGCGACTCCGAGAACCAACTCCAGGCTCGTCGCGCAGAACGTGAGCTCCGCGAAGAACGTGAAAAATCACTTCGTCTTGAAAGGGAATTAGAAGGGTGGAAGTCACTCCGCCTAGAAAGGGGCAGTGTTAAAGGGCCTGGCTATGGAGGAGTGAGCGATATGGGTGACAGGTATAGTCGTCGAGGAAGCGGTGTATATGTCGGTTCAGGTATCGAGCTCCCACAACGCAAAATGAGCAACAGCAAAGGGTTCTTGTAAGATTTCTTGCAACCCCAATCCCCGTTGATGAGTGAGGCGTTCATTTGTTCTTATGCAGGCGGTTTTGCTATTTGCATCTCAAATCTGTATAGGTCCTAGGTAATGGTCGGGTTTCTTTTATGAGTTTTTGTTTGTACGATGATGAGCGGATTCTTCATGTGGGTTAATGTATTTAATAGAATGACCTGTGTAGTTTATGGTTAGACGCCTCGAATTGTCCAAGTATCAATCTCCACACGTAGTTGAAGGCGCTGATAGTTTGATGTTGTCTTGGGAACGCTAACTACGAGCTGGCCAAAGCTTGGCTACGACTGATAAGATTGACAAACAAAGCTTGCTGTCATCACAACCACCAAAAAGACACTTCCTTCAATCACAACAACCACTTCGAGCACTCGGGAGAAGGCCCAGATATACGATAACATCCTGTATTCGGAATCGAAATAACAAACCCGACCTATAGATTGACTGGTTCAAACCCCGTTTGTTCATCATGGTGAGTCTAATGAGCGTTCCTTGGGCATCTGGTTCCATACATACTAATCGCAACAACCCCGTATGTCCAATAGGCTCGAAATAGCGAGAAAGCGCAGTCAATGCTCTTTCGGTTTCGTGCCGCCCAAGCTGCCGACCTCGGAATCCTAGATATCGGACGGACACGCCGCCCAAAAGCCATTACCTCGATTGACTCCATCCCAGTTTGTGAAAAATGGCGAGGCCAGGTCCTCAAAGAAATATCCCGAAAAGTCACACGCATACAGGACCTTAGTTTAAGCGATTTTCAAATCAGAGACCTAAACGATGAGATCAACAAACTGATGAGGGAAAAATGGATGTGGGAAGTTCAAATACGAAATTTGGGAGGACCAAATTACACGCGCGGCGGCGGGAGAGTATACGACGAGGACGGGAAAGAAATTCCCGGCGGTGGGAAAGGGTACAGATATTTTGGCCGAGCGAGAGAACTGCCTGGTGTCAAGGAGATGTTTGAAGCAGCGACAAAAAAGAGGAGTGCCTCCGAGGCAGATGGTGCTGGCGGGCGCAAAATGGACATTGAAATGTTCAAAAAGCACGTCGATGCGGCGTATTTTGGCTACGGCCTAGATGAGGAAGATGGAACATTACTAGCATACGAAAAGAAGAAGGAGAAAGAGGCATTTGAGGCTGTGTTAAAGAAGGGTGACGATAAACCCATTGACGGGTGGGAGCCGTTGCCGGGTGACGCTGGGGATGGCGTCGAATGGCAGTTACCTACTCTAGAAGATGTTCAGGAAGAGTTAGTTGAGAGACGAAGGAGAAAGCTACTGGACAAGATCGGCTAGTATATCCAACGGAGCTGTTGGTGATATGAGTCTGCGGGAGCGGTAATGGTCTTGAGAGACTTTCATGGATGATGATATGTATAATAATTATTCAATCCATCTAAAATTACATTCGCTGTTTTACATATTGTAGGGGTATATTGCATAATATGATATCAAACATAAACGCCAAAACCAGCCCATCTCTATACCGTTCCAGTAGCAAGTATTTTTTGAGCTCTCTCAGGAGTGAGTTCCAACGAAGCTCCAGGTATCGACTCTTCCGAGGTTCCTAACTTGGCGATCTTCTTTTCCCAAGATACTTTCACCACATCATCAAGCATAAATAGGCCTAGTTTTCCTTCTCGCCATTGTGTTATGAATAGCCGTGCGGCAGCTTCATAGTCTGGTTCACCTCCTTTGACAAGGCGACCAGCTTTTCTCGAAATTGCCCCCAGGAGATCTATAATATCGTTGGTTGGGGCACAGTAGGATCCATACAAATCCGACAACAAATGCTGGTTCATTTGAAAGAGAAGGTAGTCAGCCAAAGTGATTATTGGGACCAGTGAATCTTTGATGATTCCACAGAGTGCCATTTTCAGCATACTGTCCGGATTAGACATGTACGGCACAAACACACCAGGTGTGTCATACACATAGATGCCTACATCGTCCTTCTCAAACAACTTTATAGGCGTCCCAATCTTTCTTGTAATGCCTGGATCCGCTCCGGTTCTGACAACAGCAGACTTCCTGACGTTTTTAATATTGGTCATAGATCGTAGTTTATTAATCAGGGTTGATTTCCCCACATTCGGCATTCCAACGACTAACATGCGGTATCCTATTATACTGTTGGCAGCCACAGGAAGATCCTTTATGTATTTCGCCAAGGGAGTGACGGAGTTTCTTAAACTTCTGCTTGCAAAAAACACTCTCGTAGATTTTTGCTCCCAGTGAGATATGAGTTTTTCTTTCTAAAAGAGTTAGTCGTATATGTTAGTAGATGTATGCTAAAATAAGGGTGGCAGAAGCAGAAATACCATGCGCGATTCCGGTTTCAAGTCCGCTCCAAGGTCCCTTTTTGTGTAAACTATCGTCCGGCTTTTACCGCCCAATGCTTCTTCGAATAGAGGGTTAATTGAGGTTGCCGGTACCCGAAAGTCCCGACATTCAATAACATGATCAACAGAATCCAGCATTGCTTTCATCTTCTCAAGGCCAGCTCGGTGATGGCCCAGAAAGTAGCTTCTCTGGATGTTCTCCGAGGCCACAAACATCGTCCGGGGGATAAAGGAAGCCATCTTCAGATATATTTTTAGATATTATATGCACAATACCATTGTGACAGTGAGCAATCAAGAGATTCCCTCACTAAACGTGGAATATCTGTTGAATAATTCCTATTGCCAAAATGTCTGCTCAAAGTCGCGATTTCGACGGCGGCTCAAATAGATAACGGAATATCCTTAATCCGGATAAGCTCATATCTGTCTTGGCATTTTTCACGTGGCGTATTACGTAATATTCTTGCTTGAACCTTATTTTGACATGAGGGAAAAGTCGAGACTTCGTGATATCAAAAGAAGGCAACGAAAGGACAGAATGGTACTTTTTTTTTATACGGGTTCTGCGTCTCAGGATATATGGACGGATGCACAGCGAAAAATGCAAGGCTTGGTGCAGAGGACTAAAACCACAGCCTGAAGGCTACCAAGGTCTCGGCCTTGTCCCTAGTGCCTTGGACATGACAAGCTGCTCCAGAAAACCCAAGGACCCATGCGAGAAGAGGCAGCCCTCATGCTCGCGACATGCCATCTCATTAGAAGTTCTCCCTTCGTCGGCGCTTGGCGTACGTAGGTCTTCTTCCTCGCCTTCCCATGGGCCTTTTTTTACCTTACACGCTGAACCTAAATTATAAAAATATTTCCCCCTCGATATCGAGTCACAGAATATATATAGCCGAACAGTTAGAACTAATTGATATGCTACGTTCGTTGGCACAATGATATCAATACAAACTGCACATTCTTGTTTAAACCAGTTGCCGTTCTTGTCTTTATAAACATCCTTAAAAATACCCTAGCCAGCCTAGGTTGAACAGCTGCTTCTATTCTACAGTATCTGAGCTGCCTTTGGTGGCAAGAGGTTATTTACATGTCTGTAGGCACATTTCTTCGGCCACGGTCTACACGGCCAATGCGAAGCATGCTTCGTCGAAGAAAGGAGCCCCGCCCGTCTAGTACGGACCAAGGAAGAACGGACTGTAATGAGGATATACCCGCTGATGATGCACACTCATATATAACCCCATCGAAACATACGCCCAAACCACTATGGCTTCTCAACAAAACAGTAGGCCCTGGTGGCCCCTTGCGGCCCTTTCGTCTTATAAAACAGGACCTAGGGAACCTACGCCAAAGATACCTCTCAGATTGGAAGATATTCAATCAACTAATAGTAGCCAGCACAGTCTACGTTTTCTTTACCAATTTGCTGCCGGGTATCACCTTCGCTAGTGATTTATACGTTCTTACGGGCAAAAACTGGGGAGCTATAGAGGTGGTCTTTAGTACAGGACTGTGCAGTATCATATTCTCTCTGTAAGAACCCAACTTGATTTTGAAAGGATCTCGTACTGATTTACTACTGATAGGTTCTCCATTCAACCTCTCACTATTCTGGGGGTTACTGGCCCCTTTTCCGTTCTAGCAGAAAATATATACTCTCTTTGCCATGAAGCTTTCAATGTAGGATTTGATCCCTTTCAAACAGTTACACAATTTGCCGCTAAACAAAGATGTATAGATTCCATTTCTACCTTTCATGGCCTGGTCGCTTATCCACGCAGGATGGCTACATTATCTCCTGGCTATATTCAATGCTCATGACTGGACTATGGGATATGTTACTACATTCTCAACCGAAATATTCTCTCTCCTGAACAGTATAATATACTTTCATAAAGCCATCCAAGAGCTTGAGCGAGCCCATTCAAACCTTTCCTTCGCTGCTTTCCTGTATGCCATCATGGGTGCAGTGGGAACAATGCTACTGGCCATATTTCTATCTACAGCGGAGTCATGGAAACCCTTATTCCACCGATATATCCGCCTGGGCCTTTCGGAATATGCCGCAGCAATATCCATTATCTTGTTTATCGGGCTACCCCATATTGGAGAGCTCGCCCACTTGGACAAGTCAACACTTCCCGTAAGCACCACTTTTCAACCAACATCTCCAGAACGCCATGTATTCTTCGTCGAGTTTTGGAAACTTCCTGTCCGTTGGATATTTGCAGCCATTATTCCAGGCATAATCATTACAATGCTTTTCTTTTTTGACCATGAGATAAGCTCCATCATCTGTACTATCGATCGTTATAAGACCCGGAAGCCTGGCGGATTTGCCTGGGATATCATTCTCCTTGGTACCACCACTGCATTATGTGGCATATTGGGAATCCCGCCTGCAAACGGGCTTTTACCTCAAGCACCTCTACATTCAGAGTCCTTGATGCATGCGGACACAGAAGAAGTTATAGTTGAAGTGGATGGCCAGGAAACAGTAGAGTTCCGGCCCATAAGGAGGGTGTATGAACAGCGGTGGTCCTCATTGCTCCATGGCTGCGGTATCCTTGCATTTGTTAGCCCTCCCTTCATGAAGGTTCTTGGGTTAACTCCGACCAGCGTGCTGGCTGGACTATTCCTGTTCATGGGGGAACAAAGCTTATCAGTCAAGTGAGGCTCCTTTCCCGCATATTCCATTTAACACTAGCTACTTACTGACCGTCTTTCAGCCCCATCTTGTATCGAACATTCTACCTCTTAACACCGCCCTCGGAATTACCCATTCTTCCTACGGAATTGAGCTCTCCATCCACCATTAGCGCCACTGAAACACCTCCAAGGCCATCATACATGCCAATTCACCTCTACACTTTGCTACAGCTGTTGATCACAATCGCCATCTTCATCTTAACTCTCACGCGTGGTGCCCCAGCCTTTCCCGTGTTGATCATCCTACTCGTCCCATTTAGACTACTGGTGATGAAGCACTGGTTTAGGAGAGAGGTGCTGAAATTCGTTGATGCCTGGGCCTGCAAAGCCGGTACCCCCGAAGACAGTGGAGACAAGGACGAGAATCTTCAGGAAAAGAAGGAAGATCAAGACGGTGGCAACCATGCAGGTGTCCTACAGCCTCGAAGGGACTCATCCGACAGGGTGTAAAGAATGACTGTTGGATGATAATGCACCTCAATGGTTTTAAAATAGCGGAATGTGGTTAACTGTAACTTATTTGAGCCTCAAACAGCTGCAGACTGCAGACAAGGCTTTAATTAATTGCTTTTGTAAACATATAAAAATGACTCGTAACATGGGTATAGTATGTTGATACAAAGCCTTTCCATAAAATCTCCGTAAAACTCCTAGCTATCCCCAGTGATGCGTGATCTTAACAACACCATCTAATACTATTCAAAATTTCAAGGTTCAAAACCTAGCAAGTTTTGAAGCCGATAAACGCGTAGATAGAGTAGATCATGCTCTCCATCCTTGGACCAAGTCGTGGATTCGATCTATAACAGCACCGAAAATGGCATTGACACTGTTGATGATGAGTTCGTCAAAGTGACGAATCGCCTCTTCCTCTGTCATCTCTAAATGAAATCTTTCCTTGACCTTCAGAACTGCCTTGTCTGGCTCAACACGTATATCAGGAATATTAGCATCAACCATCAAGCTGAATAAGTTGAGGATAAGGTTGGCCGATTTGCGAAGTGTGATGTATGCTGTGAAGCAGTATTGTTTAAATTGGATGTAATTCGGCGAGTTGGCACCACCCATTCCCTCGACCATCTCCTTGCAAAGCTTCATCATGGGTGCGAAGGGTTTTGGGTCGCGGCCGAGAATGAAGCCGAAATCGGCGTGGAAGAAGTGTCCGTCAGGAGCAAGAAGGAGATTCTCTAGATGGCGGTCACCAACACCTAGGAGATAAGTGATGACGCAGTATCCAGCACAGGACTTAATGTATGTGTCCATTGCTTCTTTTCGTACGCCTAAAGGTTCACTGTCGTCGGGGTTGTTTGCTTTTAGGTAAGCAAGTAATGACCCTTTGTACTTCGCAGTGGCCGCGGATAAGGGTGTTGATGGAACGAACTGTACCGCGCCCGCCGTAGCTCCAGTTGCAATGATGCGGTAGGGAGTGAGTTTAAGGTCCAAATTTTCCTTCTGCAGAAGCCGGTCCATAAGAGTTATGATTTGTATGACCAGTTGATCCTGACGCAAATCATCTCCAACTTTGAAAATGACGGGATACTTCCTGCCATCGGACAGCTTAAAATTGATAAATAGAGGCGATAAGGAGGATTTGAAGACATTTACCTCCTCTGGGTGACACCCAACAATCGAGACCGTAGGATCCAAAGGGAAAGGAAGCGGGGGATCGATTTGTAAGATATCGTTCTTAGGGTCACTGAGGAATTTTTTAAGCATTTCAATCTTGAAAGGACGATTGACTCTTGCGAATCGGATGTCCTTTGCAACTTTGGAAAGAATAGTGATAAGTTCGCCCTGTCGGAGTAGTACTTTTCTCTGGGCAGGGTTGACCTTCTCTAACTCGAGCATAAAGTAAAATTCCACGCTGGCAAAGAATTTTCGGTGAGTGGAAAGGGTTCCCGCAGCAGTGTCGTCACATTCAACCATCAAATACCAATGAAAATAGCTACCGAGTATCGGATTATTGGCCGCGCGGCTAATCAAGAAATTTGTCAGTGAAGAATCATGCGCAGCTTCGTTCGTTTCATCAGTAGAACTCTTGGGGATAGATTCAAACTTCAGCGCTTGTACAAGCTGCAGAAGGTACAAGAGTAGTTCCTCATCATCGGATTTCCTCAATCGGTCAACAGCATAAGCTCGGACTTCTGGATTGTCAAAAAGCGGGCCGAGCAGCTCCAGAGCATCATCAACATCGATCTCCGTCCATTTTGGTAGAATTTCAACGGCCTGTCTCGCTTCACTGGCATCTTGCCAATTGACCGACTTGACAAATTTGGTCAATGCTCTCTTATCTCGAGTGAGATAGAATCTAAATTTCCAAACTAGATCTTTCTCTTCCGCATTCAGTTCCTGGGTTGGACCATAGGACATGATCTCGTTGATCTCATCACGAATCTTCGGGTTCGGTTTCAAGTCGCGGTCCATGATGCCGGTTCGATGGCTACGGACTAGCCTTCTATGTTTGTCCTCACAGGGGTTTCCTCTCTGCCCAACCTCAGGATCATAAATTCGTATTATAGGATAGTTGCCCTCATCATCTGCAGCTCCTTCGATGTCAGGGCCAAGCCGGACTTCTGGCGGCGGTTTCAGAGCAACGGTCGAACCCGATGGGGTATGTTGTGCAAGAGAAGAAACTGGAGGAGGTGGATACTCAAAGTCCTGGAAAACAATGGGAAAGTCAAACCGCGGAAATTCGACATAGAGCACAAAGTTTTCCTCTTCATCATCCTGAGTGCTCACTCCAGGGTCACCATTGGTCTCAATGACGGCCTTTTCCCTAGCAGCTTTATTTCTAAGCGCGCGCTTCTTCGCCGCGTCTTCAGCCTCTACCTTGATCTTTTCCACTGCTCGGAAGACCAGCTGATCTAGCCAATCCACCCGAGGTATCTCTCCCATTTCATGTTTCTTCAGAAGTTTCTCTAGCCGTTCAAGCTCGAGTTCCACCGGAGTAGGCCCCTCTTCAACAAAGTTACCTCTACGTCGTTTGGGCGGCGGAGTGGATGGTGTAGTGGTGTATGAAAAGCCATCGGCAGCTTTGTGCCGGTATAGTTTGCATTTTTGTTTTCCCTTTTTCAGCGTCCCATCCTCGTCGAAAAGTGGGATTGTTGTGCCACCGAATGGAACTGAGTGGTCATGGCCTTCTCCCCCATCCAAAGGCGATAAGTCCCAGACTGTAAGCGCCAATTGGGTATTTTGCGGTGCATCCCTGATGAGAACTGGCATTTCTAGCCACTCGTTCCATGTCCGGCTGGTTTTGAATGACTTGTATGCGGTTTGCATGGGCATGCCAAGGGGTTTGCAGCTGCTCCATAGCTGTGCGGTAATGTATAGATCTGAAGTTGGGCTCTGGTTGGACCCGAGATGGCGTAGCTCTGGATTCTTCAGCAAGACGGAGAAGGGAATCTGCTTTTGCCGTCCCTCTAAGTTACATCTACACAAGCAGTCAGTATGCTTGCGCAAAACGATCCCGTCCAGGATCCCGTATCAACCTACATCTTAGCTCGGATGGGCAAGGCCACCTGTGTTGACGTTGCAAAGGTGAAGGTATCCATGACCGTCACCCAGTTATGAGAGATATCAGGCTCGTTGTCAGAGCCCTTCTCATCCTCCGAGCTGGGCAGGGAAATAACATCAACGTCTGAGCCTCCCTCAACCTCGCCGTAGCCGTCGTTACTGTTGTTGCTTCTGTCTCTCCTGCTTCCGCCATCTCCATCGCCAACTTCATGCCAAGACCCGTCCATGCTTATCTTATCCGGATAAACTTAATTCCTTTTACGGTGTCAAAGTGGAATGCACGGACCATCGCGTCACTGTGTTTCGCCCAAAGAAGTAAAAGCGAACTTTTTGGCGATTTTCAACGTCAAACAAGCAAAAAGACGAGAAGACGAGGTTGATTATTCGCAATTCAGCACCTCCTTAGCCATACATTGATACTCTAGACAGCGCCTGATTGCCAGATTTATATCTCTACTTGATTCGATTTTATACACTGAACCAAATTGTCTCCATCCTGCGCGCATTGACAAACACGGTCGCATTGATTTCTACTCCTCCCTGACAACCTGACAAAGCATTAATTAGTTAACCAGTATATGGACTCTGAAAGATGGCGGTACAAGCCATCCACAACGATCGATCGCTCTCTAGAACACCTCCCGCCTCTGAACAAGACTCTGAGCCATCTCCACCGACGTCTTTCTCCTCAGATAAGGAAAACCACAGCGCGCGCGCACTCCAAGTGAAGAAGCGGAAGTCCGGTGGCCTGGCAGCCCCTCCAATGCCTAGCGCAGCAAACAAAAAGAGGCGCGTATCTGAGCAGGTGCCTGAACAATCACAGTCTACCCATCAGCGCAGACTACAGCAGGTCGTAGACACAGATTTCTATGATCCAGATCAAGATCCTGAGGAAAGGCGGGCGGTCCGAAAGGAGCTGAGAGACCTTGCTTTGAACTTAAACGGTACACAAACTTTGTCAATACTGTATTTGGATCAAAAGCGCTAATCGAATGGCTTCTTCTAGATTCTCGAAGTGAGTTTATTCAGGTAGAATCAAACGGTCTTTTGGAAACAGTTGAGAAGGCAAACGATCTTTTCAAGAAGGTCAAACAAACATCCGATGCGACTATTGACTCTCGCCTCCTTGTTACGGCCGCGGACCTTTCCTACAAACGAACCGCACAAGCATGCCTAGGAAACAATGTAGCAGGTATTGATGTGGATGAGTTTGTTTCAAAATGTATATCCTTTATGCGAAGGGAAACATCGTCCGCTTTACCTACGCCCACGCAGAGCAACCGCCGTAGTTCAGGCCACCCGTCACAGCGCGCAGCTGCTGACAGTGACGATGAGGAAGAGCCTTACAACTGGGACTACCTTGGACGCCATGCCTGTTTCCCATATAACCTCAAACCGTCCATTTCTGGCTTCCTCCTCGGGCCGCTATCTGTACAAAAACGGGTTCGTCAATTGACCCAGCGACGAGCACGAGAACGAATAGATCCATCCCAGCTTGTGCGGCCGAACGATCTTAAGGCTAGTGACTTGGGGAAACAAGAAGAGGCGACTTTAACGACTATGTGTACGGACATACGAGCGAAGCTAGTTGAGATACAGCTCCAGAGAGAATCGCTGGCTCGCGAAGAGTTGTCGAAGATGGAAGACGCTACCGAAACCGAAGCCATCGCAGTTATGGGTAAACATGGAATATCTGATAATGGCGGGATCCCCCTGTTCCAGTTCTGCATCAACCCACGATCATTCGGCCAGTCCGTCGAGAATATGTTTTATGTTAGCTTCCTAGTCCGCGATGGAAGTATAGGAGTCTCGATGGACGGAAACAACCTACCAACATTACGTACGTTCCAGAAACCCTTCGCTCAACCCAACTTTGAATCTGACCTTTTTTCTCAATAGTCCCGTCACAGCCACTTCGTCCATCCGAGGCTCGAGAACAAGGTATTAAAAAACATCAAGCTGTCTTCGGTCTAGACTTCGACACCTGGGCTCAATTGATAGAAACATTCGATATAAAGGACCCGTTAATCCCGCACCGGAATGATGAGGCTCATCAGGCTCCATCCACTGGCAAATGGCATACATAATTGCATGCCGCGGCATAGATCTTATCTTCCCAAACTTACCCTTCTTCTAGAACTGATTTTGCTGTGCGAATGACGTCTTGATTTTGTAATGCATTTACGGCCCTTCAAAGTATATTTTAAAAAAGGGACCCTCAACTTGGATCTTGCCGTTAACCATGTCGAGCATGTTGTAATTATCTACCTTATCTGCTGATATTAATGGAGAATACTGTACAATAGAGATGATGGTTCCTGACACCGGGTCCTGCCTGTCTAGGCATCGGGCGCCCCGTGCCTGTACGTCATCCCAACTCTGACAGAGAAAGTGTCCCGTTTTATTACGGGCTTCCTTGTTCCACCTCACGGACACCGAAGCCAACACCAACACCACCCATAAGTGAATAAAAGCCGTCAGCAGTCATTGAATATTCGACTGACCGGAGCATGAGAGAAAACCAGGCCGTTTCGGTATATTCGTTGTGCTCTGCACAGCTCACATGTGTTATCGCGCACTCAGCTGCGTCCCGGTCATCCGCTCAGTACAGCCTACTTCCGTGACTAACGGCGCAAGGAGTACATTACCGCTCAAGCAAAGACAATATATAAGAACCCTTTCAAGATCCAGCATTAGCTACTATCGCGCTTCTACGACAGTCGACATACGAAGCAGAAATCCGAACAAAGCTGCGACTTCGCCGTTGCAGGTCAGATCCTTGTCCAACCACAGCTTCCCAGCCAAAATGCCGAAACTCGCGCCATCCGATCCGGAGAATGTGGTGGTTATTCGGAAGGTATGCGACGATATTATTACATGCAGTCTACCCTTTTCTCGTTTTGGGGTTCTCAAGTTTGGAGGACGCGCAACTATAGGTTAGTTTTATCAAGGCCCCAAAGCGGTGCTACGATGCATATGCTAACATCTTCCAACAGCCCGTCTACGATCGGGCGCTATAGCAGTCTTCTCCCCCGTTGCACTTACGCAGTCTGTTATCGAAGCCGTCGACAGCCTTAATGGAATGGTCAAGTATCTCATCGCACCAGACATGGAGCACCATCTGTTCCTAAAGGACTGGAGAAATGCATACCCTGACGCCGCCATCATCGCACCCGAAGGACTATGGGAGAAACGACAGAAGAAGCCAGAAACCGCCGGTCCAAAATTCGAGCATATCTTTACCGCCGAGAATAAAGAGACACTTCACATCTCGGACGAGTTTGCTGCTGATTTCAACGTCGAGTATGTCAACGGGCACGCCAATCGGGAGATTGTGTTGCTTCACAAGCCCACGGCGACCCTGATACAGGCCGACCTCTTCTTTAACCCGCCCGGATACGAACAGTACCGCAAGGACAAGGAGGGACCTCTGAGCGGGCTCGCAAACAAGCTGTATCTCTCAATCATGTCGGCGAAGGGCAGCGCTACGGGACAGCAGAGAGTGCTATGGTATCTGATGTCAACCGGTGATCGTGAGGCATTCAAACGGTCTGTTCAGAAGATCGATGGATGGGAGTTTGATCGTGCGATCCCCTGTCATGGGGATACCGTCGACCAGGGCGCAAAGGACATGTTCAGGAAGCTGTTTCAGTGGTTCCTGGCATAAACTGCTTTACCACCTTTTTTCTTTCATATTGTATTAATAACTGTTAGATGTCCTCCACCTATAATGTATGTAATATATCTATATCAGGCAATGCAGCAACTATCCTTGCAGGTATGCAGGGACCCTGTGACGTCATGGGCATGCAAGGATGCCGTAGCTTATTATGTATCCGTGTGAGCTGATCACAAGCAAAAAGAAAACATCGACAGCTCTGCGGACCGTAAGAAGCCAGAAAAGAAAATTCCACGACTCTTCCAGAGGGCCGAGGCACTGTTGTTATTCCTCTCTACCACGTAGTTAGACCCATGCATCGGATTCATGGAAGCCAGGCATGTAAATAAACAGTTACCCAAAGACAGTTACTGGAGTGAAAGCCTGTTTGAGACCAGATTGAGCACAAAATTTCGTAACTTCCTTTCTTCCGGTGAGTGTGCGAAGTCTAGGTCCGTGATGTAAACGAGAATGGCGACAGTTAAACTTCTCCATGCTCTGGATGGAAATCCTGGTGGCTTTTGTTCGTTTGTTATACGGGGTTGGGAGGACTGTGATGCCTTTACACGTTTAGTATACTCTGTACGGTTTCGTCCTCAGCCGTAGAATAGATACGGAGTAGATGGATAGATACTCCAACTTCTATGCCTTGACCAGAAGCCATGAAATAGGGTCTGCCAGGGTCTGCCATTGACATGCTTCCTGCCTCGAAGCGGAGTACAGTCAGGGATATAACTCGTCAGAAGCGTGACTGGTTGGCACTTGCATAATTGGATATCAAAGAGGCGAATCGACTCTTCCAGGCTTTCCCAAAAGCCGATGGTCTTTCAGAACTATCTGTCCCGTTCGTTACGCATAAACGGAGGCACACGTATTCATATTCGGGCTGAGTAGAGCGATTAAGTCCTTTTTGAAAGGCATCCGTTACATATAGTACCTGACAACAGCCATGTGTAGGCGGTATTCAGGAACGTCGACACGGCTACCAGGAGGGCCAATATCAGGGGAAACAGAACTGCGGATAGCTGAATGCCCGGAACCAAGGGGTTCCCAAATGCCCACGGCCAGAGAACCTAACCTCCACCAGCGTTTGAACATCTCGGTACATATAGCTACCCCGTATTAGCTGTCTGGGATAACGTTATTCAGGCTCATATCTGGTTCAATGATGATTGACTGTGCCAGACGTTTGCAACTCCTGGCTATGTAATAGTCTCTCGGTTCGAAGCGCAAGGAACCAGCCTTCCTGCAAGCAGTCCTCGATATCTCAGCAACTGCCTAACTAGTTAGTACCTAGCTGGCCACGGGTGAGATGAGACGACTGACCCTTCTCTTCCCGTAGTTAGTACTTCGTATATTATTGTCGTCCATCCTTGCCGGTGTTTAAATGCGTATCATCTACGCGGTGGCGCTCCTTGACCAGCTAGCTCGAGGCGATATCCTCCACCGCACCAAGCCACCCCTCTGTCTGTCCACCACGCAGCACCACCAAAGCAAGCTCGTTCTAGCCAGCAGAGCGATCGCGAGCTAGCTAGCTCGGTGATCGGAGCCTCTAGCGGCCAATGACAGCTGCAGCTACGCTCGTCTTTGCGTCATCGGTGCAAGCTCTGCTGCTTGGTTGCTTTTTCCTAGCGGCGGGTCATCCTATAAAGTCGGCCTGATATCCCGGGCACCAACGTCGACCTACTTCCTTGATCTCTTTGGTATTTGAATCTATATCAATTGAGCACTTCCAGACACCATCCATTTGAAATAGCAGAGAACTAGGAAAGAATCAAGTCAAGATGCCCGCCGCCTCTCGTATCGCCGCGCCCATCTTCAGGTTCGGAGAGATAGTCTTCGGCGCTGTAAGTATCATTCCCTGAGCCATCCGTGTGCCTCAGCAGCCACCGCTGCCTCAAAGGAAGCAAGCAAGCAGACGGGCTGACTCGGTTGTGTTCACAGGTTGTTGCAGGCATTATCGGCTCATACCTGCACTCCATCAGCCGCAGTGCCATCCGCGGATTCCCCGAGGGCCGCTGGATCTATACCGAGGTCATCGCCGGTGTTTCCATCCTGCTAGGCCTGCTCTGGTTTATCCCAACTTCCTTTTCCTTCATGGCATGGCCTAGTACGTCGTGCTACCCCCTGTAAATATATTGCCGGCATTAGTGTATAACGTACTAACGTATCACCAGTGGACTTTATCCTCTCGATGGCCTGGTTTGTCTCGTTCGGCTTGCAGGTCAACTCACTCGGTTCTCGGAACTGCGGTAGTGCCTTCAATTGGACGGGTTTCACCAGCAATAACCCATGCGGCCGATGGAGGGCTGCTGAGGCATTCAGCTTCCTCTCTGCTTGCTTCTGGCTAGTCACTTTTCTCATTGTATGTTCTCTCTTCTGTTTCATATAAGAACGTCCCGTTGCTGACAAGTTTATAGGGCGTCTGGTTCACTTTCCGCAAGCGAAATGATGCCGTTGCCGGCGATGGAGCTAAGTCAGTATTTGCTATCTATGCATGCTTTCTTTAGTTATTGTAAACAGATTGACTAACTTAATTAAATCTTAGTGGTAATCGTAAGTGGTACCGTCGCCATGCTGTCTAAGTGCTTTCAAAGCAGCATCACATCCTCCTCCCAAGCCATGGAGGTGTTCAATGTCATCCGCAATGAGGGTATACGACTGCCATGCTACCAATCTCATGTCATGTTATGATCATGACCTCCTGACGATTCTATTACATCTCTAATACCTAATCATCTCCTCGATACCCTCATGTTCCTACCTTCTGGATTTCCTTGCCTTGATATACCCGAGTGATAATTTACTGCGAGCCCATGATACTTTCCCACTACTCCTTGAAATTCATGTAATGAAGATAATGTTGCAATGAGAGATAATATCCCCTTTTTTAAGAATACTTCGTTCATTTATCCTGCTGCTTCTAGTAGTATCACACAACATAACCCTTGCACTTCACATGTTTCAGGCTCTGTTTCCCGCCATCCCCAATGACCAGGGCTGTAAGTCTCCCGCCGCGGACGCATGAAGTGTCTAGACCTTTTGTATATTCTCGTATGACCGGAAGTTGTTTCGCATCATGGCCGTAAATCACCGTAGTAGGCTGTGCCCCCTTCTCCTTCACCATACGGCGCTGGTAATCATCAAATGCCTACAAGACATCTTTTAGAACTCAATCCCTGCAGGTATCTCGTGCGAGTACGATAACTCACCTTAGACCAGGCTATTCCCACTTTCCCAGAGCTAGGCGTATGACTATCCACATCAAGCGTCCTCATAGTCATTACAGACGACGGATCCTGACGCTCAAGTGGCACTCCAGGAACCAGCCCTCCATGGACAACAACAACATCACCCATGCCCCTGACATATCCCACCTTAAGAATCACAGGACATGATTCAAGCCAGTCTACATCATCATCCGAGAGTTGACGGGCAAGAACATGAGCTTTTGTCTCCAGCTTATCATTAGACACTGACATCTCTCGACGGGTCAACAGGATCCTATCTTCATGATTCCCTCGGACGCAGGAAGCGTTGTATTCTCGTGCAAGACGCACTACTTCAACGCTCTTGGGTCCTTTGGTTATTACGTCTCCGACGAAAATCAAGTGGTCATTCTCACGGTTGAACGATACCCGTGAAAGCAGCTTGTCCACTATATGACACAACATCAGCATTGAATATCTAGAGACGACCGGGGTAGAGAAGATCGTGCATACACTCATCCTTGCATCCATGCACGTCACCAACTATTACAAGTCTTCGTCTCGAGCGACGAAACCACGATTTCTTCTCGCCGGGTAACAGCCGCGCATCCAGGGTTTGTATGTGAGCCATGTCCGTAAACCCCGGCAGTGCATTCGAGCCAAAACCACCCACCGATACGGTCTCTGTTGCTCTCGTCGAAAGCTCTGTCCAAATCCTTGCCCTCTTGTGTTTCCGCAGTGGAGTATCCTAGGTTATTCCAGGCTGCGAAGGACAGACACAGAAGAATGAGCAGGACCAGCAGCCATCGTCTATGACGTAGTGAGGCGAAGCTTATGGTGTGGGCGAGGGCGCTGCAGCGTCTGCCTGCACGTACAAACGGCATTTATTCATCTATTCTGCGATGAACAGAGGGTATAACAATGGCTTCCAGCTGGTAGCACGCATGGAATAGGTCAAATGGGTCCATCGCATGTTTGCTGGATATGGAACCGTGGTTGGTATAAACTCTGTCTCCTTGATGCCTTCTGGTTGATTCTGAGCGGTAACTACCTGTTAATATATAGCAAAGGTCTAGTGACGTAGTTCATCTAAACAGGGACAAATGTTGGCAGACGATACGGTCTCGTTGATCATCAATGTGCATGCATTCTAAGGGGCTAAAATATGCTATAAACAAGAAGAGATAAGACCTAGAAAATACAAGACAATCATCTATATCTCTGGAAGAAACGCTCTTCCGCCATACGCTCTCTGACTTTTTGTATAATCGTATTATCGTAGACCTCGGAATGTTGCTTGCCTCCACTAAGCACCTCCTTCTCGTGGTGCAGTGCTTCCTCCTTGGTCATACACACTAGCTCGCTGAGCTGTAAACGTGTCCCCTTCTGGCCCTGCTTGAGCAGTTCCGGGTCTGCCCCAAAGCCGTGGGCAGGCCGTTCCCATCTTACCAGTACAAGTCGAGTGGTAAGGCCACTGACGACACTCTTGCTTCTCCATACCTCTTCAATAAGGTATCCAACATCCTCTTTGCTGATCGGGACTCTCAGTCCAACCGGGTCTTGGCCTTCTATAGTCTTTGCAAGACGAGCTTCTGTTCCCTGTAAGCCTCCCAAAATGCTGTCGTAAAATTTATCTCTGTTTTTACCCGCCGGGTTGTATTCGTTAGGATACCCGGACACCTCGCATATGACGTGGTTTGAAATGGTATAGCCGAAAACAGCAGGCATGGTGCCTAGAACTGGAAGTATACGGACTCTGAAATCCGGTAGCACTCCCAGGTCAGAGACATCACCCTTGTTAATCTCCTCTTCGGCCAAAGGTAGGAGCTCGGCTTTTCCTGGGCCTGGCTTCTCAAGTGAAAAAACGACAGGTATACCGCTTGAAACTCCTAGCATTTTCAAACGGCGTCGTGTGCTCCTCGATAGAGGATCTTCCAGGCTGAGTGAGATATCCCCTATGGCAACACGGGTTGGGTCAGATTTGCACCCCGCACCCATAGACGAAATCACCTTGATACCGCGTGAGTGGCAGTAGTGAAGCAGCGAGACCTTGGATGATATATTGTCGATACAGTCCAGGACATAATCCGGCTTGCGGGTAACCGTATCATTCGCCATGGACCATGGGGTCAGAAGTTGGTCGGCCGCTGCCTCGCTATATAGTTGGTTTCGGCAGTCAAAGCGCACCCAGGGGGTAACTTGTTGCAGCCTCTTTTCGATGCATTTAACCTTTGATGTTCCGACGTCCGCTAATGTCGCGAGCGCATGTCGATTCAGTGATGAGAGGGTAACTTGGTCGAAGTCTATAAGCCGAATTCTTCCAACGCCCGATCGAGCAAGGGCCGCAGCCGCATGGGAGCCAACTCCCCCACAGCCAACAACTATTATAAAGGAGGATCGGAGCTTTGCTAAGCCTTCGTCGTTAAGGAATACACGGTTTCGAGCAAGCTGTTCGAGTATGAGATCTAAACACAAGTTAACTAAGGTATAAAAATATACGGCAGGACCAATAAACATACCATCATCATAGTCTCCCTGCTGAGCTCTCTTAGCCAGTAAAGCACTCCTTCGATCCTCCTCGCTTATCGGTGGTGTCACTATACCATACTCTGTAAGCTTCATAGTCTGTTAGCTTGCTGTTGAAATAGAAGAAAAACTGGGTATAAAATATCAAAACACCCCAAAGAAGCTCCAATCAGCATCCTAACCACCCAAAAAGCTACTAACCTCCTCAGCAGAACTCTCATCCAAGGCCGGTATCGAGGCCTTGAGCTTTTCAACAGCTGCCTGGCGCTTCACACTCTGGTAACCAAGAATCGCACTGGCTACTGCAACCCCAGACAACACCGCTGCACCCGCCAGCTGCACGCCATGCGAGCCTGCCTGGCGCTGTATCCAGCTAGACATCGTTTCTGACCTTCTTCCACCTTGCCTGGCTGCCCTTGGTGGTTCAGGTTCACTGTCCTGCGTGTATGTGTAGCGACGTTCAATCTGCTTCTTATCGTCACTATCTTGCCATGGGTTGTGGTCGTAATATTCGTAATCCTGTGACCGGCTGTAATTATGATATCGTGGGTAGTCCATCGCTTCAACCTGGGCGGTTTGTGTTCATCATCGACATGGCAAAGCACATCGGGGATACGTGTATGTGTTATATAGGCGATGCAAGACGAGCGGCGAAGTTCTTCTTCATCGCTTTCGTTGTCGCTTCAATTCGCTGGCTGTCGATGTCATCGTACATGAACATGCACGTGACTGTATTTTTGTCAGTGTATATAAAAAGAACATCGCGCTTCACTTTCCCTTCTTCTCTTCTTCTGTTTCTCCAAAAAAAAAAAGAGTCTCGATGACGATAAAATCTCACGGAGCTACACCGAGTTTCCCCTGGGACAACGTCTGACCGCTGATTTCACCCTTTCATGGCTTCTCCTGGGGTCCGGGAGGGATGAAACCGCGTTGGATGGTACCGAGGGAGACAGATGTGGACATTTGAACAGAGATCTTAGAGACGCTATTACAGCTATTTTAACTGCTATCACGACGCTTTATATCTTACAATCCGCAATTCTTTGTGCATGCATCAATCTTTTTTACGTGGTTCCGCCTGAAAGTAGGGTATAAACGAGCATGAAAATGTATGGCCAACCTGTCAAATGTGTCAGGGTTGTAAGGTATGCTTATACCCGCCAACCTTTCCCCTACATCTCCGAGCCCACAACATGAGGAACTTTTTAGCCTTTAATCTAAGGTAGGGGATACTGAATCCCCTTTGCTCCGCATGTTTTGCACAGTGATGCAAAACGGCGTTTTGAGCAATTACCGATGCTGTGATACAGTAGTTTTCAATCTGATATACCCAATTACACTGTTGTCCGCATTGCACATCATCGTTTATCCTAGCTCGACTTAGACTAACTGTTAATATAGACGTCCGCTTTCTGTCCTCTTTTCGAAGAGACCGTTGGTCAAGTAGATGTATTACTTGTATACATAGGGTATGATCATATTGACATATCTTGTAACCATTACACGCGTAATAGAAAAACGTGGCGCTGGAATAGGGAGGGCAAGATGATTTAGCTGTCCGGTGATGATTCAACGTGTCTGAAGCCAAAGTTGCATGATATCCTACAAGTACCTGCCTTCTGGCCAGGCTGTGTTGTCTCATTCTACGCGTCAATACGGTTGTATGGAAATCCATGAGAACAGCAAGAGAGCTAATCTGAGGACATTCAAGGCTATTCATTTATACCCTCCTAGACGATGTTGTGTTGACGTTTACTGCACGAGGGCTAGATATGGTTTAATGAGTGGGTTGATTATATGCAAAAGATGGTCCGTAGTAAACATTCTAAATTACAGCGCTTGAGATAGAATAAGACCCCTTTTAACTCCAACAGTGCTATATGTGCCAAAAAAAATCATGAAAATCATGCAAGAAATTTCTTCACAGGACCTCCAATATTCTCCAAATCCAGGAGGAAAGTATCATGTCCAAAATGGGATACATCTTCGCTTAGCTCGATATGCTTGACTGCCTTACTGCCAGCGGCCTGGAGTGATTCTGCAATTTCTCGCTGCTGCCACGCAGGGAAGAGAATATCACTTGCTACACCCATGACAAGTATAGGGTGATCCTTTAGTGGAGAGAGTCCATTAACGAGGTCCATAGGAGGGCCTGAGGAGGTAGATTCAGATGGTGCGGCTGAAGAGCTACCAGAGCCCTGAATATTATCATTCGCCGATGGTTGTTCCTCGTACGGTTTTGAAGGCAAGGTCAAGCTACAAGATGCATTATCCTGAGCAGACATCTTCCCGCGTGAGGATATCCTTTCCTCGTTTTCCAGTCGGCGTTGAAGGGTGGCTTGCTGGTGTGATAACCCCAGGTCGAAAAGGTCCATGGCCTTAGAAATATACAGGAGGCTATTTGAATCATACTCCAATGAAAATTTTTCACCAGCATGGTCAAGGTACGTCTCGATTAAGAAATCAGGACACAGTGCCGGATTCTTGCTTGAATCTGCTCGCTTTCTACCAAATCGTTTCTCCCATTCTGGTCCGCTACGGTAGGTAACTGTGGCAATCTCTCTGGCTAGCTTCATACCTGAATGGGGAGGGATTGAATCATAATAAAATCCCCGAGCCCAGTTAGGGTCCATCATGAGGACCTGGCGCTGGGTGTGGCGCATAGCAATGCTGTAAGGGTGACTTCTTGCACAACCACTGATGCTGATTATCTTGTTCACTCGCTCGGGAAATAGTATCCCTGCAGCCAAGCTCTGCATTCCACCCATACTAGCACCAACAGACGCATACAGCTTCGAAATCCCCAGATGATCCAGAAGCCGAAACTGTGCTCGAACCATGTCGTTTAAAGTCAGGATAGGAAACCTAGTAGCGTACCGTTTGCCGTCCGACGGGTCAATTGATGATGGGCCTGTGCTCCCATAGCAACCCCCAATCACATTCGTACAAATGATGAAATGCTTGTCTGTATCCAAGGGAGCTCCTGGCCCGATGAATTTTTCCCACCATCCTGGCTGTGGGTTTGTCTTTGTGCTGTGCGCATGACTTGAAGCGGACAGGCCAGTGTGAAGGAGTATAGCATTGCTCTTGTCCGCATTCAATGAACCCCACGTTTCATAGGCAATGTCAAATTCAGGCAGCATACCACCCCAGTCCAGTAGGATATCTTGTTTTGAAGTAAACACCTCATGTTTGCCAACTGTATAAGATGGCTCTGGTCCAGAAGCCAAGGACCTCCTTGACAGGGCGGCAGATTTGGCCTCCAGAGCATCTAGACATGGGAAGGACATAGCAGGATTTGAGGAGTCATACTGGCTTCTGTCCTGGGATCTCGATTGGGAGACAATAGCCTGAGAATTGAGAGGCTGCCTGGTGTGATGGATTGCCCGCTGGTGGACTAATGGTACAGGACTGCTGCGGTAGCATGCGAACGAAGAAGCAGTACCCCGGCAACGGTGGGCCAGAGATTTCCCCGAAAATGCCTGCACCACGCTTCTGACTGCTTGCTGAAGGCGAGTCATCTCTTCACAATACTCGACCTCAACCTGGTATCAGCACAAGACGAGAGATTCCTGTGTCCATCCTCGCCTGTCTCGCTTCTTGAACTTCTTCGTTCTATCAAGCTAGTCGGCTCGGAGGGCGCTTACAAATCTTGGACCTCGGCACTTGCGTCATCTTGGCGGTCACCTATTGGCGAAGCATCGGATTATGTAACATACATTTACTTCAAAATAGCTAAGTCCCGTGATATCGATGACTAATAACGAGTTTTTCTCGGCTGTTTGAATTTCAAGGGCGACGACAGTTCAAGAGATCAAGCCAGCATCAGCAGCGAGATATGATGGCATGAAGCTGTTCAAGATTTCTGGCATCCGTTAAAGTGCGTATCTGCTGCGATATCTCATTGTTACCTGTCACATTTGACACCATAGTCCATGGTCTAAATGATGAATATTATGAAGCAACGTCCTTGGGGATATCACCCCTCATATATAGCTTCACCCCAGGATACCCATCCGTTTACATGAAGCACCCCATGCTTGGAATTGCGAAGATTGACGGGAAGAGGGTGCTTGAGCGGACAAGTGGGCAGATCATTCAAGAATATAAGCATCCAGGCGCCCGCTATGCATATCTTTGTTGCCCAAACTCTCCTATGGATATCCGTTTCAGTTACCCCATGGGCAACGACGTCATTACTGTTGATACTCCCGGGGAATTGATTTGGGATCGGCCATCAAGCAAGAACTTCCTGGCTTCACGATCGAGATGGTGGGCCGCAAAAGCCGCTGATACCTGATCTTATAGGCAGCGATTGACATATCGAATAATTACTAAGTATAACAGCGTTATGCATGATTGCACGGTGCTCCTTTAGGCGGAGCTTGTTAGATACCAAGGTTCCTCAGTCCTTTTGTTAGATATCCGCCCGATAGTGTGACGAAGTATGTGTGTTGGGCATTAATATCGTTATTTGTGTTTGCTGTCTTATATTAAGGAAGCATCTTCGGGTAAAATTAGCTGCGAGTAGCCTGTATAAGGAACCAAGCATGCAGCGACGGAAAGACGCTGAAGGAAAGCCCCCTGGTGCTAATTAATTACACCAAAGCTATATAATAGCAATGTCGACTATACATGCACAAGTATGCAGAGCTGATGAAGCCCCGCAGAGATATTCGGAAGCTGGCTAGAGACAGAGCGGGGAATACTCACAGTATAATATACACAATATCACTTTTGAGCTTCTGTACTCCGTACTCCGTGTGTGGATTCCCGACGTTCCTGACACTCATGGAAATCGGCGGATAAGACCCTGAGTCAAGGATGCCAGCAGACACAAGTATGACGTCCCCTCACTCTCCGCTCTTCGTACCAGGCGGAATTTCAATTTCTGCTCAAGATAAACTATTTTTCCGCTGGAAGATCCTCAGGTATATGCACTGAGGTTCAGCGATGATAGCCCAAGATCGGTCCCTTCACCCGAATGAAGCCAGGAACGTATGTATGTATAAGGGCATACTCCGTAAAGGATAGTACTATATTCGTATTTCGCTTGTCGATCGTCAGATTTATTTAGGGACAGAATCCTTGTAACTAACTGCGAATAGTTGACGCGAGGATTTGTCCAGGGCCTTGCTTGGGACTTACGTTGACATTGTTGTCGATCAAAGGGCGGGCGTCTGTAACCTGGAGATACGAGAGAAAGTTGTATGGAAACTTCTATCCTCCAAAGCGGAGAAACCTCGCAGCCAAGAAGATCCGCTATCTCTGGGGCAAAGGAAGAGTCCGCATCCCGTCGCCTCCGGCGGGTACAAAGTACCACCAACTCGGCAGCGTTGCAACTGTGCTACCTGTGTTCGTGTTGGCAAGCAAGGTCGCAGAGAAGACTGGTAGCAGATCGACTGGACGAGGACCGCGTGAGAAGGATCATGAGTGCTGTACATCTCCCGGAGCATACTGCTGGAGTAGGTAGATGACCAGGCAAAAAGTCAGAGGACGTCACTCTTCGTCATGGAAAAAGAAACGAGCACTTCTGGGCTAGGCTGAACGGTCGTGCACAGCCCTGAAACCTGTCCATCTCGTTTAACTAAGGGACGGGGCCGGCAATTGACGATATCTCCAACGCATGCGAAACAGCCTAGGTTCCGAGACACCTGTACACATCATATCATGTTCCTCGTTGGCTGGCTTCGTGGGAGAGACTTGTATAGGTGCATTAGAGAGGCAGCTATATACACCTGTCATATAGGTCCCTCTTATCTCGCAGGGGGGCGCACAAAGAATGCATCGTGAAAGCGACGGATGGGACCAAGCCTGTCATTCACCATTGACTTGATATGGGAATGATTATCCCATTATCCATACTACCATGCAACTTGAAGCTCTCCTGTGCCGTCTCCTCGTGAAGCCTTGTCATTGCGGCGAGAATCCCCTTTGATGTACACTGCAAGATCAAGGGTTGGATTTTTGATCCCCCGAAGCCCTGTTTGAGCCTGCAGAACCAGACCGTCCCTCTAGTGGAATAGGGTGAACCAAATAAATTCTCCTTTGCCTCCACAAGCCTCTCCACCCCTGACAAGCCGGCATTAACAGGGGCGTTAATATCTCCCTTCGAGAACTTTAGCCAGGGCCATCTGCAGGGATGCCAGCCGCGAGGACAACCTTCGTACACAAGTCAAAAAAAGCATCATCGTCGTCTCTTCTTGCGTCGTCATCTTTTCTGAAAAGAGCTGATCCGCGTTTCAGGGCTCCCCATACGGCCTTGCACCCACTGAAAGGCGGAGATACGGTCCTAAACGGCCTCATTGGATGTGCTCAGGTGTTTCTACCAGATTCGCCATCCCGGTTGATGCACCGAGCAGAAAAGCTTGTGCAACTTCGCGCTGAGGATTGGGTCTACTCTTTGAGAAAGGAGCGGATGACATGAACAGCCACGGAGCCATACGGAGCTCGCATTCCAGAACCACACATTATGGAGCCGGAAAGATAGGCGTACGGGAACCCTGTACCCGCCCGTGATTATTAGCGGTGGAGGACATGCGACATGAGGCCGTCCGATGGTCAATCCAGTCGTTTTCATCCTGGCGAGCCCGTCGAACCTGGCGGGACTAGGGGGTGCACGAAGCTGTGCCGCTCGAGGATAGAGACGGCGGCGGTGGCCCTCTTATCATACTTAAACGATAATAATGGGCCTGGGACACAAATACTCCTCCATGGGCTGCTGCTCTGGCGTTAGGAGGTCGATCTTGTTTCTCTCGTGTGGCGTGTTTCTATCCATACTTGACCCCATAGCATGGGACGAAGTTGACGTTGTTGTTTTTGGTAGGTAACTAAGCTTTGCATGACCCGGAGATCTTTCTTTCTCTCCTGCTCAAAAGCACCAACACCTGATCCTCTTCCTCTGCTTCTTCTTCTTCCTCTCATCCTCAACCACGGCCTGATACATCGTCACACCAACTCTTCAGCCTTTTCTCTTCCTTTTCTTCCTTTCATTCATTCCTTCATCTCTTTTCTTTTCTTCTTCTTCTTCCTTTTTACTGATTTAACGGCCTAGCTGTCTCTCTAATCACCTCTATATAGAGCAAAAGGGACCTTTCAACACTACAAGCAGCTCCGGATAGCTTGCAAACCAAACAATATCCAGCTCTTCTGAGCGTCAATGCCTGTTCTCGACTCAAGATAACCAGAAGCAAACATGATTTCCTTTCGAAAATGCGTGGTCATCGCCTTTTTCATCCTCTCAGGCATCTTCCTACTGCACACAGCTCACGCCAGGCCGGCGCTGGCCAAGACTGGATTCGGGACTCATCGCCAACGATCAGAGCCACTGGGCACTCAGATCACTGCCAAGCTGGGATCCAAGGTTGATTCTACGCCTGAACAGGAGCCTGAGCAGGAGGCTGAACCTGAACCTGAGCCCGAGCCCAAAAAAGAGCCTGAACCGGAGCCAACAACGCTCCGGGGACGCCTGAAGTATCATTTCCCTTATGGCGTAAAGGCCAAGTTCCCCGGGTACATCTGGCAGACATGGAAGTATACTCCTGCCCAGGGGGAGTTCGACCCTATGCTAAGGCCGCTAGAAGCGAGCTGGACCGAACTTCACCCTGGATTCGTGCACCAGGTCGTGGACGATGACAGTGCGGTATACTTCTTGAAATACCTCTATGCTTCGTTCCCAGAGGTCATCGAGGCATACGATGCACTACCGTTACCGGTTCTAAAGGCTGATTTCTTCCGATACTTGATTCTTCACGCACGAGGAGGCATATACTCTGACATCGACACCCTAGCCCTTCGAGCAGCAACAGAATGGATACCACCAACGTTCGACCGGTCAACGATCGGGCTCGTCGTGGGCATTGAGGCAGATCCAGACCGCGCAGACTGGGCTAAGTGGTACTCTCGCAGGATCCAGTTCTGCCAGTGGACCATCCAGTCGAAACCAGGTCATCCTGTTCTGCGGGATGTCATTGCCAGCATCACCGAAGAAACATTACGCATGAAGGAAGAGGGTATCCTCACTGCGCGCGATATGGACAAGTCAATCGTGGAGTTCACCGGCCTGCGGTTTGGACGGATGCTATCTTCAAACATTTCAATGATCCCGTCAACTTCCCCAGCGAGGAAGGAAAGCACCAAAACATCACTGCGCTCCATTTCACTGGCATGACGAAGCAGAAGCAAGTAGGCGACGTTGTCATTCTACCCATTACGAGCTTCAGTCCTGGCGTCCAGCAAATGGGTTCTGAGGAGATAGACAGTGACATGGCTTTTGTCCAGCACGAGTTCTCAGGTATGGCCACATCCATATATATGTTAAGCAAGCACGTCTCCTGCCAGTTACACTTATCTAACTGTTACTCTTATAGGAACATGGAAGTCCGATGAAGACAGACGAATTGGCCACTGGTAGACCTACATACCAGACCAATACCTTTCCTTCGATCTCTAATACCGCTTTTGAACGACCGCTTTACGACCTTCTCTTACAGCCAAATCCCTTTTTAAAAGTGGGGGGCCCTTTATTTCTAACTCTAGTCATTCTCCCTGAAGTCTATAGACTCCGTCAACTGTTTCGTTTTACCTTCACTTTCGTTACTTGCATTTGATACCACTTCGTTCGTTCCACTTTCAACTCTCACTCGCTACCTTCCGACACTCGTCAGCGGCGAGAACCGGCACCCCAGCCATAAACCAGAGCAGGCACTCTTGTTTTCTCCCTTTTACTTCCTGGTATTACTCCTTCTTGTCCATACTTGCTATATCTTTTATCCCGGCACTCGGGCGGCATTAGCACTGCAGTATATAGATTTTACAAACCGTTTAGACTCCGCCTAGAGTTTCTAGCTAGCTAGGCGTCGAGAGACAAAAATGAGAGGCATATTATTCTGATATTCCGGAGATCTAAGCTTCCAGTCCAGAAATATATACGCAGTGTTTTATAAGTAAATGGTAGGAAGAGATGTGTGACCACGACAAGGTAAGTAAGTATGCAAGTATGTACCTAAGATAGGTACTCAGCCAGGAAGTTGTGAACAGCCACCCAAAAGAAAAGGCCTCCTGGGTGTACTTGTGACGAGAAGAGTCACATATATAAAACTGAATAAAAGAAATGGTACAGCGGATGGAATGCTAGCAGGCTGTTTCGGTGGTAGATGCTTCATCAACGCCGGTCGCGATGGAAATGTTGATGTCGCAGGTGATGTAGTGAAACTATGTGCATGACGTAGTTTGTGTGCAGTTATTCAACTGAGTGTGAGCAGGCCAAAAAAAGGAACTCACACCAATGAGCCGAACCATCAAGGCCGCCCGAAAATATATATAGTCTCGTCGCAGGACTCGCTTAAAAGTCCTGGAATATCTCTTCATAACGCGCTTTCAGCTCATCCGTATACGCAGCCTGCGTAGCTGGATCCGGAGGATCCGGGTATTCCTCGAAATTCGCCGTATCAGCAGCATGGCTTATATGCGGCACAATCGGGCCATTAACCCGCCTATTATATAGATCATCCCAATTGATGCCTTCAAAGAACGGGTGGTCGCGAACACGCTGGCTTCCTCCGGATATATGGCCCAGCCGCTCTGACGGATTAACTTTGCAAAGAGCACTAATTATATCCTTAGCTGGGGCAGGCATGTTCGCGGGAAAACGGATGCAGCCTGCAACGATCTTTTCGTATATTCCCATTGGGTTAGAGTCCCAGAAGGGCGGTTGGCCAACTATGAACTCGTAAATGAGGATTCCCAGGGCCCACCAGTCGACTGCTAGGCCATGACCACTGTTGTGTATGACTTCAGGAGCGAGGTATTCCGGTGTACCGCAGAGGGTATAGGTCTCAAGATTATATAGTTGTTTTGCGAAGCCGAAGTCGACTAGTTTGAGATGGCCTTCATGGTCGAGGAGGATGTTTTCGGGCTTGAGGTCGCGGTAGGCTATTCCATGCATATCATGGAGATACCCGATCACTAAGGTTATTTCCGCAGCGTAGAATCTAGAGGTGTATTCGTTGAATCTGCGAGCTCGCCGGAGAAAGCTGAATATTTCGCCGCCAGGGCAGTATTCAAGCTAGACATGGTTAGTCGGGGACTCCGTAGGGTAAAGACAGGAAAGGAGGGTATGATAGGTCCACACCAGCATATAGAGGCATTGTTCGTCCGAAAAGGTAGTGACTAGCGTTGTTATAAAGGGGTGACCGGCAGCCTTGGAGAGGCACTTGCTCTCGTTTCGTACGTGTTCGACTTGTTTCAGCTTTATTACTGCAAAGGAGAAATCCTCCGTTAGCCAATGGCTCACCGCTTATTGAATATCTGGAGGTCGGATAGCTAACCTTCGGCTTTCCTGAGTATCTTCAGAGCAAAGATGTTGTTGTCGGATTCTTCGGCAGTCTTCAACCTGGAAAACCATACCCGAGCAAAGGTGCCTTTAGAGAGCAAAATCAATTAGTTAGCAGTTGTCCTGCATAATTCTGAGAAAGTAGGCTGGTACATACCTGTACCGAGCGTCTTGATGAGCTCAAAATCGTCAATTGTGAGTCCGGTATCAGGCAGACCGGCGTCCTGCTTCAGCCGGGCTTGAACAACATTCTTGGGCGTCCTGGGCCTCGACGCCGGCCACGAGAGGCGGTCCGGCTTGACTCCAGCATCAACATGGCCCTGCTCCAGCACCTGCTGCTCCTTTGCATGCGCTATGTCAGGTAACAACTGCTTTATCATCTTCGTTGTTGCCATAACGAAGAGATCCGTTTCCTTCGTCCCCCCGCCTTCAGCTCCAGGTTGTAACGTAGTGTGTTCTGTATAGATTCCGCAGACAATATTGTGTTATGTTAATTATTTCCCTTGCAAATTCCTTCTCTTATCTGTCTGCTCTTCTATTTCACGTCGCCATGCCGAAACGACGGACGCTTAGGAAGGAGACCAAGCTCAGCGAAACCGGTTCGGAGATTTCGGCGCAGAATGATTCTTGGGTGACGTAGTTAGATGCAGCTTGCTTAGCTGGCATTGAGGGCGCGAACGAGGTAAGCTGCTGGGCGCGGCAATCGCCATTGATGTCCAGAAGCGTCCGCAGGCCGAAGGAGAAGCACACGAGACATCGCCGTCCTGAAGGCTTTTTCGGTTTCGTTTCGTCTCCCTGCGAGCTAAAGCGAAGCGGAAAAAACGACGGCGGCGGAACTTGCGACTTTCTCTGACGTAATAAGAGATTAGTCATGGCTTAGTCAGGTATCATGGACAGGGAAGCACAAGGAGGAGCGAGGAGGAACAGGAGGAAGAAGGAGGAAGCGGAAGAGACGATGATATTAGTTATGGTAGAGTACATGGAGAGCACAGGAAGAAGGTCTAGAGCAAGAGAGAATGGCAAAGAACATCCCGAAACAACCCGATGCCTGGCTAGGTGGCAGTTTGGGACGCGTCGCTGGAGTATATACAGCAAAGGGACACGTCGGATAGCATGCTGTCTGCAGGAGGTAGCAGATAGTAGATAGTAGAGGGTAGGTGGTGAGTGGTAAGTGGTAAGCGGCAAATGGTAGATAAGATGGTAGACAATATAAGAAAAAAGAGAAGGGCCCATCCACGACAGCAAAAGGTCACAAGAAAGGAAGCACATCTAAGCAGAACTCTTCGAGTTTAGAATCAGACCAACAATCAAACTAGCAGGAGAGTTAGTACGGGCCATTTAGCGGAATACGGTGGCGGCAAACATACCCGTATAGACCCAGGACTTCACCAAAAATCAATATCAAGACCATTCCCACAAACACTTTGGACTGTTGCATATACGCGCGTGTTCCCTGGGTATCTTTAGTAATGGTCCAATTAGATCAACGGTAGCACAACTTACAGCTTCACCAACTATTCCAATGGTGTAGCCGGCAGCCAGGCCTGCAAGGCCGACTGAGAGACCAGCCGCAAGATGTAAACATCCCCTATCACATAGTCAGTAACCAGCAGGTTATGTGTCCCAGGTATAATAAGCTCCACGTACGCATATAAACTGTACTGCGTCTCTGGTGGCGGTCCCAGATCTCCAGCAATCAAAACGGCCACGACAAGTCCGTACACCGCAATGATACCGGCCATGACAACGGGTATCAGTGACTATAGATGCTACCATGTTAACAAAACGTCCATTTCGCATGGGTCAAGGGTAAGGGGTAGTATCGTGCCTTCATGATCAAATCAGGTCTGAACGTTCCGACACCCGCAATACCAATTCCGGCCTTTGCTGTGCCATATGCTGCTCCTACACCTATAAGGGTAACATGTCAATATATGCGAGCGTTTCCATATTCTCATCGTCCACAGCAGGGTCAAAGCGTACATCCAAAGATTATCTAGCAATACATCCATCAGTAATCTCCTTTAATAAGTTGTGTTGTAGGTAGGTACTTACAGCAGAAGCGATACCGGCCTGGTTCGTTGGTGATAAGATGTTAGCCCATGCCGTCCAAGCAGCCATTCCAACCGCAACAGGGAAGTAGAACTAACCATCCCGATGAAGGGGGCAAACTTGGGAGCAAGCTCGCTCTCCGCCATTGTGTCTGCAGCTCCTGGCTATGTCTTGTTCGAGATCGAAGGTGTTGGTTTTCTCATCCACTGTCTGGGATGAGTTCCCCGTAGGCAGCTGTAGCTCTTGTTTATCGTCAGGGAGTAGTCTCTCTTCGGTTTCGTCCTCGTCGTCTCGTTTCGTCTGCACTTTCGCTAGACAGGGCCTCTGTCTATCCCGTTATGCAGTGTCTGACTGTCTCTTCGTCCGTCTCTTCTCTCACTTGCTCTCTTGTTTCTCCTTCGTCTCTTCTTCTTCGTCTTTGGTTGTTTGAAGATTGAGATTCAGACCCAATCAGGATCCAGGTCACGTGAATACACCAAATTACAGCTGCCCGTACAGCCTCTAGATCCAAAGTGCGCTCAGCATTCACTGTTTCCTCACTTGTTCATTTGGGCTGTCGGAGCATCTCCTCTGCCGCTGCTACGTATCTGCTCCCTAACAGCCTAAAAACCGCCCTGTAAACCTGCTGCGTCGCCATATCGAGGCCGTCCTGTACTGTTAGCCACAATACCAGGCTAAACCCTTTTCGGCGTCCTCCTTCGTCAAGGTCGAACACCCAAAAAGACGACGAAGAAACATCTCCAAACTCGCGGCTCAACGACATCTTCGCCTGTCTCTTTTGTGCACGCTGCTCGACCATCAGAGCTGCTCTGCCGACGTCTTCCGCTCCATTCACAGCTTGCTGCAGGCCCGGCATTGTCCTTCTGCACCAGGACCTTCGACTTTTCTCTGTCGGGAGGGCAACGAGGGGATCCCTATCATACTCCCTTAGCAGAGGACACCCAGCTTTTACTCCCTCGCCGAAGCCATCGTTTTGCTGGCCTTGCTAAAGAGCGCTAGACTTGCCTCTCTTTGATAGGTAGAGCTTGCGTCGACGTCCTGCTTCTGCGTCACCGACTCGCTCGGTCACCGTTTGGCTTGCGTGGTTGAGCTACTCGGAGGATGAAGGGGAGTTGACCACTACAACGTCGCAGTCATTTCCCCCCCTTTCTTTTTGGCCTCGAATTTGGATGTTACTACGAAGCGAACAAGTCACCAGGCCTTCCTACCGAGAGACCTGACCGTGCTCAATTTACTACCGATACGTCAAAGCCGAACTCGAGCGTTATATCCGAGGACTTATTTCATACTTACATAAAAGCTTGTGTGCGTGTGAGTTGTGAGATAGAGCGTGTGAGCGAGACATACCTACCATGGCGGATTTGGGAGCCCAGCAAGGACGAGGTTACCGGCCTGGAGCCTCTCGTGGCCCTGCTTCTTCATCCTTCCAGCGAGATGCTGCCTTTTCCGAAATTTTCGGTGGAACGCCGCCTCCAGGCAGGTCCCAGACGATGACATCGCACACTCCACAGTTTAACCAGGAACGCGCCCGTACAATGACTTCTCACCCGTCAGACCAATACGCCCAGTCTCGGGGACAGCCTCCCCCTATGCGACAGTCTCATGGGGGATACTCGCCAAACTCGCAGGCGGGCTATCAGAACTCCCAATGGCAACCACCTAACGGCTCGGGTCCTCCCCCACAACAACGCGCACCGCCACCTCCACATCATCAACAACGTCCCATGCACCCCCAGAACCCCCAGCAATATCCTCCCAGTATGCAGCAACGGCCTTACCCCGGTCGACCTCAGTACCCTCACCCTCAACGACTGGACTCTCGCCCCGGACCCATGCCTCCCCAATTCCAACAGCAAAACCCGCACGGACGGCCTTTACCCCCTCCAGCTCTCAACTCAGATCAGTATCGATCTCGCTCAATGGCTAGACTAGGAGGACCCCCATCATACCAATCACCGCAGTCACAGTTCCCACCCACTCCTGTCAATGCTTTCCGCCAGCCATCATACCATTCCGTGGGTTCTAGGACAGCGCAGGGTCGTATAGTTCCAGAAAGACACGACAACGAACGAGCCATGTCGATGAGTTCTTACTCGGCAGACCGTGACCACGCCCAAACCATCAGTTCTGGAAGAGTCGTGCCAAACAGAAGACGAGAGTCGAATCTAGACCGGGAACGGGCTGGAGGTATGGATCGTCATTATTCAGAGTCACCAGTATCAATACAGCCTGCCATAGATGAGCCTGTGACTCCCGCGCACTCTGGACATCATGTGCTACCCCCACAGCAAGATCTCCAATTGCGAGTGCGACATCCTAGTGAGAGCTCTGTTAATTCACGTACTTTGTCCATGGCATCAACCATCGCCCCCGAACGCAACAATAGCTTGCAAAAACAACCTGTCGCTGCCAAATCTCCTAATCACTCGATGGCTGGAGCACCTCCGCCAAATAATGTGCACCGCAGAACACCGCTCGCTTATCCAGCTCTCTTATCCCGAGTAGCTGGCGTCTTTAGAGAGCGGATTGCGGTTGGTGAACGTATCAAGAATGATCTAGCTTACACCAACGCGTTTACAGGTGCGGAGGCAGTCGATCTAATTTCTTACATTATCAAGACAACAGACCGCAACCTGGCTCTTCTTCTTGGTCGAGCTTTAGATGCTCAAAAACTATTCCACGATGTCACGTATGACCATCGATTACGAGATGCCCCAGGTGAACTCTACCAGTTTAGGGAAACCCTAGGTGAAGAGTCACCCGTCAACGATGTCAACGGTGTATTTACGCTCTTGACAGAGTGTTACTCTCCCACTTGTACTAGAGACCAACTCTGTTACTCGATTGCCTGTCCACGACGCCTGGAGCAACAAGCACGACTGAACCTGAAACCTCAGCCGGGACTGAGACCATCAGCCTCCAAGGGCAGTCTTCATGACCAGGAGGATAACGATGATCAAAAGCTCTGGATCAACATGGTTCCCAAGGAAGTAGCTGACAGTCTTGACGACCGTGAGAAGAAGCGACAGGAAATCATTTTTGAGATGATGTATACTGAGCGTGACTTTGTCAAGGACTTGGAATACTTGAGAGACTTCTGGATGCGTCCACTACGATCTCCCAACAACCCCAGCCTTTCCCCGATCCCTGAGCATCGCCGAGAGAAGTTCATCCGAACTGTGTTTGGTAACTGCCTGGAAGTTTTGGGTGTCAACTCCAAACTAAGTGAAGCTCTCAACGCCCGACAAAAGGAGACCCCCGTTGTGAAAACCATCGGTGATATCTTCCTTCAGTTTGTCCCGCGATTCGACCCCTTCATCAGATATGGTGCGAACCAGCTTCATGGAAAGTATGAGTTCGAAAAGGAAAGATCCTCAAACCCTGCATTTGCCAAATTCGTTGAAGAGACGGAGCGCCTGAAGGAGTCTCGAAAGCTCGAGTTGAACGGTTACCTTACCAAACCTACTACTCGATTGGCGAGATATCCACTTCTTCTGGAAGGTGTGGCTAAATACACTGCTGACGACAGTCCCGATAAGGAGGATATTCCCAAGGCGATTGTTCTTATCCGAGACTTCCTTTCTCGAGTGAACACCGAGAGTGGAAAGGCAGAGAATCATTTCAACCTCGTGCAACTGAACTCTGCTTTGAAGTTCACTCCAGGCGATTACGTTGATCTGAAGCTCACTGAGGAGAACCGAGTGATGTTGATCAAAATGGCGTTCAAGAAGGGTCCGACCGATTCGGCAGAAGTTACCGCCTACCTGTTTGATCACTCCGTCCTACTTGTTCGAATTAAGCCCGTGAATAAACGAGAAGAGTACAGGGTTTACCGGAAACCTATTCCGCTTGAGCTTCTTGTCATTACTCAAATGGAGGAAGTGTTACCTAAGCTGGGCATTCACAAACGCCCTACTGCTGGCGGTCTAATTCCGGGAGCAAGAGCTGCTAGCACCCCAGCAGCTTCGTCCAAGGATGGGCTACCCGTTACCTTCCGTCACTTGGGTAAAGGGGGCTACGAGATAACTCTACACGCAACCTCCCAGACCCAGCGAAAACGCTTCATCGAACTAGTTGAAGAGCAGCAGAGAAAGCTGCGGGAGCGAAATAGTAACTTCTACTCCAAGACCATCCTTTGCGAGAACTTCTTCAGCGCAGTCAATAGGATCAACTGTTTGGTTCCAATTGGTACGTACCTGCGCTTAATGTGCTACTGCTCTTACATTAGGTATCCACTAACATAACAATTCCGCAGACGGTGGTCGCAAGCTTGTATACGGAACTGATAATGGTATCTACGTGTCTGAACGTTGGCCAAAGGACAAATCAGCAACTCCAAAGCGTGTTCTCGAAGCCAATGCGGTTACCCAAATTGATACACTGGAAGAATACCAGCTCTTGCTTGTACTTGCCAACAAGACTCTTAGCTCATACCCTCTTGAGGCTCTGGATACAAGCGATAACCAGAGCGCCATGGTCCGACGGCCCAAGAAGATTCAGGGACATGCTAACTTCTTTAAATCTGGTATTGGTCTTGGAAGGCACCTGGTGTGCTCCGTAAAGACCTCCACTCTATCAACAACCATTAAAGTTTTCGAGCCCATGGAAAACCTGGCTAAGGGCAAGAAGAAACCACTCAGCAAGATGTTCCAGACCGGCCAAGATGCTTTGAAGCCTTTCAAGGTACGTAATCCCAACGCTCTCTTCCTTGTTCTCTAGTGTAGTTAGTTGCTAACTTGATTATTGTAGGAATTCTACATTCCGGCTGAATCATCTTCTGTTCACTTCCTACGTTCAACTCTTTGTGTGGGTTGTTCTCGTGGCTTCGAAGTTGTCAGTCTAGAAACCACCGAGAGACAATCCCTGCTTGACCAAGCAGACACATCACTAGATTTCGTTGCAAGGAAGGAAAACGTGAAGCCCATCCACATCGAACGACTTAACGGAGAATTCTTACTCAATTACTCAGACTTCTCCTTCTTCGTTAATCGTAATGGATGGCGAGCGCGCCCAGATTGGCGAATTGCTTGGGAAGGCAACCCTACCGCCTTTGCCCTCTCTTATCCATACATCCTAGCATTCGAACCCAGTTTCATTGAAATCCGACATCTCGAAACCAGTGAACTGGTACACGTTATGACTGGGCGAAACATTCGTATGCTCCATTCTTCCACTCGAGAGGTATGTCACGCTCCTCCCTATACCCTATGCCCCAACCCCGATCTATGCATCCACTAACCGATCTATCACAGATAATCTATGCCTATGAAGATGAAAACGGAGAAGATGTCGTCACCAGTCTTGATTTCTGGAACAAACCAGCATAAACGGGGGAAAGGATCGCAAATAAACTAAAAGGAATAACGAACAACAACAAATAATCAACACATTGGGAATAACGGGATATCTTCGTCCAGATTCTTTTCCATCTTTTTGAGAGCATTTGAAGCTACCTACTACCTTTTTTTCACCTGTCCTATACGGCGTTCAATTCTTCCGAGCCCTCGAGCGTTATGCACCTTCTTTCCGATCCCTTATCAACCCATTCTCGTTCACGACCAGAATGGGCATAATGCCTGATGCCACTCTACCCTTTCTCCCCTTCCTTACCACGCCCTCCCTTCTGTTTCTCCGATGATGATGCCACCCTTCTTAAATCCGACCAATCCAATACCACATTTCTCCCACTACCTCTATGGGAAAAAGGCCAGCTCTTTTCCCATCCATGTCTCTGTTCAATCTTCTATACCATGTTCATTTAGCCCCTACCTTCACCTTCTCCAGGCGTCCACCAACCGCTAATTCACTCCAACTACATACATGGGTTATCTTCACCAATCTGACGCCTTCTTCCTCTTTCTCTTCTTCTGTATTCTTTTTCTACACCCCGCTTTCTTCTCAAATTTTCGACTCTCTTCTACCATTGAAATATTTTAATTACATATTTACCTCCTTTTTTACTATTCTCTTCCTTCTACCTTGATATTTCCATGCTAGCTTCTTTTCCTTTCCTTTCTTACCTCTTCTTCTCTTCTCTTCTCTTCTCTTTACATACGGAATGATTCGCGAATGTTCTCATAAGGCTCGTCCTGCAACTCTTGAGATACCCCCTCTCTCTTCTGGCAAGCAGTCAATCAATCAATCAAACTAGCAAGTTGTGGATCGGATTTTGATATTCTCCTTAACATGTCTGTTTCCTCGTTATCCGTAGCCTCTTTGCTTCTATCAAGGCATGTTTTTAGATTGTATAGATTAGCTAGTTAGTCACTATCATGTTGTCGATGCTCCTTCGCTTTTTCTTGCTTCTCTCAGCTCTTGCAACGTAGGACATAATCGTGGCAACGGGATTCGGACCAACAGCAATGAACGACAGCGGGTTTAAACAGTTGTTCGAGTCGTACAAAAAAGCCATGTTTAGAATCCAGCTAAAATGTCACGGATCAATATCGGAAGTGAGGCAAGCTTGCTCATGTGCTGCAGAAATTTTTTTCGTCTCGTGCACAGTAAATTAGGGGACGTTTGAGTGACTCTGAGTATTTGAGCCAGAAGATGGTACGACATGCGGGATAAGGACGTAGGATTAAATAACCATTAATTAAACTACTCTTCTTGTTCTTTAAAATAGTAAGAGGTCAAAAGAAAAACACGCGCGGTAACCGGGTATGGAAAAATGGCGGGCGGTGGTTGCATCAGGAGAAAGAATGGAGGGCATAAGATAAAATAAAGGGGTGACGGGTTAGAAGTAGTATCTCGACTTGAGAGCAGTTGAGACGTGCTGAAGTCCAAGAAAGGCAAAATAGGGGCGTAATGGCTGAGAACAGGTGAGTAAGAAACCGCAGATAGAAACACAAGGAGAGAAGCGAAAGGTACCAGGGTAAAAAAAGGGGGGAGTGAAAGTTTGGAGTTGAGGTATACATGAGGTTAAGATGAAGAAGGCATGTAGAAAACGAGTGACAAAAGAAGGGAACTGCACACTCTAATGGCTGTTATGAAAAGCGAGCCTCCCTCTCCAAGCATGGAATTTACTTCCCAGTATTCTTTTAATATCCCCTCAGCTCGCGCGACTTGGGATCATTCCTCCTTTTTGCGCACTCCGTGCATGAGTGTGCAACATCCATTCCGAATATCAAAAAAAAACGTTCTAAACGCAGTATCAAACGGCGCAAGCATCAGCCACTTGCTTCCCCTAGCTGCTTAGTTTCGTGTCTTGGCGGGAAATGCTGTGCTTATGCTGCGTCTCCGTTGGGATCCTGGTTCTGTTGGGCAGCTTGCTCACGCTGCATGCGGGCTTCGATCTCTCTCAGCTGGCTCTCACGGGCCAGAAGCTCTTGTCGTTTCTCGTTGATCTCACGCTGCACCTTAAGCTCGATTTCACGCAGCTTCTCCTCTTCTCGGCGGAGCTGTTCTTCCTTGAGGCGGACAGACTGAGAGGCCAAGTCTTCAGGGTTCATGGTAGAATCGTGAGAGCTAGAATAACGTTAGTATAACTCTCAAGGAAAAATATAATAGTATGAGAAAATGGTCAAAACATACGCAGAAGCACCTCCTTCAACACTCTTGCTGAGTTTCTCGGTACGGTAGTTTTCGTACAAGAAGTCGTGGGTGATTTCCTTGAGATCGGCCAAATGGCTGTGGAGGAGAGCACTGCGGACGGCCAGGAAGTCGGAGTGGCGCTGGTTCTCGACCTCTACGACACCCCATGGGTATTGTCTGGCTCGTACCTTGCGACCGCCGATCTCAAGAACGTCCTCGGAACCAACGATGGCGAAAGGCATCAGTGATCGGTACTCCTCGTTTTCTTGAACAGTGTCTTCGTCATCTTCTTCAATGTCATATGGGAAGTTGTAGACTGGGATACGGTAGTGTTCGATATCCTCCATGATAAGCTTCTTTGACTCAGCGAGCTCAGCAGGTGTGAAGGAGTCGGCCTTGCCAATAACTGGGATAACGTTGACACGGGGAGAGAGGCGCTTCATGAGCTCAATATCAAGCTCGCGGAGACCGTGGCCGGTTGGTGTGATAAAGTAGAGCAGGGCGTGAACACGGTTGTCACGGAATCTGGGGTTACGCTTGATTCTTGACTCTTCGGCCAAAATGTCATCATACTGGCGCTCGAGGTATCCAACGATTTCAGAAAAGCTAGTCAATGTTAGTCGTTGAATTTGGCAGCCGTAAAAAGCGGCCATCTTACCTCTCTTCGTTGTTAATCTGGTCACCAAATCCAGGGGTGTCGACGATAGTGAGAGAAATGCGAGTACCCTCCTCGTCAAGTTCTAGCTCTATATTTTAAACTTAGTCAGTATTCCGCCAACATACCAACTTAGAATTGGGTATCCATACCAACAGTAACTGGTTTTATGCGAACACCCTCCTCGAGGTGAGCGGTCTGAGCATCATCGGCGTCTTTCCCCTGAAGAACCTGCTTGCCGCATAGAGTGTTGACGAAGGTAGTGCGACCTGTAGCCATTGACATCAGCTAGGAGTACACAACGGTGATCACATAAAGGGCCGTATCAAAACGTACCAGTTCCGCTTGCACCACAGACCATCAAGCTAAACTGAATGCCCTTCTTGACATTCTTCTTCTTACGGATTCTGATCTATTTACCCGCCGTGTCAGTAAAAAAATCTCACTTGTCCAACAAAGGCGAATCCAGTATACAAGCATGAGACGCCCATATAGGCCGGTCTCAGCGCAAGGATGCCGTGGAGAAAAGGGCACGTACGTTGTTTGGGGCTGACATGGTGATGGACTCGGGGGGTTGAGATATTGATAGGGGGTGTGTCCCTGACGGCCTGAAGAAACAAGAGAAGAAGAGATCCGGAGCTGAGCTGAGGGAAGTCAAGCAGCAGGCAAACAGTCACCGGCGCAGAGAGGATGCAGACGCAAGAGCAGACGCTGGATGTTGTTCTCGTCGTTCAGCAGGGGAAAAGCGAGTGTCTTCTTGGGCGTTGAGGCAGGAGTAAAAGAGGTAAATTAGCAAACTGCGAACAAGGGCAACTTTAGGGGGCTGGATCACGTGAAATTACCGTACTGTCACTTGCGGTATCTGCCAGTACACATTTTGCGGGTGTACTGTAACTTTGGCTGAGGCTTCCGCCGTTAACTGGCCGCAAAACAATACATATACACCACCAATACAGCCCCTGTGTGTAATCTCAATACACAGCCTGTGCACGACTAGCAGGATTTACGGGCGTTGGTAACTTTGGTAATTTTTGCTTCCTTTTTTTTTCTTGCTTCCTTTGCCCCTTTTCGACCCCTTATTTTTGGTTCCTTACACATGGAGACAAAGTGAAGCCACAGATGGTCTGTAGTTTGCTAGTTGGGTAGACGGGTAGAAGCAATGGCGGGAAGACGGCGACAGCCATCAATTTATCTATAGTTTGCGCCCGAGAGTGACGGAGAAGGCGAATAAGGGAGAGACCCGCGAGAAGGAAGCGGAAGCTGAAGAAGTCGCAGGAAGCTGGTGACCTGTCATGTGACCCGGCACTGTCCCAGTCCATCCGCCGGCTCAAAGTGTTCCATGATGTTATATAAATATTGGTTTATTTGCATGGACGTCCAGCATCCAGCATCTCCGGTTTGTGGATAAAATAGTTCACTTGAGCGCCGGTTATAGAAAACACCAAAACGAAGGAAGCTTTGCTGGGCGGGTGCAGGAGGTTCTTTGATCAGCTTATAGCTTGGTAGCCGGGATATCTGCAACCATGAACACAAGAGAGACGCTCGATGCCTCTGGCGGCCCGGTGTCGCTGACGGCCTCGTTCAACAGTGACAGCAGCTGTTTCTCCGTTGGACTGAACTCAGGGTTCTGCGGTAAGCTGGTCCTGTTGTTTGATGCATGTTGGAAGGCTACAGTGTAGGGTAAACATAGACTAACGTCTCGTATAGTATTCAACTCGGATCCATGCGAGCTCAAAGTATCAAGAGGTATGGCCTCTTGACCCTTGTCTCTGACTGCCAACGACTCGCTCACAATATACTCAGATTTCAATGCGGGTGTTGGCATAGTTGAGATGGTTGGACAGTCCAACTACCTCGCCCTCGTTGGTGGAGGCCATACCCCCAAGTTTCCCCAGAACAAGGTGTCTATATCTATACTTTATTCTCTGTGTTTGAATACTAACTTCCCCAATAGGTGATAATATGGGATGATGCAAAACAACTTGCTGCTATGACACTTGAATTTCGCACCTCGATTCTGCGGGTGTGTATCACAAAGTCTCGCATAGCCGTTGCTCTCTATGACTGTGTCCATCTCTATGCCTTTTCGGTCCCGCCTAAGAAGATTGCGGTCTATGAGACTGGAGAAAACCCGCATGGCCTTGTTTGTCTCGGAGAGACTCACATTGCTGTTCCGGGCCGATCTGCCGGACAGGTGCAGCTGATCAAATTGGATACAGGGAATGTTAGCATTTTACCTGCCCACACTTCACCCCTGAGTGCAATGACTTTCAGTGGTGATGGAGCGGTGCTTGCTACCGCAAGTCAAACAGTATTTATACCACATCCATCACAGACAACAATATCAGCTAACCTAGCTTATAGGGGACAATTATTAGAGTGTTCGCTACTAGTAACGGGGCTAAGATGGCTGAGCTTCGAAGGGGCCTTGATCCAGCGGAGATATTCTCTTTGGCAATATCCCCTTCCAATACCCTTCTTGCCGTCACATCCGACAAGGCAACTCTACACATATTCGACATTCCACATGCCAGAAATGGCCAGGAAGCAAACAATGCACCCACTACTACCCCACCGGACGAATCAACAAACCGGGGATGGGGGATAATAAGCAAACTGCCTTTCCTCCCGCGTGTGTTTTCAGATGTCTACTCCTTTGCCAGTGCCAGATTTGATATCGGTGAAGAACCACTCGGGTCCAACTACATTCCGCCGCCCGGTGCGCCTTCTGAGCGACCTTCAAAGGGCATAATTGGTTGGACGAGCGATAAGTCGTTGCTCGTGCTGGGAGCTGGAAAAGCCGGTAGATGGGAACGTTTTGTCCTTCAAGAAGCAAGTGACGGGACTCGGCAGTGTCTTAGAGCAGGGTGGAAACGTTATCTCGGAAGCTGAAAGACCGCATTTCTTTCTTTGACCCTGCAAATCGAGGTTTGCCTTTTTCACTCATACATACACAGAGTAGAGCACAAAGGGTTATCAAGTAACCCGGCTAGGCCGTTCCTATCATTTATGGAGCATGTTTCACCATCGACAGCCATATTCACAATCGAACCTGACAGCAGAAATATGCGTCAATGCAATGGCCCATGGTTCAGCATATGGGATTGGTATTCCTCTCACCCCGAGATTTGATTGACTCAAACACAAGAATATATTGACCTGCCCTTCGAGAAGACAAATCCATAGAGAAGCGGCGTATTGAGAATTTCTTTTTAAGGGGTTGTCCGCCGTTGGTGGAGTTTTGCCTTGTATAATTAGAGGATGTTAATAGGCAAGATAGATAATTCAGCTTCTATCCCGTCGTTCTCGACGATGATGTCTCCGTTCGCTGGACCGTTCCCTAGTCCTCTCCTTCCTGCTCCTATGCGGCGACCGTCTTTCCCTCGACCGCGATCGTTCCTCACTGTGTCTTCTCCTATGATGTCGATGGCGATGTGACGACCTATGACCATCCCTGCTGCGATCTCGGTCCCGATCTCGCCTACTCGACTTGCTCTTCGCTTTCACAAGCGCCAATGCATTCTCAACCTCCTCCTTCTTCTCCTTTATAAGATATTCTTTCATCGGATCCTCTTCGTCATGCTCGTCCATTAACCGCTGTAACTCCACCTCTTCCTTCAGTAGCGGACGAGCAGGCCTCTTTTGATCCTCAGATTCATCCCGTCCGGACCTCCGTCGACCACTCCTCCTCTCTTTTTCCTTCTCTTCTTCTGCATCTTTGTCTGAACCTCTCATTTCCCCGTTATCATCCACGTTCGCAAGGTTATCTTCCGTCCCTTCATCATCACGTCTCTTATATCGAACATGGTCCACTCTAAGCACTCTGCCTAGCACTGTAGCTCCTCCAAGATTGTCAACCGCCAGATCCGTACTTCGTTGGTCCTCGTATTTAAGAAATGCAAATCCTCGGCTTTTGCCAGTCTCTTTATCTCGGACTAGGTTTAGATGCACTGGGTTGCCGTATTGTGAGAATATTGTTAGAATATCGCCTTCACTGATATCAAATGGAAGGCCCCCGATGTAGACATAGGCTGTATCGCGGTAATCAGCGTGCCAGGAAGCTTCTGGAGATCTAAACCGGAGGTGAAGCGGCTGTTAGTAACGTTGCCTAGAAGTTATAGAATGGAAGCCTTACACTGCATTCTCGAGCTCTTTCTTATTCAGAGCTTCAATCTGGCGGATCGCATTCATGATAGGCCTGTAGATAGATTCCTAAAATGTCCGTATAGCAAGTAAACAACAGCTACAAGCAGCTCTATCAACTCCTTAAACTTGGTCGTTGCTTTTCTGCTCTTTTCTTCCTTTGAAGCTCCTCTGACCTAAATTAAAGGTCACGTGGTTCCATCCTGATAAACAAAAAAAACATCCAAAGACTGCCCCAAATACTACGTAAGAGACTTGGGTTTCGTCTAGCACGGTGTAAGAAGAAAAGATAAACCCTCCCTACAGACGGAATAACTGCTTGTTAATGATTTCTCGCTGGCTCTACCCTACCGCGTTTTGTGTGCAGCTGCTACCCCCCTGGAGCACCGATAACTAGTTAAATAAGGAGAGCCAGCTCCATCTTCAACCTCAAATCTCCAACACTCCCAATATTGGTTTCACTAGGACACTCTTCTCAACCACCGAAAGAACCTCTAGCAACCTTTCCTTAGGCATCAATTCGGCCTTTCTCCTCAATATCCAGAGAACGATCTTTCCCCTCCGTCGATTTACTCCACAGGCCGTTCCTGAAACCCCGTTCGCCTCTTGCTTGGACACCTGCATATCAGGGCATGGTCGCGCCAGCATGCCTGAACCAGGACAGCGGTTGAGTCAGATCTCAGCTTCAAAAGGGGGGTCTGATGGTCGACCGGCCAGCAAAGATGGAAAAAAGGAGCTCTGGTCTTCCATGCTTCATGCTGGAGCGAGCGGTAAACGCTTGCCAGAAAAGACGTTACTAGTCCTCGGTATGTACTTGGAAACTCTCTAGCTTCGTTGATGTTCCTATATACCTTCGAAGTAGCCCGGTACCGAATTTGCAGGGCAGGTTTAATAATGTATATTCCAGGTGGTACGCCAGAGAGTCAGCGGGAGTTCCTAGCGACGTTATCTACCGATCACACCGAGCCCGGACTACCTTCAGAGCGACGAAAGCAAAAGGCACCACCCATTGCGAACCAGTTTGCGCTCGGGTATACATACCAGAATGTTCTTGATGCTGAGCAGGAAGGTAGGAAAAGAAGCTTATTCTTTAACACTTGCTTGACATGTGGGCTAATCATGTTGAATCTATAGATATCCTTGCCAGGATTTCAATCTATCTACTCTCGGAACCATCAGCATCTTATGCTCCTCTTCTCCGGCCCTTAATTAACCCGAAGACAGTCCCTGAGATGCTTATAGTTTTTCTTCTGGATTGGGAAAACCCCTGGACATGGGTTAGAGAGCTGAGAGAATGGGTCCGACTATTGCGCTCAGTTCTGATATCACTAGATGATGAGACGAAAGTTGTTATGGAAGAGGTTATGAGTGACTGGAAGGACCGCAGAAGAGGATTGGATCCTTCTCATGTTCCCGGATCTGGCCCGGTATCCTCTATACCTTTAGGGCCTGGAGAGTGGGATGAAGGATTAGGCATTCCTACATGCGTTGTTTGTCAGGGTGTACGTTTACCCTACCGCCAAAATCGATCCCAGCGCTAACATAGATTCTATCACACAGGCGGAAAAGATTGAACAGCTAGAGAAGGATCATGGCTGGAGAGAAGAAGAGTTCGATTACATCCTACAGTTCATGCGAACAATACTTCTTAAACGTATGTCTCTTCTTTTACTATTCTCAGGTACTGCCAATTGCTGATTATCTTTTCCCCAGATGGATCATCATTAATATATACCACACGATTCTTGGCCAATTCACTACAGGGTTTGATACAGTCTTCGCTGGGTATTCACTCGCTCCTAAAACGACAATCTCTCAAACATAATGTCATCGACAGAGACAAGATATTAGTTCCCTCAAATTGGGATTCATGGGGCAAGATAAGAATCATTAGAGAAGGGTTTAATATTGAAGGTGTTGGGACGAGCTGGTCCGTTGAAATACAAGGGCCACCAGAATCCCTGAAGCGGTCCAACATAGGGGACGATGAAGAGACTAAAGAGCGCGAGGATCTAGAGTCTGAGGCCAGTGCAGTGGCCATTTATGAACAAACTATCAAGGACCCTAAAGGCACGGCATTGATATCCCGTGCCAGGCAGTCAGAAGGCAGTCAGATTGAAGTGACAACGGTTGATTCCCAGGCATTCTTGACAGAGCAGGTTGAGGTACTTGAACAGCTTAAAGCAGAGGATGAGAAACAAGAAAGGCAGATGCGCAAGGGAAGCAGTGTCATTAAGGACACGGACATGATGATGGGCATAGACGACATGAACCGGGTAAACGAGCATATCGGCCCTGTCCAGTTTAATATGGGTGGTATCCAAGTTGATGCCGATGACATGCTAAGGAGACTAAAGGTAAGGCGTCCCTTACTATACTCATCGAAATATGACCAACTTTACTAATGGCTACACGCAGGAGAGAGAAGCTAGTCGCGCGTCAGCAAGGAGCGGCTCCGTATCACCAACACCTCCAGGCGGGCCCACATCTCCCGGAATACCTCCTATCGGGCAAGGTACCGACGGCAAGCTTGGTAACGAAGGGCTAGCTACATTCTTTGCAGGCCTAATGAAGAAATCCGGTGGTAGCCCAAGGTCTAACACAGCCACTTAGCTCCAAGTTCCGCTGCCTTCAAGGTCATTATTGCGTCTAAGCTGATACCTACCATCTACTGATTTTAACTTCTCGGTCGTTCTCTTCGAGGCCCTTTCGATACATTGGTTAATATACACCCACATTCATGCAAGCCAACCTAGCTAATTGCCTTTCTTTTGTTGCGTTGCCATTTACTCATTCCCTATCTTCTGCTTTGTACGATACCCATTTTCAAGTACATAGATTCAATCCGAGGAACTAAATGTACGTTAATTTCTCATCGTCGGAGGATACGTTTCTTCATCTATAGCCTTAAGTCTGGTCCAGGCGCTGCGCAGCAAATAGCATATTCATTCTTTAATGGAGATTAGACGGATTTATACTGTGGTACACTGACTCTTGGATTAACGCTCTAGGGCTTAAGTTATATGTTGCATGAATACGCTCCTCATTTGAATCAGGCCGCTAGCGACGCTGAAGCTCAGAAGTGCAAGTTGGGTAGTTCATTTTAACTATTTATTTAACTATGAGCTTCGAGGCACGGAAGTAAACCTTATACATAGCCGTAAGCTTTCTTCTACTTCTAATAGTTTATAGTCATATCTATTCCATACAATGTGACTAGAAGAGATATGTGAATTAAGTAAGAGGGAAAAATCAGAAGTGAAAGTATTACAATATTTTCATTGCTATATAAGACATGACATCAAATGGTCGCGTTAAGCATAAAAACGTCTAGTAGTCGAAGTAAGAGTGAGCCTCATGGTCAATAACCTCAATAGGGCAATCCGAAAGCTTGATGGACTTGGGGTTGCTCTTGTTGATGCCAGACCACTTGTTGACCCATCCGAGGACCTGCTGGTGCCATACGAGAGAGTTCTCTGGCTTGACGACCCAGTGAGTCTCGTCGGGGAAGTTGAGGAAACGGCTGGGAACACCCTTCTCCTGGAGAACGTTGAAGAGACCAACACCCTCGGCGACGGAGAGACGGAAATCGTAGTCGTTGTGGACGACGAGCTGGGGGGTAGACCACTTAGCAACAAGCTCTGGCTTGGAGCAGTCCCAGCGGTCGTAGTTCTCGCGAGCCTCGAAGAAGGTTCCGTTGAACTAGAGAAATTGGTTAGTACGAAGTGCTTGTTTTTGTATTTATGAAGGGGACACTGAGTGAATACTTACGTCGTGCTCAATGAAGAAGAGCTCATCAGTTCCGATCTTGGAGGAGCCAACGAAGGTACCGTCGTGGGAGACAAGGGCCTTGAACTTGCGTCCGAGATCATGTCCCTGGATCCAGTTGACCATGAAACCACCGAAGGAGGCACCGGCAGCAATACCGTTGTCAGTGTCGATGTACTTGATGTGGTCGCGGACGTGTTCCCAGATCTTGACGAGGTCCTTGTATGGAGCACCACCCCAGTCGTTGGTGATGTCGTCGGTGAACTTCTGGCCGAAGCTGGTGCTACCGGTTGGGTTAGGAGCAACGACAACGTATCCCTGGTCAGCCCAGACACGGGGGTTCCAGCGAGTGCTCCAGCCATCGTTCCAGGTGCCCTGAGGACCACCGTGGATGAGGAAAGCGAGTGGGTACACCTTGTTCTTATCAAAGCCAGTTGGCTTGACGATCCAGGAGTGGACCTTGGTGCGGGCACCGTCAACCCAGAGAGGCTCAATGTCGTTAGGACCAAGACCCTTGAGCTCAGGGTCGTGCTCGTTGGCATAGAAGACCTTGCGGCTGCGGCGGCCGGGGGTAGCAACTTGGTAGAGGGCGTTGGACCAGAGAGAGTTACCGAAGGTCAGGACAGACTTGGAGTTGCCAACGAAGTAGAAAGAGCCAACGGAACCATCGGCCTGGACAACAGCGGGCTTGTGGCTGTCACGAGCATCAGATGGGAGAGTGTAGAGTTTACCGGTAGCGTGGTCCTCAGCGGTGACGTAGAGAGTGCGTCCGTCAGAAGACCATTTGATTGCCTCGGGGGATCGGTCCCAGTTGGCGGCAATGCGCTGGACTGGCTTGTTAGTGCCAACCTCAGCGATGTGGATGACACGGCGGTCGGACTCGTAGTTGTTGATGGCCATCTGGAGGTAAGCAAGTCTCTTGCCATCGGGAGAGAAAACTGGGCTGGAGGAAGCACCCTCAATACCCTGGGGAGTGCGGGGGCCACCGCGCTTGTTGATGGGCTCAGCAACGCGGGAACCGTCATGTGGAACGGTGAAAATGTAGGTGGTGGTGAGGTTGGCCTTTGGAAGCTCTGGGGCCTTGCTCATGAAGGCAACTGTCTTGCCATCGGGGGAGAGATCGTAGTCGCCAGAGCCACCGAATGGTGGGTAGGGAGACTCAGCATACTTGACAGGCTGAACGAGGTTCTTGAGCTTGCCATCGAACGCCCACTTGCCGCCGTTCTTGGTGAAGGCACCAGAGAAGACAGCATTGAACTGAGTGCCAACGTAGGCATCCCAGTGACGAACGAAAAGACTGTCGTAGATGCGAGCAGAGCTGACAGCCTTCTTAGCAGCGGCTTCGTTGTAGAGCTCACCGTTGGTGGTGGATTGACCGTAGCCAACGAAGTTGAGCTTGTCTCCAGACTTGGCGAGCTTGAGGCCCTGGAAAGGTCCATTGATGGAACCAGCCTTGTAGCTATTGTAATTGTAAGCAACTGAACAATGTCTGGAGTAGTAGCTATGGAGTTGTTTATGGGTAGGATCAGGGATGTACTCACGCATTGCCGAAGCTCTTGGCATCGGAGATCCAGAGACCAACACCGCCCTCGACAGAGTCGGTTCCGTTGATATAGGCGATCTTGGTGCCGTCACCGAGCCAGACGATCTCAGAGACATCGCTGTCGGTGGTAAGGACGCTGATGTCACCGTTCTTGAGGTTCAACAGGTTCCATCCGGATGGGCGGTCCTTCTTGTCGAAGTTGTACTTGGAGACATGGAAGAAAGCGATCTCCTATAAAGTTCGGGTGCATGTCAGTCAGCCGGCCTCTAGACGCTTCTTTCAATTAAGAGATCTACTTACACCCTTGGGGTCTGGGATGGCTTCTCCTCTTCGTGGAGCAGAGATGAAGTCCCTGTAAAGACGTTAATACCCAGTCTCGTCGCAAACATGATGATCAATGGGTCGACATCGACTTACTCTGGGGTGAATGCCAGCCCTGACGAGGCAAACGCCAAGGAGGCAATCAACCATTTGGCTGCTGCCATTGTGAATGGAGCTAAGTTAATAGCTTCTCCTCTCTCTTGAATGCGTGATACAAGAACCAGAAGGTCAAGAGAGATTCTGGAGTTGTCACTGGAGGGAGGAAGAGAGAGAAGGAGAAAAAATTGGAAGAAACCACCGGCCGTCCACCTTCCATTTATTCCTTTTCGAGGACTACCCCCGGTCCATCAAGTCAATCAAATAAACATTGCTCTTCTCGTACCCCATCACTCCCCAGCTCATGTTCTGTGAGCTTCTGTTGCCTTTTCCTTTGCTTCCTTTTTCCTTATTGCTTTTTTCTGCAGCAACCCCAAGGTTGCCCCAGTTTTTCTGTCAGCATCGTGGGATTTCAACCCGGTCATTCGTTCCCCAGGCTGGGATGTACCCCGGCCCTTACAGGCCTGGAGAAGGAAAAGAAAAAGCCGGGGCGGGATTACCCCTCTCTCTTCATCCTCCCAATGTCTTTCTTCCTGGCATGCATTGAGAAGCTAACCACGTATCTGTACTTAGAACCAGGGCCAGAGTGATGTTGTCTGTTGTTGCATACTGAGCCATCCGCCTGCAATCTCGCTGTTTAAGATTGCGCTTGCTTATCACCGCAAAACGGAGCCATGGAACAATATGGGTCGGTCGAGCAGACTAAACTCATGGAGATGGCGTTTTTGGGGTTAGCTCCCTTAATTGCAAGATATCGAGGTAAGCTTCGGCTCAAAGCATATTGGTCGGATCCCTCACCCCGGAGATTATATGAGCAACAACCAGGGATTGTGAAAGACGCATATTAGCACGGATACGATATGGCGAAAAGGGAAATGGATATGCAATTAGCCGATACGAAAGAGCTTGGGAAGACAAGAGCAATAACGCTTGATGTATTATTAGCAAATTGAATCATTGCCCTGGGCTTGGCCCTCACACCCGAATGTTGTCATGTCAACAGTCGTGTTTTTTTTATGGTTACTCCAGAAGGCACCTTCGCGGGCAGATGCGGGAAATGGATCTTCGACTGCTTTTTGATACGAGATGTTGAGTCCTTCAGTGTTAGTGCAGGTGTCTGGAGAAAAAAACCACAAGTCATGCATGGCTGGTGAAAAGCTCTGGGTGGCAACCATAGACTAACTACCAGCCGGAACCAAGAACTCCATTCACTTTTTCCGCCTGCATATTTGCCTGCATCTTGGTAAGGAAGAGGGAATGGAATGCCCTGGCAACCGCTGGTGGAACGGCACGTCAAACAAAGACGATATGAGGCCATTAACTCTGACTGGGGGAAGGGTACGGCGCAGTCGACCTGCCGTGTTCGCTGAGCAGGGGAGCTTCCATCGAGTCACCCCAGGCACTTTCTCGTTATCGCGGATTCTTCCTGGGGCAAAGGAGCCTAAAAAGGTTTACTTCAACGCCAAGTTACTGGGGCGCTGTGGGGATCTCTCCCCACGGCTGCGTTCTGATTGCTGGCTTCCTCTGGTGCCTTTCCAGAAGACGGAGCAAAAAAGCAGAAGATGGAGCCAAGCGAGCCTGTTTCTTCCGCTGAGTTGGGAGGGATCAGCACGACCAAAGGGCGAGCAGATCCTTGTGAATATGCCTGCTGCTAATTGGTCTTAGCCAATATCGCGACTAGGGCGGATCTGGATGGTGGTAACCCCCTTCATTCAGCCTCTGTGCGAGGTGCGAGCTACCCGTCTTCCGCCGTGTTGACTGCCTCTCGCCCGTCTCCTCACGTCTGGTCTTCTTCCTCGCCTTCCTCTGCCTCCCTCTTGTTCCCCCTGTCAATCATCTGGCGTCTCGGAGGACTGCCAAAAAGGAAAATGCGAGGAAGGATGAAGAATCCTCGCTAGACCCGGCCGGTTCGCTGCCAGCGTGACATGTCTTTGCCCTGTGGGTCATTGTCCGATGCCTTGTTGTTGCTGGCTATGCGAGATTGCTGCCTCTCCGGACACCCCTTGCAATATCAGCCACGGTGGACACCCCATTCATGGTCTGACAGATGGTTGATAAGTCGAAATTTGTGAGCTGGAGAAATGCGAAGTTGAAGCCAACGCTGAGGTTGAAATTGAAGTTGCCGGTGGAGGTCGAGATAGGCAGTTTCACGTGATACGTCCGCTGCCTTGGGTGTAGAATGTTGAATAACACTTTTTTTTAGAGGACAAGAGGAGAGATATCAAAGGACGAAGAAGATTAACAATCAAGAAGACGCTAAAGACGGGTAAGAAGACGAGACACCAGGCACGCCTAGCCTTGAATTCAGAGCGTGAAAAAGGTTTGGGGGCTGGAGAGCTAATGTATTCTACAGTCTGTTCTAGAAAAGGGTTTCCTTGGGCTGGCTTTCTCCCGTCTCGACCAGAGAAATGCGAGAGATATTTTCTACGGAGTAACTATATGCCCGTCATGTCACATGGATCGGGTATTTTATACTTCATCAAGTAGGCTATAGGCTTTGCGGACATGCATTGCGAGTTGGGGTCACCCTGGGAGACAGGCACCGTTGGCATGTCTCTGCCTGCTATATGTATCCTAACTGACATATCATAGTAGCTGGTAGTTTGTTGACCCAAGACAAATAACTTAGCCGGCCTAGCCGACCAGGGAGGGCGCGGAGATACCTGGTAGTTAACAGGAATTAAAGTGATAGTTGATTGATATCGCTCATGCCCCCCCTCCCTCCCCTTTCTTCTTCCTCGTCTTTCTCGTCTCAATCCATGCTTGGTGCTAGGGCCACAATGCTGAAGCCAGAAACGTCAACTCCCTTGCCAGTATCGCTTTCATGCTTGAGGAACGCTCGAACCCCAAGGTCAAGAGCCTTTTCACTCAGCCCATCCTGGTCCTCATTCAGAAACCCTCGATCGATTGGGCCCTTCACCCCGCCTTCTAGATCCCACAGATGGCCGTCTGAGCCCTTCACAAAGCAGATGTAATGGAAACCACACTTGTCGTCTGGTGCCGGAACAGTGCTATCTCCTCGTCTTGCCGCTGAGCGATGGGCTCTTTCCAGCAAGGGGGAGTCATATAGCAACTGAGCACGCTCTGTAGGAGGCAGGTCCACTGCGGCCTTGAACAGTTGATCGAGTTCAGATCCTGCGGGGATATACTCCCTTGCCTCCCCGTTGCTGATGCAGTGGATCAAAGCCATCAGACCACAGGTGTTGTTGATGGTCTGTTTGAACCATAGAACGGGCTCGTCTGGTCCCAAGCCCGTGTACTCGGGCATGCTGTCAGTGCCCATGCTCTCGCGAGTACGGTGATAGGCGTCGCGAGGACAAATGAAGATGAGGCCGTACACTGGCCGCGGGATGAAGGCCAGCAGGTCCGGGTCATCGACGCTGTAGACATCGTAGAACCCCAGTTTTGGTGACACCCCCAGCTCATGGATTAAGTGGGACATCACCTCTGGGTTGTTTTCTAACCTTGTTCAATAGGGTTAGCAGGTCTCACATCGGAAGCTAACCAAGCAAGAGCAAGACTCATTCGTTGAGCCTATGAAGTCGAAGACAGCAGAAACAGAAGAGATAGTACCTAGAGGAACCAGAGTCTTGACTCCATTGATATACTGTATCTCCGCTGGGTTTGTATCTGCCATGGTGGATAGCTTGCTTGAAAGTAGCAGAAGTAAGTTAATAGTTAATAGTCAACAGGTTCTTGATGCTTCCTTGCTTGATTGTCTCCTGATATAAGATATCTCTCTGTGTCTATTTCAAGCAGGAAAACAGAAGTCGTTGCTTCTTATATGCAGTCTTGAAGAAGTGAAGCTGTTGATGACGATGACGCTTGCCTGTTGCCTGGAAGCCGGTATGTGACATGATGCATACCATTATTACACCGTCTCCTAGAGAAGTTACTGCTTAGTCAGTTGAAATATATACGAATATCGTACTGATATTACTTACTAATATATCCTTTGTCAATGCAGCAACAACCAAGCAAGACAAATCAATTCAATAGCATTAAAAATCCTCATAATCGGTGAAATATGCATCTTCAGTGGCCAGGGAATCAAGTCAGCGGTGTTTCTTGTTATTTATAAGGTATGACTACGCAGACTCGACTTTTACACTTTTATGACATCTAGTTTGGCATCTGCTTGTCCTATCCAGGTCCGGAAGCTATGATGAGATGCACCAAGTTGTTATCCGGATGAGAATGCATCAAACCGACCTTCTTACCGTTATACACAGAGTTTCCAGTGGTTACTTGAGCTAGGGATTCCGAAAGACTCGAGAACTCTTATTCAAAGGTGCAAGGAAGCTAGATCGACACCCTTTATCCTTCGCCGAACATGATGTCAAAAATATAACAATCTCATCCCAAGAACAGTATTCAGACGTGATACGACATTTTGATATCAAGTCTGCTCAAGTTATGACATGGGCTTCGGCCGTTATGGGCGGCATGTTTCTTCGGGCAAATGAGGATGCAGGAAATCTGACAGTTTAAACTCACTGGGCCTCGGCAGTTCGTTTCAGGAACAACTTCTAAAGCAAAGGAAACACCCATATATCAGTTACCATCACCGCAAGAACCAACGGTGCCCAAAATCAAATTAACAACTTCATCACAAAGAGAAAAAGGGCCAAAAAAGACATGTCAGACACCCCTTCACAGCCTGCTCTACCGTCTCCTCCGTTCTACGCTGTAGAAGGTGTCAACAACCTCAGAGATGTCGGTGGTTACACCGTCTCCCCCACCACATCAGTACGGCGCAACTTCATATACCGGTCCGCGCACCTATCAAGCGTAACACCCACGGGAGCAAAGACTCTTGTCGATGAGCTGGGCATATCGTATATCTACGACTTCCGCTCCGATGTCGAAATAGATCGGTATCCGCTCGTAGACATACCAGGCACCACATGCGCCCATGTGCCTGTGTTTAAAGACCAGGACGCAAGCCCAGCCAACCTGGCCCTAAGATATAAGGACTACGCTACCGATGAATGGCCTGCGGGATTTATACGTGCCTATAAAGACATTCTCGCCAGCGGAGCAAAGTTCGCCTTTAAGGTTGTTTTCGAACATATTCGAGACCAGCCTACGCAGTCGTTGCTATTCCACTGCACGGCCGGAAAGGATAGAACAGGTGTCTTTGCGGCGTTGGTGCTGAGGCTTGCTGGCGTGACGGATAACGAAGTTATTGGGAAAGAGTACGAGCTCACTGAGATTGGACTGGATGGGCTGCGGGAGGTGTTCATTCAGAAGCTGCTCCAGCATCCTTCAGTTAACGGGGATCGGGATGCGGCGGTGAGGATGACGCGCGCAAGTGCTGCCGCTATCATTGGGACGATGGAGTGGCTGGATGAAGAGTATGGGGGTGTGGAAGGGTATATGAAGCGGGAGATGGGGTTTAATGACGAGGATATCGAGCGGATCAAGAAGAATATCATCGCCGAGGAGACTGGGGTTTGCCCGAACTGAGGTTTGAGGAAGACATGCGTTTGATTGTTTCATGCTATCTAGTATACATCTGTTTTTTGCACACGAGGTTACGAATTTTTCACGTTACGAGACTAGAATATAAATAATAGAAAATACACCGCTATAGACGTCAATGAACAAATTGCTTTGAGGAAGAGGTCTCCCGCTGCAATCACCACTTCTCCCAGACGGTGTCCGGGAGAACACTGCGCATAACATGCCAGTGACCAATCGCACCCTGGAACTGCCAGTATTCGAGCTCCTTTGGCACACTTGGGCCCAAAGCATCCTCCTTACCCTCAGCATCTTTCGCGAAGGAGCCAGGGCTAAACTCGAGGCGCGGTACCAAGTTTTCCTTGCGCGAGTACGTTCCAAGGTAGTCCTCAGGCCGAGGGATCCTAAACTTGATGGTACCAGGTGTTTTCTTGCAGAAGATGGTCATGTTGGTCAAGTCTCTTCTGGACGAGGAGCCAGGTAGCGGTTTGTTGTCACGGAATATTCTGCAAGATGGGAAGGTAGATGTGATAGCCCGAACCACCAGGCCAGCAAGTGGCAGGGCAATATCACCGGCGTAGTTCTGTAGCTTACGTTAGTGATATCCACTACATCAGAACTATTTCAAACTTACGATGGCAATAACACCCTCGTCATCGAGTAGGGTATCAAGTCCTTCCATGAAGTCCTGAGTAAACAAGTCCAAGGGCTCCACGCCTCCAGTGAAAACATCATGAATGATGTAGTCGTATTTTTGAACCGGAGTTTCATGTCTGGCACGGTGGACAAATGTCGCTGCGTTTTCAATCACAGTGTTTACTTTCTTGGGGAACTCGAAGTAGTCCATTGCTATCTGATGCACATTGGGATCAATTTCCACAACAGTAGTGTTAATTCCATGAGCAGCAAAGGCTGAAGGGGTTGTTCCAATACCCAATCCACTAGAATAATTTATGTAAGCGGAGTGTCTCTAGACATAAGAGGTATATGAGGGCGGCTTACATTACTAGAGCACTCTTCTTCGTGTCGGCTTTCTCTGGTTTATGAGACTCCGCCTTGACAAGTCTGACCGCCTCAAGAGCAGTGAAGACAGTGAAAACTGGATCGGATACTTTGGCCTCCTTGGTCATTAGATGTGGTAGCCACTCTCCACCCAAAAGGCTGTGGCCGCATCTCATCACTCGGAACTTGGCATCGGTGTTTTCCAGCACAGACAAGTATCCAGTCAAGGACTCCTGACGGTGAAGTAGGGTAAAGTTATCCGCCTTGAGAGAAGCATTGAGCAAGCCCGTGTTGTGTGGCAATGGGACGTGATGGTTGAACATAGCCGTGAACAAGAGAGAAGGGATAGCGAGAACGATCCATTTAGACGGTAATAGAATGGCCTGAGCAGCGGCAATGATGAACTGAAGGCCGATGCTGGTCATTGCAAGGCTTGTTCCAAGGTAAGAGGGCATGTTTTGCTCAATTTGTGTCTTGGCGGTATTGAAAAGTGCATATGCTGCTATGATGTTTCCTTGTTCCATGCCCTGCTTCAGTTTCGGGCTTAAGTGCAACTTCTGTATCAAAATACCGGGAACAACAACCGACAAGGCAACCAGAGGGGCAAAGGTGAGTGCTTCGGTAACGATAGGCCCCATCACCGGTCCGAGGGTGTAGCTGAACTTGAATAAGAAGAACTGGATGGTAGGAATGTAGAAAGTAAGGATTGGCAGAGTGACCATGGGGTTGGCGTGTTTCTGAACCAGAGTATGGGCAAAGGATCCCACGGCTCCTGCTATCAAAGTGAGAGCATGGTGGTATTTTCCAGCAGGAGCCGAGCCGTAGATAGGAGCAAGTGTCAACTGAGATGCATAGGAATAAGCTCCAGCAAGGACTATCACGGCCGCTCCCACGGCGCCAGCAACGCACAGCTCTGGCAGGGAAGACGTCCTCTCCGGGGCAGCTGCCGACCCGCGGACAGTTGCTCTAGCTGCTGGAGTCGGTGCAGCAGGCTGGCTCTTATCAGCCGCTGGCTTGGATGGCGTCGACTTTGGCTTCGCCATCGTGCAATGGTATAGGTATATGTGTCCAGAAAAACGCTGTGTTTCAAGGTTTGTGTCGACCTGGGGCTCTACCAGAGAGAAAAATGGACACGAGTGGACAAGTCTATGCACCAAAACCCGAAGACACAAGCTACACCACAGGTATGGACATGCTCGACAAAGAACGATTCCCAATGCCTTCAGCTTGTTGCGATGTCAAGGTGCGACGCGACGTTGAAGGTTGAAGTTGGAGATTCAGAAGTGTTACTGCTGGCTGGATCGGGCGATGGAGCACGCTGCTTTAACCCCACCTTTAGCCGCTTCGCGTGGGGAAAACCCGAAGAAAGCCGAAGGGCGGACTAAGCGACCTTAAAGTGGCAAGATCTGTTCCCGAGTTGGGATGTTAATATTTAAGGGGACAGTAAAGATGAAGAGTAGATGAAGATAGAAGATAGAAAGAGTAGAGGATGGGAGGGGGTATAGATAGGGAAGGAGATGGTGATGATAAGACGGTGTTCTTGGGGTAGGTTATCTTGAGTAAGAGTGATGCAGTACAAGGGTTCATAGAGTCTAAAACCCATCTATATATCTAGTACAGCAGGATATAACCAAGAAGCCCAGAGTTGATACTAACCGTGGCAAACATCTCAATAATCTAACTATTTACATCCATTGCTTGTTTTTGAGAAATGCTTAGCACTAAAGCTGACAGCTTGGAGGCTCAAATCTGACATCACTTGCTTGGCGTTTTATAGTACTCGCCTAACATGCAAGCTCTATCAGGACTACTACCAGATATCCAACTCCTAGATACCCTATATATCCAGCTACATCACATCTAAACAATCAAAAGCATTTACAATGCCGTTATTCCCCATGACCACAGATCCAAGGCGAGAAATACCCCAAGCTGAGAAGCAGACACATACCCACGGCCCACGGCCCACGAACCCACCAGCATCCATACAGATCAAAAACAGACGAAAGCGCTATCTAGAACTACATCCCGAATACTTCTCTCCATCCCTAGAACTAGCCGGTACCGCCATCCCCAACCCCATCCCCAGCTTTACGCAAGCTAACTAACGCTCTAGACCCCCTCCTCTACGACCGACTAATACGCCGCTTCCAAACAGCCAGCGAGCGCGAAGCAGAGGGCCGAGCAAAGGGCCACTCCGGCATGCTAGAAGCAGACCTAGAGCGCGCAGAAGCTAAAATGGACGCACTAGCTAACCCGGCCACGGGCTCGTTACTTACATACAGCCGTGGTCCTAATGGCGAGATACTAGCCGAAGACGCAGATGAGATACCGACTTCCAAAGCGGAGGGGGAAGAGAGATGGCGGTACGAGATGGAGATGAGGTTTGTGAAGGGTGCAGATGATCAGTTCGAGTATGGTGATGTGGATGGGTGTGAGGAGTATGATGATATGAGCGAGGAGCAGGAGAGGTATTTTGACGAGCAGGAGCCGGAGTGGATTGTTGATGATGCGGGAGGAGGAAGGGGGGAGTTGGCGTTGACGGGGGAGACGGGGGTTCAGGATTTTTAGATGCGCGGGCAGGATGGAGCAGGGGATGGGTTGGATTGGACGGGAAGGGTTTTCAACTGGGCTGTTGGTTCATGCTGGTCATGTATCACTGCGTTGTGTCGTGTCGTGGGTGACGGGCGGGTCGTGCGAACCGGTGGGATACAGTTCTACATGCTGCATCGCACATGCATGCATACATACGAGCGTACTTATGCATTTGCCAACGGCTATTCACGACTAAGAGCGTCGGTCTCTGGTACGCAAAGCCCGAAGCCTTCTATGCCATGTCACGCGTACCTCGGTCAAGGATACTAAGACTCTAAGTTCTGCACAGAACAAGGAAATCATCTGGAAAAGAAAAAAATCAATTCCAAGTTTTGGTGGTTATTAGGTAGTTATCTGATGGATGGATGAATGGATGCTGTCTTAAATCAAATAATTCAAACCGCGCCATGACATGACTGACTGACAACCGACTGGAGCCCATGCTGTGCTAAACCTATTAAACATAACTGGATCCCGAAGCTGAGCTGGAACTGGGACTTGAACTTGAACTGACATCTGCAATGTAAGGAAAAGGCGGCCGTAACATATGTAAGAAAAGAAAAGAGTAATCCATCCCAGGCCATGAAGGCAAAGCAGGCAAGCAGGAAAGTAATAGTAATGAATACATATGGGGAAAGTTAAGTAAAAGAACGGAATTAGGTAAGAATATGGTCGCATATGTAAGTAAACGATGAAGAAGCCTCCATTACAAGAAACATAGACGTAAAACGAGAACGAGAACGAGACGATGAACATGATGATATGGTATGGATGTGAACGACGATGCTTCCCGGCCCAATCGATCAGTAAGTAAGTCAGTCAGTCAAGGAGATGAAGATAGGAGAAACTAAACGAAACAACAGAACGAATGGTATCACGATAGACTGGTATGGAATGGTATGAAATGATAAGAATAAAAAAAAAAAGGAACAAATTCATGAATATTTTTTGTTTTGAAGAGAAATGGAACGGAGAGGGTTATTCGAGGGAGTAAGTGGGTAGGTAAGTAGGTATGCAGGTAAGTATGTAGAAAGGTATGCATCGGATATCAACATGGAAAGGTAGATAATAGGTAGATAGACATTAACATAGGGGATGAACAGCTTAAGGAGGCGCAGCTCCCACAGGAACACCGTTCCGTTGGCTGTTCTTCCAGGCCTGTGGACTCGTAGAGCCGTTCATGTTGCCGTTTTGCCCCTTGCTGGCTACAGGTAGTCTCCTCGTAGCTATGGGCGTAGGCGTGCCGGATGCAGGTGTAAGGGCTGTTCCAACTGGAGTTGACACGCCAGCGTCCATCCTGGGAACAACGGTTGAGGTAGAGCTGACGGTAGAGGAGTCGTCTGTGCCGTCTGTGTAGGTGCTGGATGCCTGTGCCTGTGCGGCTCTGGATTTCGATTGGAGGTTGCCGTTGCTTGCCTTGGACGGGAGGGACTTGATGGCGTTTAGCTTTCGATGAGAGGCGTCTCCGGATGTCTGGGCAGGGCTGGTGTTTTCTTTGCCCTTGTTGAGGGCCCTGGAGATAGCAGAGTCGTCTGTGAAACCGCGCCATTTGCGCCAGCCTTCGAAGTCGATTAGGGCTTGCATGCATCCCCATTCTGTTACTTTCTGCTCGAGCCAGACGATGTTCACAGGCTGGATTTATGTTAGTTTATGCATGAATTACAGATTTGGTATATATGATAGCTTGAAAAAGGGAGGACGTACCTTGGTTAAGAAGTCATTGCATCCTGCGGCCAATGCTTCATGCCTGTCACTCTGCAAACTGCTCGCCGTCAAGGCAACGATGATAACGGGACTCTTGAACTGGTTCTCCTTATTCAACACGTCCTCGGGCTTGACCTCCTCTTCAGGGCCGGACTCGGAGGAAGGCGTCTCGACGACAGAAGGCGAGGTAGGAGTCGACCCAACCATAGAGGCAGAGTAAGACGGTCCAGCCGAGCGCTGGAACACACCGATGTTATTGACTCGTTCTAACCGTCTGATTTCGCGGGTGGCCTCCAGACCACTCATGACGGGCAATTGGATATCCATGAGCACGAGATGGAAGCCTCCTTCTCGCCACTTGTTGACGGCTTCACGGCCGTTCATGGCGGTCTGCCAGCGGACCTTGAGACGTTTCATGAAGGCTTCGAGCAGCTTTAAGTTGATGGTGTTATCCTCGACAATGAGGACGTTGATCGGGGGAATTGCGCCGTCGAGTAGCGATGTTGGAAACTTGTTCGAGGTCGCGCTGCTGTTTTTGTTCAGCTTTTCAAGGCCCTTGGGACGAGGAGAGGCGACGCGGGAAGGAGGGGAGACGGCTTTGGGAGCTTGTTCTGAAGGGAGAGCGGGCGGAGTAGCTGCAGAGGGAGGTGAGGAGGCAGCAGGGGCGCCGTTGGCTGAAGAATGAGGATTCACCGAGTCTACATGTGTGAATCCGTTAATATCTAGATACAAAGAAAAAGAAAGAAAGATGTTGAACGTACCGTTTGAGGGCGATGGGAGAGAGCCAGGTCCGGCTTGAGAGCTTGCATACTGATGTTGATGATAGCTGCTTCGATGTGCGGGCTGCTGCCACGGCCCACGTACTCCTGGCGAAGGGATGGGCGGCACCTGGCCGGTGTTGATGACCTGCATGGAATTTGGATGCGGAGACACCATGGTGTCCTTGAGAGTAGCGCTGTTGGGAGTGATCATATGCATAGGCGGGAAGTAACCCCCCTGTTGCTCGACCCCTCGGGAGTCGTCTGTGTGAGCATAGGGAGTAAGAGGGGATGCCTTTGGAGTGCGCCGTGGAGGGACTTCGATGATGAGAGCTTCATCTATGGTTTGGCCACCAGGGTAGAAATGGTCCAGGGTGCGAGTAAGCGGTTCCTCTGGTCCTAGGACTCGTTCCAGCTGGCCGTGTCTGCTTGAAGGTTCGCGCTGGATGAGCCTGATGGCGATATCTGGCGAGTCGATGGTTCGACCGAGGGAGTTTGCGTATTTCTTGAGGATGGAGTCGCGCAGGTCGTCGACCAGGTCTTCCTCCGTGACGAGGACGAGGGTGGGAGATGAGCCGGGCCGCTTGACCCAGACCTTGCGGTTGATCATGTCGAACTGGATGGTGGGAGTAGCAGAGCGAGGGAAATATTCAGCGCCACTGGTGTAGGGTGGCTCGAGAAGAGTGTTGATGAGACGCTGCTGGGAGGCGGGGACGAGAGATTGCCTCCTGATGGCGATGGTAGGTCGTCGAGCAGCGCCCTTCGGATGATGATGATGCTGCTGCTGCTGCTGCTGCTGCTGCTCGGGTATCTGTGGGCTTCTTCCCGAGGGCGCTGGTGATGTTGATAGTGGTGATGTAGGCGATGGCAGGCCCTGACGGGGGTCTTCGTAAGCTAAAGAAGCAACCGTTGAAGTGTTTAGCTGTCGAGCAGCGCCAGTGGTGACGCTCCCTCGACGGCTGAACTGTCGCTGCACCCTGCTCTGCTGCTGCAGCTGTGCAGGCGAGGGCTCTCTAGCGTTCTGTATGCTCTGGATGTTCTGGATAGCCTGGTTGTTGCTACCTGGCGGTGCAAAGGCGAACTCGTCGAAGCGTCTGTCCTTCCCACCGTCGACGCTGACCAGTCTTGCGCGAGGCAGCGGCGGGTTCGAGGAGCAAGGAGACTCGATCAGCGGCGAGGGAATCTGCCTGGCGGTGGGAGCAGCGATAGACCGTACAGCCGTAGCAATTGGCTGTCCCGGTGGGTGCTGTGGGTGCTGCTGGAGATGTTGCTGCAGAGGCTGTGACGACGGACCCGAGAGCGAGACAGCTCTGTTGGGCCGCGAGTCAACAACGCCCAATCTGTGGCCCTTCAGCGTCGTCGAGTGTCCATCTGCCTCGTCCGGCGACCTTAAGGGGGCAGCAGTAGAAGCAGCAGCAGGAGCTTCACCTGGTCGACTGCGCCGGGCCCTCGATGTCGCTGTTGATGTTGCTGTCGCTGTCGCTGTAGGAGGAGTCGTGGAGGTGGTGGAGGCCGTGGACGCACTCGGCAGCTGGTCGGGCAGAGACGTCCAGGGCGAGAGTCGCTGTGTCGAGTCGTCGTCCGCGTCCTGCTCTTTCGCTCTGTCTTCGTCTTCTTTCCCTTCTCTCTCTCTGCTGTGCGCGGTGCTGGTGCTGCTGTTGGCGGTCGCAGGCGTCGCTGAGTTCGAGTGTTGCTGGTTAGAGTCAGCACCAGCAGAACCAGCACCGGCAGCAGTAGAGGCAACAGTAGCAGCGGCGGCGGCGTTCTTGGCGGACGAGGAGGAAGACGACGACGGGCGACGCAGCAGCGCAGTCAGACGGGAGAAGCGACGCTCTTTTTCCGCCGGCATGGTTGTTTCAGCGGCCGCGGGCATGGGTGATGGGTCTGAAGGCCTTCTGTGGCTGGCTGAAGGACAGTTGACGGTCGACAGTTTGGTCGACGGTTGGCAGTGGTGGTGGAGAGCAGCAGCAGTTGGTCTAGGAGACGGGCATCGCGCAGACAGACGGCATGGCCGTGAAGCAGGAAGACAGCAGAGACAGCAGAGACCGAGAGACCGAGAGTAAGGGCTTGTTTAGTCTGGATCTAATATGTAGTAATAGCTGGACTGTGTTATATATGATATGATATATGGCACTGGCGGAAGCTGACGGGAGCTGCGTGTTAAGGGCGTCAGACGAATTGATCACAGGCAGCAAACGCAAGCAAACGCCCGAAATGACATGTAGAGCAGCGACGAGACGAGATAGAAGCCAGACAAGCAGACAAGCAGAGGACAAGACACCAGCAGAGGACAGGCCAGGGCAGCGAGAAGACAGAGAGACAGCAGGGATGAGGATATGTTTCACTCTCGCCTCCCCAAGCACCGGCATCAAACTATTACTTTTGCCAATGAGATAAGTTGCAGGCTCAAGGGGGCCCTTTTTCTTTTTAGCTAAAGACAACTAAGATAAGTCACTCACTAACCTGCCCTGCTTTTGCCAGGACGAGGCTGGGGCAAGGCGAGAGCGAGGAAAAAGAAGAAGGACAAGAAAGGTCGAGATGCATGCGTGGACAAGCCGGGTTCGTCTCTCTTGCTGCAGCCACCGCGATCGGGGGCGTAGGTTGATCCGCGCAGGGATCGAGGCTTGTCAAGGATAGACAGAGACGGACAGACAGAAGATACAGAGACAGACGATACGGAGAGAGATCGACTGAGGAGGTTCTGGTTGAGGTCTCACGGGCCGGGCCGTCACCCCCTGGATATACATGATACACGATATACGTGTTTATGAACGGTCAGGTTGCGCAGACAAACAGAGAAGAAACACATACAGAAACAGAGGGAGATGCAGAAAAAGAAACGAAGACACGAGACGAGACAGAGACAGAGACGGATGATGCTTGGTCTTCGTCTTCGTCTTCTGGCTGGTGTATGCAGTGTTTAGCTATGGACGGACAACTGTCATGCTGGTCTATCACGACTATCACGACTATCATGTCCATCTCCGTCAGATGGAGCAGCTGTCTTCTCTCTCTCTATTGCTATCCTCGCTTAGAAGCTTTCTGTTCCTGAGCCGTCATCAGTTAGTCCTACACATGGCTGGTGGCTTGACCTGCTTCTTCGGACCTGTCAGCTTGTCCTGTGGAGTAGCTGGTGGAAGTGAAATAGGGGAGGCGAAGGCGAATCTGGGGATGTGATGGATAGCAAGTTTATTACACGCCCAGGCGGCTATGCTCGTGTTCAAAAGGAAAGCTGTACGGAGTACGGAGTACGGGTTATAGGGGTAAAGGGTAAGCTCTTTTACGATGGATGTCTTATTTGAAAGATAGGATGAGATGGATGGATAGACTGACTCCTTTATATCTCTATCTCTCTCGGTTATTGCTTTGCTTTAACTACCGTCTATATAAGAGTCTCTGGTATATACAAGCATAATGTCAAGGAAGCAGGGATAGGACGGCCTACGAAGCGGGAAGAAAAATATCTGGATCACAGATCTCTTTATTAAAAACTGCCTTACCTACTCTAAAGCACGATAGTAAACAGGTAGATAGAAAAGAAGTCGAAGGGGGAGTCATAGACATAGGACGGGTTGAAGGACTGTAAAGCGTACATATCAAGCACTGTCAAAGGTTAAGGAAGGAGAAGAAGATGGTGGTAAAGATCAAAGCCGTTAAAAAAAGGTTTCTTGAATCCTTTTTTTTCTGTTCTCATGAGAAGCGAAGAGAAGTAAGTGGATGAAGACAGGACGAGAGGTAAGGCAAGGATGGTTGCAAGATTGTACAAAGGAAGCAGAAGGAGAGAAGGAAGAGAGACATGGCATTACAAGAGGAAGAGAAGAAGAGCAACGAAATCAAGAACCGCCCCTGAATTGCGCCGTAAAGAGAAGAAAGAAGAAGAAATAACGAAGAGACGAAGAAACAAGGCAGGCCAAAAGGGTATCAGATCCATCAGTGTACATACCATACTTTCACCAAGATGGAGCCAGAGGGAGGGAACAGAACACTGCTTTTTTTCACCCCTTCCCTATCATAAAAGAACAGAATGACACAAAACTAACCAAGCAACAGGCAATTGCAATTTTTTTCGGTTTCTGGTAGATGACGAGAGTAATTCGAGAGTTAAGTCAGGTAGGGCATTGGTTAAAGAAGGATGAGGTAGTTTGACGGCGCAATGCCCGTCTCTCCCGTCGACTTCTTCGCCTGCCACCACCGCCCACTCACGTCCGACACCTCGAGGATCTCATGCTTGGTGAAGCTGATCTCGTTCGCATCATCTGGGTTGGCTTCATACGAATATATCGCCTTGGCACGGTACGGGTACTCTGTCGGCTGTCCTATCTCGCCCGTCTCCCCGCCCACAGTGCTGGGGTTGGTCTGCGAGCCAAGCATGGGCTGGACGCCCGTTGCGCTGGCAGTGGTGGGGTTGAAGCCCGTCATGGGCGAAGAGTTGTCGAAACCATTGAGTGGTGCGGACGAGTACATGTGTGGGTGGGCGGAGGAGATGGTGGTTTCGGGACGGGGAGTGTAGCTGTGAGAGATGGGTTTGCTGTTGCGGTAGCTGTGTGGCTGTTCCTTGTGAGGCGCAAAGGAGTCGATGTATGCCCTGGGGCCAGACTGAGAGGTGAGCCGAAGTAGAAGAATCCAGACGATCTCCAGGGTAAACATGTTAAGTGGGGGGACCGGAGTACCACCACAAGTCACAGGAGGCAGCTTTCACGGTACGGTCCGTCCATGGAAAAAAGAAAAAAGACCAGCACCGGCAGCCTGTCTGGGGCCCTGCTTGCTGGTGACAAGGTTATCGAGGATGAATGTTGTGCAGACGAGCCCGGCAGCAGCGTATCCAACAACCTGTCCACACTAAGTCAGTACTCAACCAATACGTATACACATATGATATATAGATATGTATATGAGAGAAAAAGGTATAACCCACCGCCGTGCCGTAGATGTGACTGGTATTCGAGCCCATCACGACCGCAACGCCCACCAGGACGCACAGCTGGTACGCAATCGACCACCAGAAGAAGTTCGGAACCACTTCCTTCGTATGGGCGATGGCGCATGAGACGGCACCAATGATCCACCGCAAGCTACAGACAATCAGCATCCATCAATGGGTAAACAGAAAGACGCATCAGTAAAAAAACAGCATAAAAAGAGGATCCTACGTACCATGGCTAATCGATACGGTGGCAAGCGCAAAAAGGGTCGCCGACCAGGTTGCTCATCTGGAAGCGCGCCATCGTGGCGGTTGATCTAGATATCGTAGAGATAGAGATAGAGGATCCGAGACAGAGATAGCGACAGGGACGGCACGCGAGACCATCCACGTCTTCGCATGCAGCGTATCTCTATATAACCGACTATATCTGTGTCTCTCTGCAGTCGTTTGTGTTGTTGTTGACCAGGCAAGGCTCGCTAACGTTAACGTCTTGCTTTACCTGCTGCGGCCGTTGGAGAGTGACACTTTTCAGCCGCAGCACTTCGACCTCCGACTTTGAACCTTCACTGCGTAACGAGAGAGTAGAGTGACCTTATCGGCGAGTATCTGGCTGTGCTTCCGTGGTGAATAGAGCGATCTAAGCCGGCGCTGCAGGGAGGGCGAAAGTAGTCGTCAGCGCCTGGCTGGGAGGATTTGGCGGCAGAGACAGAGTGAGAAAAAGGGGGCTTTTGAAGACGGGGAGGGCGGCGAGAGGTTGCCAGAACGAACGAAAGGAAAAGAAAGGAGGGAGAAAGCGAGAGTGAAGACGCCGCGGGAGAAGAAGAAGAGGAAGAAGAAGAAAAGACGAAGTCGAAGAAGTCGAGACGAAGAGACGAAAGATGAAGATGAAGATAAAAAGCGACTTTCAGGAGGAGAATAAAAAGCAAAGAAGAAAAAGGCGTCTTTTAGTCTTACTTAAGCCGCGTCTTGAACTTTTTATATTAATAGCAAAGGGACAATAAGAAGACAAGAAGACGATAATTAAAATAGCTACAGTAGAAGACGGAGAGAAGACTGGTGGAAGAGTCCCTTTTCCCTCTGTCTGTCCTACGCCACTGGCAGGTCTCCTTCTCCTGCTTCTCTGGCCGATTCGGCCTTTGTTTCGCGCGCGCCAAGTTGGCCTGCAGAAGAGGCTCGCTGGCTCGCTGGCCCAGTGGAGTTGGGGCAGTTTCAGGCCAGTGTGCTCGACGATCGATGACGCCGGCGGGTTTGAAGAGTTGCTCTGGATGCTGTTGACGCCCTTGGTAGATAGATACTGTTGCGTGTAAGTCCTTTGATGTCGTGGCTGCCAATGGATTGTACGGTGACTCTAGCTTCTGAGGGTGGTACCCCCCTGAAGACGGGACGTTTGTGTATATGTATCAGCAGGGCAGTCAAGAAAGAAACTCCGACCGGCGAGAGGGGATCCATGTTTGACGCTGGACGAGTGGCCAGCGCTGGCTCCACGAGTTCTGTCGTGCGTCCTCCTGTTTCACCCTGGATGAAGCAAGCAGAGCAGTCCAGTCAACCAGCTCTCTCCCAAAGAGAGTTCGATGGAGTGAGCCTCAGTAGCGCATCACATCAAACCGTGAAGAGCCCACCACCTCTCAACGCTATGTCTTTACCCATCCTTCAAACATATACTCGTCCCTCCCCTGGTCCTTAATCCGCCATTTGGTATGGGCCTGGCCCCGGAGGTGTACCGCTTATTCACCGTCTATCCGTGGACAGTAAACCTTCAAAGTAGACAGAGAGAGTGTGAAGTTCGACCACCGTTGAGATTACTCCCTCTCTCTCGCCTTCTCCTCCCTTCTCACCCCCCTCTCGACCATCTTCATCCTCTCCTCCCATTCACCCCATACCTCCCCGCCGCCCACAACACCGACTTCAACCCACCGCTTCATCAACAGCGTGCTCTGCACCCTCAGCTCGGCTATCTCCTCCGCCTGACGTCTCTGCGTCTCCTGGCACCGGTCTAGTCGTGGCTGAAGCTCGACAAGGGCCGTGGACGCACTAGCGGGAGGGATAGGAAGGTCCTGTAGCGAGCTTAGTCGAGATGCTGTTTCGGGGAACGCTGTGGCGTATGACAGCACGATCGAGGCTAGGGTTGCTGGTGTCATCGTTGCAGGCGGTGTGTGTGTCGACGCAGACTGGAAGAGGTCCGGATATCGTGAGTCTAAATGTCTTTCTGTTAGAGACCTCATAAAACGAAAGGCATTCCTTGTAGGCAATGGTAGGCAGGCGTACATAGCTTGAGCACGTCTTGGACGGCAGGGACTCGCACTGAGAGCCGTCTAAGGCCATGTTCGAGCTCCGCGAGACGGGCAGAGACTGTTTCTCGCACTGAAGCTGGGGGTTCGGATGCTTGCTCTGGCTCGCCCGCCCAGTTCGTCTGGCCGGTCAGCAGGAACTCAATGCGTCGAAGCCGAGTCTCGAGCAGCTCGATCGTGTCTGCCGCGGTGCTGGTCGTGTATTCGGTCTCCATCTCGTCTGTTCCCTTGTTGTGCTTGTAGTTGTTGCAGTAGTTGTTGCAGTTTGTTGTTAATTGTTGATTTTCCTTGACGTCAGTTTTGCTTGTCAGGAACCAAACCTTAACCCGATTAGGAAGAAGTCTACACTTAAGTAACATATTGATATTGCTTGGGTAAGAGGTAAAGAGATGGACGAAGAAGTGATGGATGATATTATGACTAGTTACGCCGCTGGAGCTGCGTTTGTCTCTACTTCAACCTGCATGCTATCCTCGTCGTGCTCGTTCTCTTCCGTGATCTGGTCCATCAGGGCACCTTGCCCACCAGCACCAGCTCGTTGTCTAGGTGGCGCCGGCGGAGGCATGATGCTCGCACTATGCTGTCCTGTCCGTTCTTGCATCTCTTGTCCCTTGGCCTCTATCTTCTCACCGCCCTCCTCCCCGTCGTCATTAGCTACATCATCCATCAGAAGGTCCTCCTCCTTCTCCTTGGTGGTGTTTGTCTTTTCTTCATGCTCGGCAGTGAACTCGGCAAGCTCTTGCTCGAACAGCTCATTGTCCTTGTCAATGAAGTTCTATACCCAGAATTAGAATGTTTCCTACTTATTTGAAAAGAATTGATGCATACCTTTAGTGGCTCAGGGAGATCACCGGCCTCGAAGCCCATGGCCTCTTCGTTGGCGTAAACCAGGACAACACTCGATGATTCCTCCTTTGCTGCATGGAGTACTTCGATCTCTCGCACAGGACGCGCCGTGTATCCAATGATGTCCACATTATCAGCTACAGTAGCTCTAGACACTGGCTTGCCACCGCTTTGGCCGGGCGCAGATGGTTCAGTCTGGCTAGACGGTTTCAGGCTCGCGGATCCAGCACTGCCGACTTTCGCATCGTCGACCGAGAAGCTGATTCTCCACCACTGCCATTGCTCGGCTGCTGGTACGTCAGGGACATCGTCCGTCATCAGGTCTAGGTCCGGCTTCCGCGGTTTCAGCACATAAAAGATGTGTGGCTCCGTGCACACCCCTCGGAGTGTGTACTTGTGTCTGGGAGCCTCCTCTGCGGAGGAAGCTTGACCAGTAAAGCAGTTGGAAAGTTGCCGAAGACTCTCAAGAGCTTGTGCCTTTCTTTCTTCCAATTCTGAGCATCTTCATATTAGCATGTCATAGACTATCAAATAACCGGTGCTGAACTTACCTTGTATTTTATGAGTAATCTGCTCTGTCAATGTTCTCAGCTTTTCAATTAGATCAACCACATCTTCCTGTGTGGTAGACGGTGCCCCATCGACCTGGTACGGGCCAGTCAGAGCCACCCGAGATCCAGCTAGGACCTTCTGTACAATCGTATCGACCGAGATACTTCCTTTCTTGGACAGATATCGATCGACCATCGCCCCCAACTTCTCCAGCTCAACATCAACAACCACACGACGTTTCCTAAGCTCCACTGCAAACTCCTTGCAGTGCTTCATGTAGCGGTCAGGATACCAAACAGCTGGGATCTTCAAATCGAGCCGGTTACCGTCGTGATTGGTTACCCTCATCGTAAAGACGGGAGCAACTTCTTCTAGCCAGATGTCGTCCAAGTCTTTACCAGGCATATCACACCATATATGCCCATCTAGGAGGTCATATAGCGTTCTTCCAGAGGTCTTATCAATTGAAAGGTCTAGCAATGAAAATGGTTCATTGGCACACTCGTCTTCCGAAAGCGATTGTTTGACACCCCTAGAATAGAATGTTTTCTGGGGCAACTCTCCTTCCGCAGGGGGCGAGATTTCCTCCCATAATTTTAAAAACGTAGCTATTCTGTCTTCAGCTCTCCAGCACCTAAGAGAGGATAGATTAGATAGAACATCCGCGCTTCCAAATGCTCGCTGTGAGCGGTCCAGGAAAGCCATTAACCGCTGGATTTCATGCACTGCGTCTTCCCATGGTGCATCTGCCGGGTCAAGATCAGTCAAAGCCGGCTGCCCATTCCACCATTGGCTGTCATTGCCGTAGTCGGAAGCCACCCTGTCCCTCCAAAGAAGCTCTTCCCTGGCTATGGGTATAGAGTGCAAGATAGTCAAATAGGCAGGGAAATAATCTGACTCTATCCCGGGCCTGAGGAAGCGAGGGGTACCGTGAATCCTCCGCCTAAGCTCCGGGTCTGGATCAATAGACATCTCTCTGGAAATGGCACTAGGGAGCGTCAAGGCCCATAGCTGAGTATCATAGTGTTCCCTGTTCGCAGGCCCAAACTTCGCACCCTCTACCGCCGTAACACCCGATTCCTGGTCTCCGGACGGCAGATTGTGTCCAAGTGACGCGGTTATCGCATGCTGCATTTCATGCTCTTCACGTTCCGCCAACGTAAGGCCATCGGTGTTAATATCGTCCGCTATTTTCCCCAAACCATCTCCCTGTAAGCGCAAGTTACGTCACTACTAAAACAGGGACAGCGATAAGGAGCTCACAGTAATTCGGGTTCCCTGGTGTGTTCGTTGTCTGCGTTGTAGATTCTACATTGTTCTTCTTCTCACGGATGCCAACTCGTGATGGCGGACGGGACGGGGCTGACAAGCCGCCAATATCTATACGGTCGATATCATACGATCCTCGAAGAAGTCAGAACACATGGACACTAGCTGGGGGTTGAATAAGTGTCCATTGAAGCATTGATCGCTAATCGAGGGAGCGGCACATGCTTACTCTGGGGAGTCGGGCTGTGGTATTCACGGAAGGTACTTGGTATAATTTCCTGGACCTATCCATGCACTGTCAGTTCCGCATTTGCTTGCTAGGAAACGGGCGTCTTGCTCACCGGCGGTAAAGGGTCGTCTGGGTTTTCAAAGTAGGCATTGATAGCTCTGTGGGAGTCACCGTTATTGTGCTATAATATGTAAAATGAAGCTGTTAGCAGGCTGCAGTGCGTGTCCCGAGCTAGAGGAGGGCAAGGTGGAGGAGGGGATCTAAACCTACCTGGAGAAACGCAATCGCCCGTTCCCTTGAGGCGCTGGTGAACGAGACGAAGGCCTCAATCGCCTCGTCTGTTATCTCTGGCACCATCTCTGCCTTGCTCGTGCTCTTGCTCGCTCTGGATGTGCTGAAGGTGTGAAGCTGAAGCTGTTTGGTGCAAGCAAGCAAGTTGACGTTTGCTTAACTATAGATCGAGATCGACAAGAAAAGTCACGGGGGCCGCATTCGTCATCTTCCCGCCTCCGCCTCCTCCTAACAAATCTTTGCCAAAAGTGTATCACTATCCGCACCATTCGCTAGGTACTTCTAATTAAGCAGCATTGCTTTTTCGTTCAACGGTTATGAGCCCGAGTGTGTGCAGGAGGCCAAATGGTTCCTGAGCATTGGCGTCACCAGAGACCACCAGGCAGGAAAGCTCTGGTTGAACCAACGGGCGTACATTGAAATCTTCGTCAAACGCTACCATTTGGAACATGGCAGGAAGGCTTCAACACCACTATTAAAGGACATCAAACTCGTTCCAAATGAAGGCAAAGCGACGCCTGGTTGAATAACGGAATACCAGCCGAAGATAGGCTCCGTTCTCCGAACAGCTGGATCGACTGATTTGCTACCTGCGAGACACCAAAGATCTGTCTATCAAATATGACGGCTCTCATACACACGAATTTCTCACACAAATAGAGAACACTTGAAATCTCAAGCGACGCTGCCGCATTCGGTGGCGATCCAACCACCAGAAGGAGCTCGGAAGGATACCTCTTCAAGCTGTTTGTTGGCCCTGTTGCCTGGAAGCCGATGAGCCAGCAGCTTCGTGATCGGTTGCAAGAGACTGCTAACACGATCGATATCGTGGAAGACTACAATATTGAAATACCCTTTCATACAGTTGAGAGCGCTCATTTTAAAAATATGTTACAGATGGCTGCTGGCAATCGAAGTATTGCTTTACCTACAGAATATACTATTCGCCGCTATCTTATGACTTCTACAGATGAGATTCTTACCCAACAGCTTCAAATGATATTTCCAGGTTTCGCTAAATATCGTCTTTTTGGCCTCGTTTTGCTGCCATGCCACCGCCCGTGAGCGCCAGAGAGGTGGAGGGCCTCCTGGAGCTCGGTTTTGCCGTCGGCGAGATTGCAATGGAGGCCAAATGTGGTATAACCACCATTTACAAGATCCGCCGATAGGCCAGTTTATTAGTTTCGCCACCTTAGATGCCTCTGGGTGCCGTCCCTTTATAGATATTAATTGCCTCCGGTTACTCGAGCTTCCTTGGTCTTCCAATGCGGTTATAAGGAGCCTTCGAGCTGTTAAAGGTGGGAATATTAATTCTGCAATTAAGCTCAATAAGTTAACCCTTCGGGATGCGAATTTACCGCCGAATGTTGATGAATTCGCAGAGGAATTTGGAGTAATGGTTATAACGAGCCTTTGTGACTTATTTTCGGGATACGATCAAATACCCTTGGATATTTTGGATAGGGATATGACTGCTATTATGACCGAACACGGATTGCTTAGGCAAACTACTTTACTATAAGGATAAAGCAACTCAGTTGCTCAATTCGCTAGGATATTGGAGAAGGTTCTGCAGGATGAGATACCTGGCTTAGCAAGGATTTCCCTTGACGATATTGGGGTGAAAGGCCCAAAGACCACTTATGGGAATGAGGAAGTGTGCTCTGGAATCCGTAGGTTCGTTTTCGAGCATTTTTAGGACCTAGAGGCCATTATTTATTCATTAGAATTAGCTGGTCTTTGTATATCCGGTGAAAAGAGTCAATTTGGAATGCCTGGAATAAAAGTGGTTGGTTGGGTCTGTGATTTATTGCAAGAATTCCTAGCCGGGCTGCTATTAAGCGCCATCTAATGGTGCTGAAGGAAAAGCATGATGCCAATGTTACCGGAAACCTCCCCTCAGAAGGTAAAGTATCGATTGCCTTGGATTGCTGGACAAGCCCTCTTAATACTACCAGATGGTAACCCATATGACTGGGAGGCACCAGAACTTGTTGAGGCCAAGGTGCACGAACTTTACACGCCATTTCCAAGTAATGGAGAGTCCGATAGCAAGGACATACCGTCGTTATCAGATACAGTATGATATACCCCCTGCTAGTAACTCTGGCGGCATCAACACCAACACGCCGGTTGACGCCGCCATCACCACGAGCCTACTCATCGACAACATGCTGGTTAACACCACCATTATCAAGTTAATAACACGCCTGTTAACGCCGCTATTACCATATGATACGGAAGTCTACTCTGGCCTAAAAAGTACTGACCTACTAGGAATCAACTAAAACTAGGTCATGAATACTTCAGATCCTACCTTTGAATACTCCCAGATATAAATAAAGAAACAACAAAATATATACACTACTACCAACTCGCAGTTTTCCTAAAAATTGAATCTTAAGGTGGCTAAAGCTTGTTTTTCCCTTTTTCTGTATTTATATAGGACTCCTCATAGTCTTTGACTGCATAGGAGCATAATGAATAATAATAATAGTAATAACCCTCTGCTAGTATATAGGGAGGTATCAGAATATGTAGCTTAGTCAGCTTCCAGCCATATTTGGAGCTCAAAATCTCTGCACGTATCTGCACGAGCTCAAGCTCACGGTCATCACCAATGGCACACGGGTATACGGTATTGCAACGAGTTACCACTTATCCTTACCCTTTTGCTGCTGTTATTGGATAATCTTAATATCGTAACGTCATGATATTGAGATGCTACCTTAGAGATGGCGATATCAGATGGTGTGGGGTATCTACTAAAAAGAACACTGCCATGCTCACTACGAAGGCTTCAGCAGCTTTTTGATGGCTTTGTTTTCTATTCGTTGCCTATCAATGTTGCTCGTATAGCTCTTCATGTTTGTACCAGATTATAGACCTGCCTGCGCCGCTCTCCCTAGTAACAAAGAATACCTGAAGAAGATGCTAGAATCTAGTCAAATTTGATGGAAGATACCCATGTGGTTTGTTTTGCAGCTCTGTAATTGGAGCAGGGTGTGTGTTTTGACGGAACTTCCCTTTAGCTCGCTCGCTCAAGCAGCAAAGTTTTCACCTATATATATTGATACCAACCACCAGCATTGCAATGCTGCTTCGACCACCAACGCGTTAGCATTAGCTACTTTGGTGCCAATGAGTTCAAGATGGCAGAGCCACCAGTTAAAGATGATTTGGAGACACCAAATATCATCCAAAAGCTCAAGGCAGAGACCAAGCTGCATGTCTACAAAGACCTTCTCTTGAAATGGTGGATATCTGACAAAAAACCCGAAAAATCCATTATAAACTATCTTATCTCCATGATTTATAATGGCCTGGCGAAGACCGTGTCCTTGAGACATACAAAAGCTGATCCCCTTCTTGACATGCTGATCCATAAAGACCTAAAGCGTGGCCAGGTACAGGCCTTGGTCGACATGTTGTTACCAATTGCCAGTGGCGTCATTGACAGTGATCCATCCATATCTACATCTTTGACGGACGGGTACGAGGCACACACGATACCCTGGGGCTACTATTCTGACCCCTGGGACCACGGAACCCTGTTGATGCGAAACAGATGGTACAATCTCTATGAGAAGATCCCAGACCTAGAGTATATGTTGATATTGGTGCAAGCGGATACCTTCAGGGAAATGTTATGGGGTCTCGAGCCAAAGCTTTGGAATGTCATGGTAGCCGCCCTTCATCAATATCGTACCAGTATCAAGGTGTTTGCCGAGGTTACCCATCTAGATTTTAGAGGGCCGTTTACTGCTAGAACTGGACTGCATTCTCTGGAGCTTGCGTATGGGTATTTTAAAGGGAAACGACTGACTGACTACTATCCGCACAACTTAGTTGTCAACGATATTACAGGAGGACTCTATAAGTCCCCTAAAAAAGTCAATCGGTTTACATTCTGCAAGATCCTTTATTCTTCCGTCAGACAGCATGTGCGGCCGATCGAGGAAGAGTCTGAGGATACCGGTGACATATCCCCTAATAGCGATTCCGAAGAACCCATTCTCATGGCTGTAGGGATATGTACATCATGCTCGAAACTGGACCACTTCTGCCTCTGCTGCCGCTGCTGCAGTCGCTCTTCTGGAAAAACAAAAATGCCTGTCAACCCATCTTTTCTCCAGCTAATGGACTGTAGCGATACCCGCGGAATCGGCGTCCGTTCTCTGATTGAAATCAGCGAAGGTGTCACCATTGGAGCTTTAGAGGGTAGAGTAGTGCCGCCTAGGAGGGCAGTTCGTCAAGTCGACAGCTACCCTCTCATATCGGGAGGCGATCGTGGTATTGCTACAACCACCGCTACGGTGAATTCTAATAACTGGTGCCTATTTGTGAACCACTCTTGTCAACCCAACGCTAAATTCATGCCTGGCAATTATCTGGGTGTCCCTGCGGTGTTAATCATCGCAACGAAATGTATCGAGCCAATGCAGGAAATAACCGTACATTATGGTGATTCCTTCCTAGACTCCGCGGACTGGGATTGTTGTTGCAACAGCTCGAACTGCATAGAAAAGGTTCTTGAGTCCGACGGGGACCTCTCTGCAGTAGACGAAGGAAGCCCTATCGAGTACCGCTATGAGAAGAATGAAGCCCCATGTAGCTAATTCATCCACATCCACATCCACATCCGCCAGCTTGCCATCCTGTCTGTTCCCTTGCGAGGGTTTGCTCGTGTTCGATTAGTTACAGAGACCACAGGATCAATCAATTAGTTAGTTAGATAGCTTAGATGCCAAACCCATCAAATTATCTACCCTATCATCTCTATCGCCTTCTATGATCTCTGCAGAGTGTACCTAGGTAACCAACTTGCCCCGTAACCATCTCCACCCCCAGGCGTCAACTCGGCTATCGGGAGTGGGCGCCGAGCCCCCCTGGCCCAGCTAAATATTGGGATCTCTCCAGGGCCCGTCCCCGCAAGTATAAATGGCTATCTGACCGTCACTTCGTTCCCTCGGCTCGTTCCTCCAGTCGAGCAGCATGAGACAGTGAAGGCCAGTCGTGTTTTCTTTTCGTTATCTCTCGTTATAGATACTCTCATTCCTTTCTGTTAGCGTTCGTCGTTCTTTTCCCCGGGCCAGTTCGTCCCGTTCCTGGCATTCGACCTTAGGCGGCGCATTTGAATTAGTTATTTTCTTAGCAGGCGACTATGCGGGGAACGACGACACTGCCATGGCAGCTCTCCAGACGGATCGCAAGCCTACCGAGGACGAGATGGAGCTGTCACAGCTCATATGGAGTGCTTCAGAGTCGGAATGTATCTGGCCAGAGCTATGCTCGAGGCCCGTCCGAGGTTTTTTTGACTTTCTCAGCGTATTGCGCGCTTGTTAATCATTGAGCTGACGGCTAACTTATGCGACACAGCCACCGTTGTTCGAGCAGACAGTCGGCGGCTACTTTGCGGATACCGTGAGGAAACATGGAGATAGAACTGCGTTAGTTTGATGTTATCTGTTCTGTGCTGCTATTCGGTGAGGACTGATGGGTGTTGGGACCGGACAGGGTTATTTCGAGACACCAGGGCCAGAGGGTGACATATGCAGAATTGGATCAAAGGAGCAACTCCCTGGCTCGTGGATTGGCATCTACAGGCGTCAGGAAGGGCGATAGAGTGGCCGTGTCCCTGGGGAACGGGCTGGAATATGCGATTGTGAGGATACGATGAAGCAAGCCGGGAGAGAAACCGCTGAGCTGACTATAGCCTTCGTTTTCGATAGACGACGTATGCTCTGTTCAAACTAGGAGCAGTTCTGGTGAGTACATATCTTTGTCTATTTATGCTTGTTGGCCGACAGCTACTAATATCATGGGCAAGGTTCCTCTTAATCCATCGTTCAACTTCAACCAGGTGGCCTCCGCCCTCAGCCATCTAGAAGCTTCTCACTTGATCATAAGTACGGAAGTCAACCTACCTCGAAGGGACCCTCAGTCGAACATTCCCTTGCTGCAAGAGATTATTCCCAATCTCCAGTCCGCCAAGCTCGAGTCTACCATCGGATCCCTCAAACAGGTCGTCCTAGTCCAGAACGACGGCGGCCGAATTGATACATCTGCTCTAAAATGCATCACACCGTATACGTCAATATATTCCGAGCTCCCCCAGGATATGAAGGCTTTGCCTGACCAGGGCCTTTCTCCAAACGACGTTGTGAATATTCAGTTCACGTCCGGGACAACATCTATGCCCAAGGCAGCATGTCTAAGCCATCGATCAATATTGAACAATGGGGTGCAGATAGGCGATAGAATGCTGCTCACGCCCCAGGATATCGTATGCTGTCCTCCACCGCTCTTCCACTGCTTCGGATGTATACTTGGGTATATGGCAACAGCCACTCACGGATCAGCCATCGTCTTCCCTGCCGAATCCTTCAACGCAATAGCAACCTTGAAGGCCGTACAGGAAGAGAAGTGCACGGCACTCTATGGCGTCCCGACGATGTTCATCGAGGAGCTCGACCTCATTGCAGACGGCGTCGTACCGTATGAAGGATTCCAGTATTTGCGCACTGGCATTGCCGCCGGCAGCAGCGTGCCATCCGAACTGATGAAGAAGCTACACAAGACGCTCAATCTAACCGAGCTGACGATATGTTACGGTATGACGGAGACGAGCCCCGTCTCGACGATGACTGCAACGGACGACCCGATTGAGAAACGGCTGAACACTGTAGGTAAGTTACTTCCACATGTCGAAGCCAAAGTGGTCGACCCTCTAGATTACAGCCAAATACTCCCTCTGGGCGAGCAAGGGGAGCTGGCTGTCAGCGGATATCATGTCATGAAGGAATACTGGGATGCACCCGAGAAGACTGCCGCGGTGATGGTGCCAGACTCAGAGGGAAAAGTTTGGATGCATGTGAGTATTAACTCGTTCTTTTTCTTCTGCTTCACCTTCTTTTCTTCTTATCTGCTTACGACTTCTAATTAACTTGCGTCCACAAGACCGGTGACGAAGCTTCAATGTCCGTCGACGGATACATCACCATCACCGGGCGTATCAAGGACTTGATCATCCGTGGGGGTGAAAACATCCACCCTCTGGAGGTTGAAAATTGCCTTCTTGCTCACCCCGGCGTGTCCAACGTATCCGTCGTAGGGGTCCCCGACGAGCGCTACGGAGAAGCCGTTGCCGCGTTCGTGGTCGCACACGCAGAAGGAGAGGAGGGCAGGGTGACAACTGAAGAGATCAAGAGCTGGGTCCGCACAAAGCTGAGCCATCATCTAGGTAAGTCGAGCGTCGCAGAGTCGAGCTATCCCATCTGCACCTGCACCACCCATCGTTATCCCCATCCCGATCCCGGACATCTTCCTTGATCCCTTCACCAAAGCCGAAGCGAAAGCCAAAAAGCAAGTCGTCCCAACTCGATGGGATGGTCGCCGTGCTTGCCCTACCCTGAGGGATCATCCCGCCAAGGCCACCCTGGCAAGGCTTGATTTTGCTTATTTGAGGTTATCCGACGGCGATGTTTGTTTATTTTCTTTCCTTTCTTTTCGAATTCTCTTCGTGTCGAGACTCTGGCGATGAGCTGGGCTGGCATCTCAGTCAGTGCCTTGCCAGCACATGGCCAGAGCCTTTGTTTCATGTCACTCGCACGGCATACGGAGTATACCCAACCTCAAATCAAGCCCGCCCCATGGAGCCGCGGATGCTTGATCCCATATCCGCGATTGACTGGTTTCCCAAGAGGGAAAATTGGTCACGGCCAATCGTCGCTAGCGCGGGCCAGGAGACTCCGCTTAACCAGCGTCCAATTGTTTCGCTGTCTTTTACTTTATTGCAAAATTACGACCCTCCAAATATATACTTACACGCATACGGAGGTATATATATCCCACACCATCAAGTTGCGAGGATGGCCGTGCAACCCCGTCCTCCAAGTCTCCATGTGATCCATGTGGAGTCCACGAGAGTGGCAGAGAGTGGCAGCCACTGCTAGCGCAAGCTTCCCATGTCCTAAAAACTAGGACCTTTTCTGTCAAGCGTCCTTTTGGGAATCTCGCTGCATGTCCGCTCGCCTGAATGCTTGTCACGGCACAGGGGACCCTGCTGCACCTTTTTGTGCTGCCCCCTCCCCCTTTTTTTGAGTTGCATTTCTGTCGCCCTCGCTCGCCATCACGGCCCATTCGGCTGTCGACCCGGCGGTCTGAATCCATGCCCATTCATGGAGCTGAAGCACCTCTTTCTCAACGCTCAAGCCCTCTGTCCCGACTATGTCTTTTTACCTTTGTCCCATATACTTCTTCCAATCCTTCAAAGCCCAGTTCCCCGGAGAATTTCCCCATGGACATTTCTCTTTCTCCCTTTTAGCTTCCTTTCTTTTTTCCCTTGCTCCATCCTGGCTCGCTTTGCTCCTCTCTCTCCTCCCTCCTGCATTTCATTCCGGACTGCTTTGCGGTCACTGGCGCTAACGACGATCACTTCCTGCTCGGCAGTGCCTAAATATATCTTCTACATCGACGCCTCCGACTTCCCAAAGACTGCTAGCGGCAAGATACAGAAGTTCAAGCTTCGTGAACGTGCAATTGAGCTGATCAAAGACGGTCAGCAGTCGTAACGGCACGGCAGCACAAAGGGAGCGAACTCGAAACAAGCTCGATCGGCAGATAGGGAGTTTGGTTTACCTTTCCTGGATCTTTTGGATATCGAAACGTGGAATCGAGTGAACCTTTGACTGGGCATGTGTTGGTTTTGGAGCATGCTTTTTTGGACGGGATGAGAGTATTAAGCACACACATCACCGTCCCCCCTCCCGCTTCCGCTTCCACTGCCCTGTCTTGAGCTGCCCTGGCCTGCCTCGTCACCCCTCCATCACCGCGAACCCCTGCGATATATATATTGGTTATATTTCTATATATGTCGTCATATAAATGGAGGTACCCTCATATATATGAGTACGCATACTCCATGCTCTATTTATTCGGCAGTGCTTTTAATGGGGCCATACCTATAATTTACCAGACAAGCGTAAAGTACAGAGAACTAGGGCGTATGTAAAAACTGGGAAAACCCGCTCTCGTATCTTCTCCGGATTGCTCTAAGACGGAAGAGATAGGATATCAAGCCTCGTATCCTTTAATGCTCACAATTTCGGCTTGGGTGCGTAGATTGCGGCCCACCAGTGCCCTAGTTAAGCGGATAGCTAACTAGTTAGCAGCTAGCTATATGTACCCCAAGAGTTATCAGTAGCGAGGTGCATTCGAACCGAAACCGACGTGGTTATCCGTCCTCTCGAAAAGAGGGCAAAACAGTAAAATGTAAATAAGCTGAAACAGAATTGAAGTTAGAGACTGCGTGATATGTTTGAAAAATGTACCTCGATTTTAGGCGTCACGTGATGGCTTTTTTTTCCAATCTAAGGTTGAATAAGGTGTCACTCAACGTTGAAGCCTCAGCTACAACGTCCTAAGAGCCTCCAGGCACCAGCCTTGGGTGCTTGCGGCTGAAGCCGTGACTGGTGAAGGCGCCAACTTGATACCCTATTGTCATTTTCGGTACAGAAGTACTTTGTTTGCAACTAGTAACGGATAAATCCGTTGAGAGTCAGCCATATACCACCACATGACGCTGTCAGCCACAATACTAGTATCTAGTTGTAGAGAGAGCGAGGTTGACGACGACGACGACGACTTCATCAGCTCAGAAAGGACGAATATGGAAGAGTACTCATGATACGAATTGTTGCTACCGGAGTCATATATTACCAGACTAGCCAGAGTCACAGCCTCTCATTTGCGGTCTAGCTGGCACGGCAGATGACTGGATGTTGTTGATGAAGATAGTAACTATACCAGATAACCAACCGGATCCGTATGCAAGGGGCCGCAGAGAGCACTGCAAGGGACTCATCGTGAAGATTCAACTATCTGGTTCGGTTCTGAGTCACTCATAGAGCCATGAATGTCATTATACCATTACCCGTGACAAGTCGAATCAGGTTGTCTAAAAGATTTTTACCAGGGCGAGGCAGGGCCTGAGCTGGATCCACGTACCTACCTACATAGACGATATACGTGTCTAAGTATGTAATGCCAACTGAGAGCCTTTTTGACGTGGTTTGGTTGTTGCTTTACGCCCGGCAGATATATGTAAGTAAATATGTATGCTTGCTTACACATAAGCACAACGCAACGGTCCCTCATCAGCCATCCCTGCCATATAATTCGACAACAACCTCAAGGATAAAAGCGGATACTCACTGACCCAACAAATTGATAAAAAACATGCATCCATATTTACCTGCAGGGATAGATGCATCCTTACTTACTTACATACATACTTACCATACAGCGCATAACTCCATCGGTTCGTTCATCGTTAATTACCAATACCTGTATGTTTGGTTTGTTTTGACAGTAAGTAAGTAAATACAAACGGCAAGGGACAGCGCCCGTTGACGCTTGCTTGCACTGCCGGCATGTTACATATACGAGAGGCAGGCAGACATCGAAGGTCGAGATGACAATTGAGCATCACGATTGTGTGAAATAAGCCTTCTGATCGTGGAGACGGGAGACGGGTGCATGAACGTCCATCACGAAGATGGGCGTTGGAGTGTGGGAGGTGGGAGTATTTAACGGCAGGCGAGCTTGACGCGGAATATTTATCGAAAAAGTATCAAGGAGATAATCTCATGGGCCTGGACAGCATGGGAATTCAGTTCAGCGCACGGTCAGGTACATCGCTACATCGCCATCGCCATCGCTGTCGCTCTCGCCGTCGCCGTCGCCGTGGTTCAACTTGGAAGAAGGTGTTATACAGCGCCACTTGACTCGCTTCCTTCGATCAGCTGTGTCCGAAAAACAAGCCACGACATGTACATAATAAATACACCGTCATAACTCGGGGTAGCGCCGCCATGCAGTGCATCCACGAAGGAAGACGTTGGTAAGTACCGATCTAACTAAAGAAAGGCCTTGCCGCTTCCATCTGCCAGGCGGCTGAATCAACTAACTCGCCTTTTACGGGGGAGGGGGATCTTTCCATGCGATGGCTGTCATATGATAGACGCTCGAAGGAGGGTTGGGAAGGAGGACGAGCGCTTCGTGCTCTGTAAGACCATCTCGATAGGTCAGGACGAGACAAGTCAAATGTCAAGAAGTACACAAGAGACGCGGCTTCTCGGCATGTCGGCAGTTCTGCAGCACATCATCTTCTTGTCTTGTCATTGTCTTGTTTACTTCTTCTTGCTCTTGATCTGAAACTCGGCTCATCCCCATCTCCATCTCCTGCCGGCCTTGTCCTTCCACGTCCATCTCCATCCCGTCCGTCTCACCGGCGTCTCTTCATCCTCGTCTTCATCTTCCCATCTCGCGCGAGAAGAAAAGAAAAGTTGTCGCTCTTCTTTACTCTTCCCACGCACGGTCCGCGGAAAAGCCCCTGCTTCGAGGAGAACCAGCTAAAGCAGCGCCCTCTTCTGCCTGCAAACGGACTAGCGCAAGGACAGGGGGATAAAATAAAACAGGGTCCAAGCTTCTTCCTGCTAACCCTGCATGACATGCTTACATAAGACTGCATGGATAAAAATAGACTCACATATGCACAAATAAAAAGAGTGTTTGCACTTGATGCTTAGGTAATTTTAATATTTGCTGTTCATGCCGCGTTTGGCGCTGGATAAAAAAACTTGACTGTTCTGGCCCTGGCTCTTGCTCCCATGACCGCAGCGAAGAGTTTTACCTGTTTGCTCGCTGGCTGGCTTGCTTGCTGGCTTACCGGCTAGCCACAGACAGGTGAAGTTAGACGTCGGACATGCCCAGGTAGGTCGGAAACATCTTCAAGTGTGGTTTCATATATTTTTTATCCCCCGAAGCACAAACACAGTCCCCATACCACTGCAGAAGCTAGTGAACTGTATATCGTTGTTAGTTAGGCTACGGAAGACATAAAAGTGGCTCTCCGGATGCGGCATTATTTACCCAACCGAAAAGCAAAACCTCTGACACGAGAGGCGGGACTTCAAGTCCGGCCCTCCTTTCATCTCCAAGCCGATGCGCGGTCGGCCTCACCGTGCCTCCGTCCATCCGCCCATCTCGTCTCGTCTCGTCTCGTCGCTCGCCATCCAATCCATCCATCCCAATCCAAATATCGTCATCAGGTCTCCTCCACACTCCGCACTTCCAACATATATGTATGTCTTATGCACTTATGTAACCCAACACGAAAGGCAGGGAGGGGGGGAAGGGAATACCAGCCGAAACCGATCTCATCGCATCGCTCATGCACGTAATGTCCAAGCTGTCCTCAACCATCCCTTGGCGAGATCCCTTCTCGAGGTCGAGGTCATCGCATCGAAGGAGTCTCTGTTGTGTTTCTGTCCTATCCCTTCGTATCGGGGCGACGGACGGTGCACGTCCACCCAATCCCTCATCGGCGATTAGTGATGATGTTCATGGGGTCCGTGTATCTCGCCGCGTAGATGTGTGTTGGAGGTACTTACTTCGCCAGCAACCATCACCCAGAGCTTGCTTGGCCGGAGAATACCTGCGAAGTTCCGCGCTGGCCGCAGGAAAGGCTAAAAAGGAAAAAATAGGGAAGCTTTTTCTGGAACTTACGGGGATGGACATGGGGCATGAAAGTAAGAGTGTTTGTGTATGTATGGATGTACGTGCGTACGGTAATTACGGTAAGGAGTTCAAGGACAAGAAGCAGCAGGACGAAGCCGGAGGAAGAACAAGAAGACAGTTAGAGAGCAAGACAAGAGGGAAGAGAAGTCAAGACGAGAGCCAAGTTCAACGGCAACGGCGAGGTTATGCAGTCATCTCTCCCCGTCTCCGCGGTCTTGGGGGTTCGAACCAGAGATGAGATGAAGGCAGATACTCCAGAGAGAGAGTAGAAGGTTAGAGCGGCCAGCCTCGAGCCTCTGCCTTTCTTTGCCTTTGCCGCCGGGCTTGACGCCGTCTCCTGCGGCCGCTGCAACGTTCCATCTGCCTTCGTCTTGTTTCCTCTTCTGTCAGGTACTTTTTTACTGCTTCTTCTTCTTCTTCGCCGTCGTCCTGTTTTTGTCATCTGCCATGGTAACGTCACGTGTCCGTCTCGAGAAGTCGATGAAGTAAAGTAGGAGATGGCAGCGTAGGACGACCAAGCCATCCCAGCCATGCCATGCCCTGCTGTGCACTCACTAGCAGTATGTAAATAACTCCAGGCAGGTTAATTAATTAATAGAAGGGCAGTTAAATAAAGGAGCGAAAAGAAAAGAAAGGCGATGGGTGGGTGGTGCAGGAGAGTCGGTAAACGGCCCTGCTGTATCCCCTTGACCATGGCCGTTCTCAGCACATCTCACCGTCAGTTTACTTGCTTAGGTTACCGACGCTGATCACAGACAAGGCAAGGCCTTCAGCTCCTTCAGGCATCGACATCTGTATTTCTCCATCAAGCAGTGCTCTTCAATCAGGCATCTATCCGTCCCATGTCGACGGGTAGAGTTAGTTGGACCAGCTAGTCACTGCGGCCCGTCACTCGGAGCATTTACCAGCCAGCTCACACCATCACTACCACCATGGCCACCACCAACCTCTAACTAGGTATGTACCACTGCAGGCCTACTTATTGACTACCGGTGATAGCCAAACAGACGGATAGCCAGGACGGATAGAAGACGTTTCATCAAGCCTTGTCCCTTTATCGAACGTCCAAGCCGTGCGTTCCCTGCCATGCCAGCCCACCCAGCCCCGTCCAGCCCGTCCCAAGCGCCTCGTATGGCTGCCTCTGGCTGCCTCTAGTTAAGGGGTCTCACCATGTTTAAAAAATGCGCCATTTATTCAACCCAGCCTAGCTTAGCCGGCTTATTTCTCCGCCTGGTAACTCGCTGCCCTCTCGTTTCTGGTCTCTGGTCTGTCTCCCTGCTCTCTGCCCTGCTTTGCTTTGCTTTACTTGACATGGCGGTCGGTGAGTGGACGTGGGATCCCCGGGAAGCAAGATCCAGAAACCGGAAGCCCCTAGAAGACCGGATAGACTTGCCTATGCTCCTTTCTATCCGATGAGATGTGAAACCAACCACTTCCGCAAGGTGTATTCTCTCTATCGGCCGGCCCTGTGCTCCATCTCCATCTCCGTAGCTGCAATAATATGCTCCCGATATCGAGGCCGGCAGTTGAGCTGGCTGTCGTGTGCGTGCTGTGTTATTCCCCAGGAAAAGAAGAAAGAATAGAAAGAAGAAAAAGGCAGCTTTATACGAACCGGCCCGAAGCTTGAATGCAATTGACTTGCCCTCGCTCTCTCTTCTAACTCGTTAAGCGATGGCCTTTCTTTCTTTCTTTTCTTTCTTTTGGCGGACTGTCCCCCTTTCACCTGAGCCATCGGCATCAGCAGCAGCAGCGTCAGCATCAGCCATCCCATCCATGAGCGAGTGCATTTTTCCTTCTGTCCTGCATGCATATGTATTATGCAGCGTCAAGCATGCCCCCGTCGACCGTCCGACCAGTCAAGTAACTAGGGAAGTCAAGTCCAGTCACTGGGTCCAAGCCAGAATTTCTTTTATTTTCTTTTGTGTGTTTTTGCTTCTTCCGGTCCTGTCTCTGGCTTCTTTCTTCTTTCTTCAGGCTGTCTTGGCTGCAACTGGGGAATTTCGAAAGGAACTGGCGGCTAGCGGGATTAAATGGCTAGTAGGTGAATCAATGGGGATGGGGGATGGAATAAGGATTAAGAGGGTTGTGTTATTACCTGGGCTCTCCTGTTTGAGGGAAAGGGGCACGCGACCGACCGCTCTTTTACCACTGCACATACAGATGTAGCGACGACGATGAGGATGGAGATGGAGATGGACATGAAAAAGAGAAGACGATTATGTAACTGGCTGACTGACGGATGGACCAGTCGGATGTTTTTGAGGAGATGCCTGAAGGAGGTGTGAGTGGGCAAGGCGAAGGCGAAGAAGGATACACTCGGCAGTCCCCCAGCCGGTAGAGATACACAGCAAGATATTCCGTACACAAAGAGCGATAGAGCGAGAAGATGAGCATGGACTCATGGATGGCGTCGAGGGTCGAGCATGGCAGCAGCGCATGGCATGGCCTGTCATGGTAGGCCATGGCTTGACTATCAAAAGGTAGTGCTCGGGATGTCCATCTTTGGCCTCTCTCTTCGGTACCCGTTCCCGTGGAAGGTAAAAAAAAAGGAAGATAACTTCCTAGCCAGGCGAGCCACGCGGACGCTTTTATCCCCCTATATCTCCGTGGGTGTAAGATGCCGGTCCTATTACTTGCTGCTTACTACTGACTGACTGACTTACTCTGTACTTGCCAATTGCCTGGGATTGAAGCAGAAACAACGACAAGAAAAAAAGTAGAGACGCCCTTCTCCTGATCTTCAGCCAAGCAAGGACCTATGTCTGCCATCGACTGGGCATTCATGTATAGTAGAGCATCGCCCTTTTTGCCCTGCCTTGGCCTTGGCCTGTCTAACTAGCTAGCTACCGTAATAAGTATGTAATGTTAGCTCGTCTGGAGTCAGACTAATGCCGTGTTGCTGTGCTGTGCTGTGTTTGTCCTGTCGAGCTGTGTTGTTGCTGTTGATGTTATTTCTTTTGCAAGAAGAGCTGACGAAGAGTTAGAGCGCAGTCAAGAGAGATACGAAGCAAGAGGAAGACGACGAAGAAGCCTTGACGAGACAAAAAAGAAAAACAAGACGACTGTCCAAGAGGCGAAGAGAGAGATATAAGAAAGGCCTCGCTTTCCCCAGGCTTTTGCCCTTGGCCGTCCTAACCCCAGACTCTCACTCTTCTTACTTTACTCTTCTTCTACTACTACTTCTTCTACTACTACTTCTTCTACTTCTACTTCTTCCTCTACATCGTCATCATCCTTACCTACTGTCATCATCGCCATCATCCTCTGCATCATCATCATCATCGACTCTGCTTCCTCTCTCTGTCAGGTGTAAGTATTAGTTAATGACATCATGTCCGTATCCTTCGTCACTCTTTGCACCTATTTTTTCACTTCACTTTTCTTCTTTTCTTACCGTCACGTATCGTCACAATACATCCCGGCAAGGCGCCTTTCCCCTTCTCCCTCCCCTGCCGCCTCCTGTCATCCTGCGTATCAACGTAACCGTCGCATCCTCCCTTTTTGCAACTTCTCTCCACCTTCTTTTTTGCAAACCCTTACATGACGATACCATCTTTACCTTACCTTACCGTACGTTACCCACGGCGCATCAAGAACTTCGCTTTTTTCTCTCTTTCTCCTTCGCTTTTTTCTTTTTTGCTTGGCCTCTTTGGGCTCTTTTTGGTTCTTCTTCTTCGTCTTCTTATACTTGAACTTCGTCTCCCTCGTCTCTCTCTGTCTTCTCTCTCTTCCTCTTCTTTACCATTTGGACACTCTCCTCTCTTCATCTTATTTCTTCCTTTTCACTGTCTTTGCTTCATCTCGTCTAACGCATGGTAGTCTCTGTCTGATGGGTTCGATATCTTCTACCACCAGCTTCTTTCCTCGTCCCGTCGCTGCCTCGGCTCTACGACTCCTACACGCTCAGTCGTCAAGTCGCCTCAGCTCGCTCCAGAGAGACTGTCCTTGTCGCTGCTAGACAGACACAGACAGACACACTCGACCATTCGAGCTATCGACTGCTCGAATCCTCTTGCTACATCCTCATCAAATCCTCATCTTCATACCTCCGAGTCCAAAGTCCACCGAGAGCCGCGTTCATCCCACTAAAACTACCACCACCATCACCACCAAACAACCGAAACAACACACAACCACCAACACATTAAAAGCACCACCAAAAGCAAAAGAAAGAGAAAGACAAAAAGAAAGAACTTGATATTAAAGACAGGCATCAGATCCTCCCTGTCCTCCCGTCGTAGCACACAGACTTCCAGTTCGACCGTTCCTGTCCGATCAGCCGCCACAAAGGCAGGGTTGTCCCCAGCAACAAACCACCTCGAAAACTCGACGATCATCACCATGGTTGCCTCCTCTACTTCTACTATGTCGACGGCCGCTTCGACGTCCGCAGGCGTCGATGTCAAGAAGCCGCCTCCTGTCATGACGATGGATGTCCCTGCGGCTGCTACTCGGCCCACGCTCGACCTGCCAGAGAGCCTACGCTGTGCCGACTTGCCCGGCGTCATCCACGAAGAGGACGAAGAGTCTGCCACCGAGCCCTCTGAGCCAGTCACCCCGACCAGCCTCACCCACAATCACAACCTGTTCAGCGGTCCTCACCACTACCAGTATCAGCAGCATCCTCGAATTGACCCGCCCAGCAGAGATCCCATGGTCAATGTCAATATGCCGGTCGAGGTGCTCAAGAACCCCATCATCGTAAACACCGAGCCTACTCCCCCATCCACTCCATCTAGACAGCCTCCCGCCACTGCTACTTCTGCTCCACGAGACTCGACTTCTTCTACTTCTGCTGCTACCTCTGCTCCAAGAAATTCAACTTCTTCTGCTGCTGCTCCGGTGGCTATTCCACCTCGACCGTCGACTTCGGCCTCTCAGAAATCTTCTCCGTTGCGAAAGGCGTCCAAATCGCTCAAGAGCATCTTCCGCCGACCAAGCAGCTCCTCCGACGCCATGCCTCCTCCTCCGACTCCCACCACCGCTACTCCTGCTCCTGCTCCTATTGCTGCTCCTGCTGCTGTGAACTCCAACGTCAATGACGCCAATGCCGTTCCTGCAGCTCCTACCGACAAAAAGAAATTATCATTGAACATGTTCCAGGCCAGCAACGCTCGCAAGGGCTCTCTCTCGTCCTCGCACCAGCACTCGCCCACCTCGTCCCGGACCAACTCGCCCCAGTCGCCCAGCTCTCCCTCCAGCACGATCCATGGCACCAGCCAGAACCCGATGTTCCTCGGAGTCACTCCTCCGTCGGACTCGTCCTTCTCTCCCAGACAACCAGCTCGCTCGTCGACCGGTTTCAGCCTCCGAGAACGCAGCCGAGTCATGTTCGGAGCAACCCCTCGCCCCCAGCGCGAAGACGAGGATCAGCGCATCCGATCTCCCAGTCTCGGAGACGTGCAGAACCAGCCCGAACGCCCTGGCTTCTCGATCCCTGCAGTTTCAGGCGCCGGACTCAAGGCCCGCCGCATGAGCACCAGCCTGCCGGACGACTTTGACGTCAACACCTGCACCCTTGCAGACGAGTACACCAATAGCAGCAAGCTGCCCGGTAAGCGCAAGGAGGTCGGCCGGGGCGCCACGGCCACCGTTAAGATCATGTGTCGACGCGGCAGCGACAAGTCCGAGCTCTTTGCCGTCAAGGAGTTCCGCAAGTGCGGCTCGAAGGAGGACAAGCACGAGTACGAGCAGAAGGTTAAGTCCGAGTTCTCCATCGCCCAGTCGCTGCACCATCCGAACATCGTCGAGTCGTTCCGTCTCTGCACCAGCAACGGCCGCTACAACCACGTGATGGAGTACTGCTCGTACGGCGAGATCTTCTCGCTCGTCCAGAAGAACTACCTGCAGCCCAAGGACAACCACTGCTTCTTCAAGCAGATGGTCCGCGGCGTCGCTCACCTGCACGACAACGGCATCGCCCACCGCGACATCAAGCTCGAGAACCTGTTGCTGTCCGACGACGGCTACATCAAGATCACCGACTTTGGCGTCTCAGAGGTGTTCTCGGGACTGCACCCTGGTCTACGCAGCTCCGGCGGCGAGTGCGGCAAGGAGATGGGCGAGGTCCGACTCTCCTCTCCCGGCATCTGCGGCTCTCTACCCTACATCGCCCCGGAGGTCCTAGCGAAACAGTCCAGCTACGATCCCCGCCCGCTCGACGTCTGGTCCTGCGCCATCGTCTATCTGACTCTACACTTCCGCGGCAACCTCTGGCCCTCCGCCAACCGCGAACACTCCAACTACGCCCGCTTCATGACCGGCTGGGACAAGTTCCTCGCTGCCTCTGAGACCGGCATCCCGTCCGAAGAGAAGATGCCCTCCTGCGGTCCTGCCTTCAAGCACGTCGGCAACCGCAACCTGAAACTGCTTCTTCTCAAGATGCTTCACCCGGACCCAGCCAAGCGCATCACCATCAAGGACGTCCTCGCCGACCGCTTCATGAAGAGCGTCGAGTGCTGTGCTCCCGAGAGCAGACAGGGCGAGGAGAAGATGGAGTCCATGGTCGCTGCCGGCATCGACGCGGCAGGCAAGTCGTCCTCGAAGCTGGCGAGCAAGATGGTCGTGCAGAAGATCCACCACCACTTCCCGCCGGAGAAGAAGTATCTGCCCCAGTACCGCTTTGACATGGGCGACGGATACAACTGATCACACACACTTACTTACTTCACTGATGTCGTCGACGGCTGCACTATCACTTTCTTTCTCTCTTCTGATACACTTGTTCACTTTCTGTTATGTCTGCATGTTTGCTATAAAGGGGGCGGTTTTCTCATGTCTTGTTTTGATGACTGCATTGGGGGTTCACCTGGCTTACTTCCTTTCCCTTCCTTTACTCTTTAATCACCGCGCCTATTCCTTCATCCTTCTGTGTGAATATTCTCTTTCTCTTCTTTTTTATGTTTCTTTCTGGCTGGCGTTGGTCTAAATGTCTGTCTATCTGTCTGTCTACTCTCCCCATGTAAGGGTCGAGGGTTTCTCTCTTTTCCTACTACTTCTTCGCTACACTACTGCTTGTCTGCCTGTCAATGGCTTGTTGAGATATCAGTGAGAGTCTACCAACTAATAACTTGTCTGGTCTGAGTTATACAAAATACCTACATAAAATAAAAGATACACCTATACCACACCTATACATGCTCCTACTTCTATCTATAGCATCTGCATCGGATCTTCTCACCTCACCCTCCAAGACGTGTCACTGCATCGTCGTCTCCGATCTCCTCGACCGTCGTACCGCGCATCCTGCCACCCTTGGCGCTTCCCTCTTCCCTTTCCTCCCTCTTAACTCTCCCTCTCGTCTCGGAGCATCCGTCTCACCACCGAAGTCTCTTCCGTACCTCTCGCACAGCCCAGTTGCCAACTCCAACACATCACCAGGGCCACGACCACTCCAGCCATCTCTCACACGCCCAGCCAGCCATCCATCCAGCCAGCGACACAGCCAAGTATACAAAAGAAAGAAAGGAATACGCCGGGACTTTCCGGCCTGCGTTTCGTTTCTTTCCGTCTCGTCTCGTCTCGTCTCGTCTCGTCTGGTTACTGCCGGCCGGGCGCTTACACACATGCAGGCTGCACATCACCCAAGAACGAACTATTAGACCACAAGTCTCCTTCTACTGATGCCAGCACATGCCCTGTCCTGCCTCGCGCCAAGGGCGGACGACGAGGAGGACACGAAAGGGGGCATGGCATGGCATGGCATACCAAGTCGACTCATCGTCTCATCTCATCTCGTTTGCCCTGCCCTGCCCTGCCTTGCCTAGAGAGGTGTGAAGAGAGGGCAACGTAAGCTCCTCGCAGCCATGCCGTACGCGCCAAGCGAGCGACCTGCCTTTCCTTTCGCTTTGTTGTTTCTCGCGGCGGCAAGCGAGCAGGCAGGCATACACCTTACTTACTTACCTGCCCTGTCCCGTCCATGCAAGTACAAGTAAGGGTATCCAGCGGGCCAAGCGCATCACCAACTTCGACTTCGAGATAGATACGCCCTGAAGAGACGAGGAAGGTATTTTTCCTTTCTTTTGCCGGCGACGATACCCGACCAGGCCCCTTTTAAAAGTAACTAAGGCATAAGGGGAAGAAACGAGGCTTGTTCAGGTCCTTCTTGGGTCCCTTTTCTTCTTCCCGCCGCATGAAACCATACATGTATGTAACTGACTAAAACAAACAGATCATGATCTGTGATCGACGCCCGGGAAGCATATTTAACTGGGTAGTCTATGTATAAGGTGTGTGTGTCTGTGTCTGTCCGTCTGGCGCAGGAGAGAAGTGCGTTTTACTGAGAATGATCTCCCTTGGCGGGCTTGTCTTCTTCAGCCCGCTGCGTTGGCTGCAGTCCGTACCTACGCCTACGCTCATGTGAGTATGCTCTGGGCGGTACGACGAGGCAGAGCAGAGGCATAGACAAACGCAGGAGGCAGATACTATTTCCTTGGATGCAGGCAGTACCACCACCGCCGCCGCCGCCGTCGTATCTCTTTCATCGACTCGTCTTCTTCTTCTTTCATGTGCTGCCTCTATCCGATGATGACTGTCGAGCGCCTGACCTGGAGAAAAAGAAAGAGGATTGACGGTGCATGCAGCAAGCAGTAAGAAGTAAGAAGTAAGCATAAACACAGCGGGAAGTGGAAAGGGAAGGAAAAGGAAAAGAAATGGGGAGATGGGGATGGGGCGGGAGTTGCCAAGACCAAGGCCAACCACTCTAACTTTAAAAGAAGGCCAGGCCAAGACTCTCCGCTTGGCGGGAAGATGCCAAGGAAACCCTTTTTCTTCTTTGGGAAGGGGCGATGGAACCCGCTTGCCAAGACCTTCTTCGAGAAGGCAAGGAGGAAGGAGCGATCTTGGTGGTTGCACAAGAAGGAAGGAAAGGTTAAGCACATAAATAAAAAAAGGTAAGTAAGAGTAAAAAGGGGGTTTGCTTGGTTGGCTTTTGTTTTGTTTTGCCTGTGCAAGTTCGCTGGTTAAGCATGTAAGGTGTAAGGTAAGGTGCATCATCTCCTTTTTTGCATACCCCGTACGGCCTGTACGGCCTGTACGGCCTGTATTTATGCATTGGCATTGTATTTATGGTAAGTATGGTATAAGTATGAAAATGAAAATACAGAGCATAAGGTAAGGTAGTGTGCTGTTGAAGGCCAAGCATAAGGTAGGTACTAGGTTATGATACAGGTGGTTGGTGGTGGCAGCGTCGTAGTAGTAACAGTGGTGCAGTAGTATACAGCAGAGAAACAAAGTGATATGATATATGATATGGCAGGTCAGATCAGACCTCGACCCGGGTCGGGATCTTGACTTCTCCCCTCCTCCTGTCCGCATGAGGCACTCCATACCGCCGCCCGACGCCCTTCTCGCCGCGTCCGTCCACTCCCACCGTCTCCCGGCTCACCACCACATCCCGGAACCTGAACTCGAACCGGCCCGCCTGGGGTTCGACGCGGGTCATGCTCGCTGCCTCCCTCGCCTTGCGCTTCTCCTTGCGCTCCTTCTCGACCCGCTCGTCCGCCTCGATACGCTGCATGAACCGCCTGTTGCGCTCTCCCTTCTCATTGGAAAGTGCGGACCGGTCTCCCTCAGCTACCACCATGTGAGGATGCGGTATGCGGACCTCGGCGGGCTGGAGTACCTGGTGCTCCTTGGCGCCCTTGCCGACCTTCTCGATCTTGTGAGGGTTGTGTGTCACTTTGGCGATGTACTCCTCTGCGTTGCCGGGTTGGTCGCGTTCCGAGGCTGGGACGGCCGGTGCGGCAGAGAAGACTCGCGCGGCGTCGATGCGGTTGAAGTGGCGCGACTCAGAGACGGGGTAGAACATTTGGGGTTCCGTCAGTTTGTGCACTGGTAGGTCGTTGATGGGTTCGTGGGCCGGCTGGGGTTGGCCTCGGTCTGATAGAGGGGTCGTGGGGAGCATGGAGCGTACTGCCCGGCCGTAGGGAAGGGCAAGTGGTTTTTTCTGGAGACTTTCGTTAGTTAAAGTCCCAAATAACATATAGCATGTTTATCAATTGATGTAGGGAATGGTGTTGGTCTTCTCAGAAATGGTATATAAAGCTTAATCATTCTCTTGGAGTCATCAAGACTAATCGATTTACTCATCATAGAAGACCATCTTATGCAGGGCATTGAATTAAAAACGGATATAAAGTGAACTCACCTCGGCTTTCATCCGCTTCTCCAGCTCAACCAGTCTCACCACCGCGCCGATACGCCTCATATCGACTCCAAACATGACACTCACAAGTCTCACGCTCTTCCCCTTCTCAACAACCTGCGTATATATCTCATTCCGCAGCTCCTCGCTCAACACACTCTCACTGACAAACACACGGTTAAGCGGGAACGGCTGCAGCGGTGTCGCCAGTTCCTCCAGCTCTCCACTTGAGCTCACCCGCGTTCGGGGCCGGACCGGATTGCCATCCCTCTCGTACGCTGTCAGGTAGTTTGGGCCCGAGGGTGCGGGCTCCTTGAATACTCTGCCAGGCCCGTTCAGCCAGCCGAACATCGCTTGGCGGCGTTTGGAGATCTCTAGGTTGGGAGTCGAGCTGAAGTTACGGCATGGTGATGTGCATGGTGATTGTGTTAGGCTGTATATCGAGGAGCTCTGTGAGGAGGACTGCAGGTGGTGTGAATTAACCAGCCGTTGTGCGGCCCTTAGCCGTGGAGGCATGGTGTGTGAATAATTATACAAAAAATACCAGGAAAAGAAAGACAATAAACAGGCAGGGTATCAAGCGGATGGGACAGTCAAGCCCTCGCTGCGCCTTTACTTCTCTTTTAACAGGTCAATGGCTGGTTTATGCTCGTCGTTGTCGCTATTTCTGCTTCTTCCAGCAACGAAAAAAAAAGTTGAAGCTTCAAAGTTGAAAATTCGACGGATTAATATGTTCACGTGACTTTGATGACTAATGTTGATAAGGCTCTTTTCTGGTTCTTCTCGACCCTCAACGACGAAACAGCAGCAACCAACACTTGAACGGCACGATTGACAAAGCGACCTTTGGCTCGATCTTGATACTCGTTACCAAAGCATTGAAGAGGTGGTAGAGACCATATACCCCCGCCCGACCGCTCCAGCCCTGTTTCGCAGTTTCGTTGCCATATATCAACATCAAACATGGACCAGAGCTTAGATGAGATCATATCTGAACGTCCCGTAAGTCTCTAACCGCCGAGAGAAAGTCATGCACATACCCGACAGCCCAGACTGACTTTTTCTCTTGCTGAATAGAACTCCTCCCGCCCCAGAGGAGGCCGCATGACGGGTCCTCGCCGAAGACCCAACTTCCGCGATTCTCACAAGGTGAACACATACCGTACGCCGGTAATTAATGAGCTGCCACATGCTGACCGCTGCCATAGGTCCTCATCCTCTTCCTCCCATCGCTGCCTTAGCTACATACATGCCTGCCTGCCAATGGCCGTGTCTTGACGTGTCCAGCGTCGAAGCCTTGCAACAGGAACACCAAAGAGTTGCAATTTCTCCGATATGATATGACATGATTGATTACACAAGGCCATACATAGCAACTAGATCTGACTGACCTTCGGCTAACCTTTGTCCTTCTTTTCCTCTGAGTAACAACAGCCTTCCAGAGGTGATAGAGCAGATTTGGACCTGTGAGTTATTGGCTGCTGCTGCATGGGTTGCAAAAAGAAGAAGGATATACAAACTAACTGGTTATGCATCCGGCAGAGATTGGGTCCACGACAGATTTGAAGACGACAGAGATAGTGAGTATGACTTGGTTCCGCTTTTATAGGTACATTCCCTGACGTTGGTGTTATACAGCTCGATCCTCCCGACCTCCGAGACAGCCTCGCACGGATAGATACAATTCCGGCCCTGCTGACCAGTATGTAGTTACACCTACTATATACTTCCTTCCTTATATTTCCCTCATAGCTAACGTCAGCCACCAGAGACTCTCGCGGAGCAAAGATCCGAGTCAGCAATATCCATTATGATTTGACCCAGGAAGACCTCGAGGTTCGACTCCCCTTTCTTTGTTCTCGTCCGATAACATAATGCAATTATACCTAACACATGACACAGGAACTATTCACCCGCATTGGGCCAGTTCACTCCGTCGCCCTGCTCTACGACAGAGCTGGACGCTCTGAAGGAACCGCATTCGTAACTTACAAACGACTCTCCGACGCCGAGACCGCCATCCATGAATTCGACGGCGCAAACGCAAAGGGCCAACCGATTCGTCTCAACCTCGTCACCAACTCTGCCCCTCGACGCCGCAACCCATTCGACTCCGCCGAGATGCCGAAGGGAAGCCTGTTCGATCGTGCTGAACGGCCCAGGGGAAGAGACAGCCGCAGTCTTAGCCCGGACGCTGCTGAATCTAGCGGTGGTCGAAGAGGTAGACGGAACAATTCCAACCTCGCCCCGCCAGATAGCATTGACAGGTACGTACCTGGTCAGCGATCGCCGATACGGAAACATGACTCGGGTAGAAACAGGGGTCGTCGGGGCGGTGGCGGTGGTGGTAGAGATACCAGGGAAGGAGCTGGTAGTCGGAACCGTGGGTCAGGGAGAACCAAGAAGACGCAGGAAGAACTTGACCAGGAGATGGAGGATTATTGGGGGAAAGCTAATGCTGATGCTGCTGGCGGTGCTAGCAGTAATGCCGCTGAACCTCAGGCCGCGGCTGCTCAGCCTGCTGCTCCTGCTGCTCCTGCGGCCGGTGGTGAAGAAGACATTGACATGATTGAGTGATCATTTTTGACGGCTCGACTTGGCTTGTAAGGTTTAGCCATTCGACGATATAAGCGCTGTTGACTCCCGTATCTCGCGTTAGATTCTACCCCAATTTGGCATTTAATTCCCATCTTCTCTCCTCTATACCTTACATTACCTAACCTTCCTACATTGATACTCAGATTGTACAAATAATGCATATATGTGTGTATGTCCTGCACCGTAACCTGAATGTAGACCAATGGTGTTGTTATTTGATGTTAAATAACACAGATTACCCTCCTGCTACCATAAGTAAGAAAACCAACCTTACATGGCTAACCTATTTAACCAAACAGCTTTTTAAGCAAGGGTTCTCTCTGCAAATGACCGTTGACCTGCAAGTCACTCTCTCACACTCAGTCGTAGCCTATCTCCATAGACCATACGGCTCTCTACATGCCTTCCATAACTTAATCGTTCCATCCTCGCTTCCTGTGCCGTAGATCTTGCCGTCAGGAGAGTAGCTGAGCGACCAAATCGGGCCGTGATGGCCTCGTTGCACCTCTACATTCACCATTAGTAACCTATCTTATACTGCAGCGGTAATGATGGTTGGAAAAAGGGTACATACCTAGTTCGTCGTTTGTTTCAAGATCGTAAACACGCGCCCATGTATCACCCGTACTGCCAGTGACGAACCGGCTCGTGGCCTTGTTAACAGCAACACTGGCAAGCTCATACGAGAAATCCGTCTTTTTCAACAACCGGCCTGGTTGTACGGGGTCGAAGAAGTACGCTGCTTTGCCCGCAGCAACGCTCAATACTCCTGGGTCATTAGGAGTCGTTGAAATCGCATTCATCTCACAGCTACCAATAGTTCCATCCACGGCATATTCCGCACATGGATGACGAGAACGAAGATCCCACCATCGAACCTTCTTGTCATCCGCTGCAGTGACGAGGATGTTGTAGTCCTGGTACCAGATAATGGACTTGATAGTACCGTTGTGTACGCCGGGACCAATCTCATAGCTCATGGCGTTAGAGGAAGATGAGCTAGAACTTGCTCCGTTGGCTGCACTTTGAGACGTAGGAGAGGAAGAACTACTGCCTTGGGCCCGGGAGAGGTCAAAGATACGTAGTTTCTTCTCCATGCCTCCTGTAGCTAGGATTTGAGGACCAGCTTGCACCGGGAAAGCAACTGCTCGAACAATGTGGGAGTGCTGCAATGTGTGCAGGCATTCTCCGGTATGTGTGTCCCATACCTTTCTAGCTGAGATGTGAGCAACAAGTTCGTCATTTGCATGATGTTGGAATTGGATTGTCTGAAGACATACGCAGAGAAGTCTGCAGCAGCGGTAGCAGCAATGGTAGCGTCCACGGAAAGCCTTGCCTGCCAAACGGCACCTTTGTGGCCAAGGAACGTCCCGATCCTTCATTGAGTTGATACCATGTCAGCTGGAGACTATAGAAGTGACTTCTTAAGAGACAACGAACCAATCACCAGTTATCCCATCCCGGAGCATAGGGTTATTATCTGCAGAGGAAGAAACCTTAGTCATGGGCATTGGATATAGCTTGGGATTATATATTTTTTACCCTTGCAGGCTGAAATCAGGTAGTACTGGTCATCTTCGGTTGTTGAAGAGAAGCTGATGTGAGGAACAGGTCGTGAATGCCCATGACAAGTCAAGGGAACAACCTTTGAAGCATCTATCAGGAAAAAATCAGCTTCGTGTCTCGTCAAAATAGCAGGCCAGCTTACCTGATGCCATCTGTTTTGAAGGTGGTGACCGAGAAAAGAAACAACAGCTCGGTCAAAAGGAAAATGAAAATGAAAAAGGCTCAGTAGCTACAAGCTAATGAAGAGTATATGAAGAGAGGAAATAAAGGCCAAGTAGAGAAGATATCAAGAAAATAACAGCAAGTAAACAAGATCCCAAGCCCAGAGAGGTATCTCCGAAGACAAAAAGCGAGGTCCAATGAACACCGGTCTTTTGCACCAGTAATATGATAGTGAAGGGAATCCGTTCAGTCGTCAAAACATTCCTATCATTAAAAAAAGAGGAAGAAACAGAAAAAGAGAAAATGGAACTCGTCTATAAGGGAGTGGAAGGGGTGGAGAAGTGGCCCGCAAGCAGAAGACAGCTGTCTCTGCAGGACCAAAAACCAAAACGGAGGGGCTGGCTCCCGAGTCCCTTTTCTTGTTTTGCTGCCTTTTCTCCTTCGTCCTTGTCTAGAGAATCAGACTGACGAACGCTGTGCAAGGGCTTCTCAGCGGGATGAAAAGAAGAAATAAAGGATGAGAAGGCTGGTCATGTAAGAAGCAGTGAACAAACGACCAAAAACGCAGTCTTTTTTTCTTTTTGATATCGGCGGACAGGGCTCGGTGGAGAGTTTAAGCGCGGAGGGTGCAAGCGCTAAGCGGGATGAGGTAAGGCGCCAGGGCACATGACTCTCTTCTTCAACGTTCAGCTTTCGACGTCGACCTTTGAACACGCGGAAAGACGAGGACGACGGGGAGATGGAAGAGGGTATTAAGATGGAGAATACGGAGGATACGGAGGATAGACGGGCGGCGGTAGACGGTGGAGTAGGACAGGACGGCTTGACTTTTTTGGGTGCTGAAGAGAGACTTTTTCTGCAGGGGAGCAGCCCGTCCTCATTCCCTGCAGTTTTGGCGCATACCAGGAGCTGCTCGGCTTGCCCACGGCCTTTCCTTCTGTTTTACAATTAGCATCTCTATCTATCCTTTAGTTTAATATAGTAGTATGGTATTTCCTACTTGAATACTTATGCTAATATTATTCTATATTTATTACTATAATATCTTGACTATATATCCTACTAGGTAGATTAATAGACGGTCGGGTGTAATGGAAATTCCGCTGCCCGGAACGGAGAAACAAATCTCCCGAGGTCCGCTCCAAAAAGCGGCAATACTATTTGCCAAGACTCCATCGGCGTATCCATCCATCCAAATGGATAGATATAGATGTATCTAGATAGGTAGTGAGCGCAAGCTCTTACTCGATCAAGCACTCTACACCTTCCTTATATACGTGCTATATATGCCCAAGCGCATCCGGCGGTTAGCTACGCTTCCTGATGCCTCTCATCGGTACCCATTGATGCCGAGCACATTCCCTACATCCCTTCCTTGCTGACAGAGCCGTATCTATATGATATGGCTGCACCATTCTCACAGCTTTAATGGGCGGATAGTAACTAATCAACTAAGGTGTAGCCTGTAGAAGCTAGACTTTTTTCGGATAGCCTCTTAATATATTATAGGAGGACTTCCTCTTAAGGTGGTCTTACTTATCAACTTTTTGTAATACTTAGAGGTAGCTTCTTGATTCGAAACTATCTAGCCTAAATACCACCACGTAAGATATTCTTCGGTTAATTTTCTACTTTCTTATGGTTACTATATAACTAGAAGCTTTCTACGACTTTAAATCTCTAATTACAGAGGTAATAGCTTCCTTGTTAGATATATTGTTGCTTATTGAAGATAGGTGGTGGTAGGAGCAGGGGCTTTTGGTGGGTGGTCAACCATGTCATCGAATGATGACTCACTCAATGAGATATTTAACTACGTTAACGGGTTACCTTTCTTTATCAAACAACGAACCTCAACTCTTCATTTGTATTATATTCACGTCTGGCTCCAGTGCTTGGACAGCTTAACACCCAAGAACACCCTCGATATTGCGTAGTTGACAATATCTCTAGCTGGTTAACATGGGTTTCACAGACCTCCCTCCTGAGCTATGCATTGAAATATTCAATGAGGTTGTCATTGCCCTGAGGCATGAAGCAATAAAAGCGAGGCTTGTTTGCAGTATGTATACATAACTCAACTATCCGAAGGATTTGATTTGGTTATGCTCCGGTTGTAATTTCTCATGATAACGCAGAATTCTTTTATCATGGAATCAACCAGGCCTTCTTAACCCCCCGAGTGCTACGAATACTAATTAGCAGTCGGAAACTGGGTTGGCCCCCTGCTATCGCCATGAATAACTATTTGGGGCTCAGGATTTTGAAAGAGGGCGAACATTCAAATATCGTTGTTCGTACTATCCGAAAGTCGGTAGAAGCATTGCTCCTGTCGGAAAACACCACTTCCCACAAGACCAAAGTCCTTAAAACTGTCACCTTGACTACGGCGGCATGTTACGTTACTCGACCCAACTGGATCGTGTCTGTTCAAACCCCTACAATACCCAATGAGTGGAAGCTCGATACAATACAAACTGAGGAAATACCCACAGCATGGAGGCTCAAAACAATACAAACTCCGGACTTACCAATCCATTTACTTTCTGCCGCAGCCTACGATGGCAGCATTCAGCTGGCTACAGATTTACTTCGACAAGGGGTGTCGTGTAATCAGACAAGCGACGTATTTGGGCCACCACTTTGCATGGCAGCTTATAGAGGGAATAAGGCGATGGTCAATCTCTTACTTAGTTTCAACGCAAACCCGGAATTTGGCTACAAACCTCGAGGCTACAAAGCTCGAAAGAAGTCAAACCCACGAACTCCCCTCCAAGCTGCCACTTTTGGGGGTCATGCAGAGATTGTAGATTTACTTCTTCAGCCGGAAATTGGGGTATCGAGATCAGGCAGTAGATACTACAAAGCAATGGCCATTGCTGCTAAATTAGGCTATATCGATATATTCAAACGGCTAATGAATGCTGGGAATGTACAGGATAACCCCTTATTCCAATGGGAAGAATGTCTCATTAATGCTTGTTGGTCCGGGTCTCTTGACATGGTACGCATAGTACTAGATAGGAGTGGAAAACTTGAGTGCATGGAACCCGGGGAAACATCGTTGTTGGCCGTGGTGAGAAAGAGATACAGGGAATCACCGTTGATAGTCGCGGCGGATAAAGGATATGACAGCATAGTGCGCTTACTTTTAGAGCGTGGGACGGATCCAAATCCTATGGACTACTTCCATACAGCTTTAACTGCTGCAGCAAACCATGGCCATTTAGAGATTGTTCGTGTCCTCCTCGAGCACGGAGCCGATGTTCACACACAGCATGGCTCAGTCCGGTACGCCGCACGAGGCGGGCATGGAGATATCATTCAACTACTCCTTGAGAATGGTGCACAAATTTCCGGGTGGGAAAGAAACAAGAATGGCGTTACTGGACATCAATTAGGACAATGGGCATATAGGGAGGCAAGCGCGTGGGGCCACAAATCATTAGCTTCCAGGCTATTGGAGCTTGGGGTTAAGATGGACGACATAGATATATAAATCAAAAAGAAGAGAAAAAAGTGGAAGAAGATCTGTGACTTCAGACATCTAGTAGACACTTTTCTTGACCTTTAGCCCATCTAGTTCATTGTGGTCGGTTCCAGCCCCTGTGTGTTGATGTAGTGGCGGACCTGGCTCTATACCAGTGGTTGAGTTTGACTTTGAGGTGCTCGTGGTTGAACCATCCACAACGATCCACTAAGTCGAATGTTATTTCGTGTTGAATAACACTCGGGGTGTAAGTTGTCTTGTATGAATAATCCCAACTCCCAACACAGAGACGGTGGACATGTTTGGAAGGGATACAACTCATGTTGCATTTCTAACGGGTGGGTATTTAACGTCATCGTTGCAATAAATTAAGCGAGATACGAATTATCAAAGATCAAGTGGAAGTATGTATGTAGTTGAGTGTCTAGCTCATGGAGATCTTTGTATGTAAAGATTGTGATGTCTCAATCTCTCTGCCTCCTAAGCGCCTAGCACAGAGACATTGAGCGTTGCGCTTACCAACATCGGAAAGCTGCAGCTTCCTCTGAGTATCAGAAAAGTGCACATATACTATTCCAAGGGCTGAGAGCTACTGAAAGAACTCGCTTACAGGCCATTAAAGATAACAAGTTGCGCCTATCTTGCGAGACGTCTCCCATCATCTTAAAAACCGCCTTCCATCGTAACTGAGACCTCAGGAAACTTGCCCGGCACCCACTCCTTGCCTCTGAACGCCCCATGCATCCACGCGGCCGTATACGTCGTTAGAATCTGCATCATCTTGGCAGGTGCAATCGTGCCCAGCAGATCCCCGAATGGCACCGTGCTCTGCCCAGCCGCCTGGAGCAGCGTGGGCACATCCGTGAAGGTCTGGTGAGTTGTATTCGCGATGTGGACAAGCAGCTTCGGCCCCTTCAGTTGCGGCCACGCCTCCAGCCAGGTAGGATCGGGATCGTAATCATGGCCCATGAACAGTACTGGCTGGGACAATCCAGACAGGGGCGGCGATCCGAAAATTGTGCCGTCCCAATTGATGGCGCCGCGAATGCGAGGGTCCTGATGGGCGGCGACTATGGCGGCTCCGCCACCCTCAGAGTGTCCCAACATGGCGACGCGGTCGGTCGGGAACGGTCGAGGTCCACGTTGGGGGAGCAGCTCGGCCATGGCGGTCGCATTGCTCAGCTGGTCGATAATAAATGATGCATCGGCGGCCCGAGGGTATGTGTCCCAGGTAGGGTTGCTCGGTATAGAGGCGTTGTTGTAGACTGCGTAGCCATCGGAATATTCGATGATGTTGGCGTCCCGGGGGTGGTCGATAGAGATGACTATGAAGCCCTCGCTAGCGATGGCGGAGGCGATGACATTATAATAGAGGCGAGGGACGCTGTAGGCAGGCGATAGGAGTAAGATAGGGACGTCATCTAGGGGTGAGCAGCTGCCGGGATGGTCTGAACACACTGGCAGGCGGGCCTCTAGAAAGAGGGGCGTGAGATTGGCGGTGATGTTGAAAGTCTTTTGGAAAAATGGCCCCTGGTACTCGGCAGTTTTGACAGGCATGTCAGGGACCGGCATAGTGGATGCGCATCTCGCAGGTTGGAAGACTGACAGCATCAATGCCCGCGGCGTCGGCGTTGCGGCATAGGGATCATTGCGGCTGTAGTCGATCAGGGGACCAGTCGTCAATGTGACATTGTATTTACCAGGCGGGTTTGGGGCCAGGTAGCCTGCGGTAGTGTTGGCGAGCAAGAAGAGGAGAATCGAAAGCATAGATTGCATATCTGCGGCTGTCTTTGTCCCATAGCTGCAGAATAATTTACTGAGCAAGGCGTCTGTTAGGTAGTAGTTAAGGGTTATATATACTGTGCGGCCAGTATATAATATCCGATTACAGCTATATATAGGTATAATGGCTCACGCCGTGAATTTTTGTTGCGAAATCGCTGGGGCTGAGCTTCAGCGCGATTCGTAGTCCTAGGTACATAGAGCATCATACCTAGCATCCTTTAGGAGAAGATATAGAGAGGATTATACAGGATTGGAGGCAGTTGAAATGCGTCCTCTCGTGGCTGCAGCCCTAGCAGGCATCGTCATTAGGAACGCTTGGATGATGTTGGTTTAGAAAAATGATATACATAGGACTGACAATTGGGAATACAAAATGAGGTTCTATCATATCATACCACGATGCTGTACTCTTAAGTCAAGATCCTAAATCCTGGAGAGCTCCGGGAAGTTTAGACGCCTTGATACCGATGCAAGAGAGTAATCCGGTGGATTCTCGGGGGTTGACTGATAGCAGTCAAGGCACTTGACTCTCATCCCTGGGGAATAATGGGATGGTCAGAGAAGTAGAGAACAGTACCAAGCTTATTATCATAGTGTCTGCCTGGTTCTGGCCTTTGATTTGGATCACATATTCCGTACTGGTGGAAATCCTGAAGGATTCAAATTCGATGTTGTGGTGACGTTGTCTTAAAATATGTGATTGGTGATCCATCACTAGCTATTTACCTAGGTAGGTGCCTGCTGATTGGTTGTGCCCTTTCACGGTCATGTGACCTGACCTACCAAAATAGTATTATGTCATGCAAAGAGCAGCAACTCCAACCCCCACACTAAGTAAGCAACAAGTACAAGAACAACAGCTGCAACCATTCATTGCGCTTCTTGATAGCTTCGTTTCCTCCACTAGGCTACGGGTTTATACGGTAGTAGCTGTCTTTTAGCTACTTATACCATACATTCTCTCCCTAACCTACCACAATCATTTGTATGCCTGACTTCAAGATCTCCGCCCTCCTGGAAGGCCACAGCGATGATGTCAGTTGATACCAACACTCTCACTATATAAAGAGCTACTGTGGCTTACCTTTTGATATATAGGTTCGAGCTGTGGCCTTTCCAACTACGTCTACGGTCCTAACATCGTCTCGAGATGCAACTGTTCGTATGTGGACCGTGGTATCTTCCCCGCCTCCGAAGTTCGATGATAAGATTACCGTTCATGGGTCAGCGTTTATAAATTCCCTAGCTTACTGCCCACCAACGGGAGACTATCCGGAGGGACTGATATTCAGTGCCGGACAAGATACGATAATAGAAGCAAGGCAGCCCGGGAAAGCTGCGGATGACAATGCTGAGCGTTTGCTGCTCGGCCATACTGGCAACGTATGTGCTCTAGCAGTCTCGCCGGACCGCAAGTGGCTAGCCAGTGGAAGCTGGGACTCTACTGGTCGTCTCTGGGAGATCGGAAAATGGAGCAAGGAAGTGGTTCTGGATGGCCATGGAGGTAGCGTTTGGGCTGTCCTTGCTTACGACAAGGATACAGTTGTTACGGGTAAGAAGAGTACATATGAGATATGATGATGTAGTTTGAACTGCGTACTGATGGGAATTTAGGATGTGCTGATAAGCTGATACGTGTGTTTAATACCTCGGGGAAGCTGCTGAACACTTTCCGAGGCTGCGGAGACGTTGTTCGAGCACTCTGCAAGGTCCCAGATGGACATGGTTCCGGTGCCCAGATAGCGTCTGCAGGAAATGATGGTATCATTCGGCTGTGGACTATCCAAGGGAAGCAGGTTGGCCAACTACACGGACACGAAAGCTTCATATACTCCCTCGATGCCTTACCATCTGGCGAGCTTGTAAGCTCCGGAGAAGACCGGACTGTAAGGATATGGAATGCCACCGGCTGCGTTCAAACAATTACACATCCGGCGATATCAGTTTGGAGCGTTGCTGCATGCGCTGAATCTGGTGATATTATCTCGGGAGCCAGTGATAGGATAGCTCGAGTCTTCAGTCGAGACAAGGGCCGGCAAGCTGATGAAGCTACCACTCAGATTTTCGAGAATGCCGTCAAAGAATCCTCCATTCCCCAAGAGCAGGTCGGAAAGGTCAACAAGGAGAAACTCCCTGGCCCAGAATTCCTTAAACAAAGATCTGGAACAAAGGATGGCCAAGTACAGATGATCCGCGAAGATGATGGAAGTGTCACTGCTCATACGTGGTCGTCTGCCTCTTCTCAATGGGTCCCTGTTGGCACAGTAGTGGACTCTGTTGGAAGCAGTGGGAAGAAAGTCGAGTATATGGGTCAGGATTACGATTATGTCTTCGATGTTGACATCGAAGATGGGAAACCACCCCTTAAACTCCCATATAATCTATCTCAAAACCCCTATGACGTGGCGAAGAAATTCATCGCAAACAACGAACTTCCGATATCATACCTAGAACAGGTTGCGAACTTTATCACAACCAATACTAAAGGAGCTGTGGTAGGTCCGTCACAAACCAACGAGCCCACATATCAACAACCGTCTATTCCGGATTCTCGACCAAAAGTGCTACCTCAGGCCTCCTATCTCTCTATAAAATCGGCGAACCTGAAAGCTATACAGAAAAAGATATCTGAGCTCAACGCTCAATTGGTATCTTCTGGTTCTAAGGATTTGTCCCTTTCTCCCTCAGAAATGGAAGCTATAACTGCTCTTTGTTCCCAACTTGAGCAGCCTTCCACTTTATCCAAATCACCAGTTGTCGAAGCCACGCTCCCCTTACTTGTCAAGATGTCAACAAGCTGGCCAGCTGCAAATCGGCTTCCAGGCCTTGATCTTCTCCGGCTTCTAGCTGCGGCGTCTCCCGTAGCAGCGACCTGGGATCAAGGTGAAGGGAACCTAGTATCCGTGATAATATCAAGTGGTGTATTTGATGCTCCCCTCAGCCCCAATAACACCATGTTGGCCATCCGGATGCTAGCAAACTTCTTCGAAACGGAAGCCGGCCGCGCACTAGTCGCTGGCTGCTTCGAAGAAGTTACAAGCAAAATTGGCTCTGTCATGTCAGACTCCGTTGCGGCTGGAAACCGCAATGTAACCATTGCTGCAGCAACATTATACATTAACCTTGCTGTTTATTTCACATCAAAAGAAAAGGTTGACTCACCAGAGGCATCCGAGCATGGTCTTGTGCTTATCGACCAACTTACCAAAGTCCTCTGCAACGAGAAGGATTCTGAAGCCGTATATCGAGGACTAGTCGCCCTCGGAACATTAGTTGTTGGCCTTGACCATGAAATCAAGGCAGCAGCAAAGGAGATTTACGAGCTCGATCGGACGCTGACACGGGTTTTAGATGCCGGGTTCGGGCGGGAGCCAAGAGTTAAAAGTGTCATAAGCGAAATTAGAGATACAGTTAACTAGATCAGGCAGCAGAAGCATGTATACGGAAACATGAGCGTTACGTATATAGAAACTTGAAATTACTAATTATATGCACTCCCTTGCCGTTGTTGTGTTGCGCTTTGATCTTGGTTGGGCCGTTAAAAATGTGACACCGTCAATCCATAATTTTAGCATGCCACCCATCCTTTCCCCAAGGTACTTTGGATAAGCTAGTCTTCCAAGCACTGAACATCAATTACCCAAAGCATAATGCGTGTTTTTTATACCCTGCAGCTAAGGATAATCCTCACAGCCTCTCGGATCCATTCACATCAACTTCCACTACCTGGTCAACCCCTGGGTACTCTGGTATCTCCAGTCTATACTTCCCCGCAACATCAGGAGTTAAGAATCTTCCACCCAGGAAATGTCTCCCCTTAAACCATTTAACGCACGGCTTAGCAGCCGTCAAACTAACCAGTACATCTGGCATGAATTTCGAACCGGGGCCATCCTTGGGCGGCCCAGTCTCGATGTCCCATGAGCTCGGCGCATCGACGCTAAGAACAGGAACCTTCGTCTCTTCGAGTTGCGATATTATGGCTGGAAACGGGTCTCTGAGGGGTCCACTGAAAGAAAAGCCAAATATAGCGTCCACAACCAGATCGGAGGATTTGAGGGAATCAGCGAAGTCGGAAGTGAATGGCACGGACAGATTCTTCAGCTGCGTTTTCAGGCGCTGGGTAGACTTGTTTAGACATCTTTACCTTGGTGTATCTCGCGTGATATATGGTAACGCACCTCATATAGCTCGCTTTTGCCTTGTTTCGGGTAGTACACGGTAGGTTTATACCCGTAATGTGCGAGATGGCGAGCAGCAACTAGACCATCCCCTCCTATACATCGCTAGAGGTCACTACTTGCCGAGAATTATATCTTATTCCAATAAACTCGCTAAGGTATTACCGTTATTTCCTGGGCCACAGGCGACTAGAACGTTGCGGCCATCTTTGGGCGGGTGGACACGGTACACTAAAAATATCCGAGAGTCGAGAGCAGTCAGTTAAGATGCTCCGAGCGAAGATTTCCTGTATACATAGCAGAAGCCAACATATAGTTATTGGGTATCATACCGGCCTGTGAGACGGACAGCCCGGCTAGTTCCATTAACTGGTCGATGGAGAAACCTCCCGTATCCATGAGGTCTTTATCCAGAGAGGAGGCATCCTTGGAGTTGATCGTCTGAGGGTATCATTAATCTGGTGTTAGCGTAGCCAACTAAATATACAACAATGACTTGTTATATCCAAAATAAGACGATAAAATAACATTTGTTGGACACTCAACTTTTAACGCCATAGAGGATAGTCTTCTATACTTGTAGATGGATGTAAACAATGGCCGTGGTAACAAGACTCCCCGCATCCGAGCTGCACAAGTCAACAACGAAATATCACCACACAAGCCTACTATATACGAAATATATATGTAATAAAACCAACAATTAACCACTTTTCATGAGTTCATCTGTTCGTCACTTGCATAAATCAACATCTCAGCTTGATATGAAGTATGACGTTTTAGAATTACATAAGTAAGCGTGGCACGTGATTTTAAACGGAGAATTAAATGTCCGGTTCCGGATAATTTTTGACGGACCGCAGACGAAGGTGAAGATCAAGAGATCAAGATCGGTAGATTATACAGAGAACGAGCGCCAGGTCGACGTTGAAAGAGAGGCTTATATCCTATAGTCTGGTCCAATTGATTTAACCGCGATCTTCCTATTCAAAATTCATAATGGTGCTCCGAATTCGACTGTCCCGTTTCGGCAGAAAACATGATCCTTTCTACAACATTGTGGTCTCCCAAGCAAAGTACGTCTCCAGTCAATGCCTCCAGTGCTTCCTCAGTGAAGGCTTGTGCTATCTCTATGAGCTTCGATACAGCTGTGGTGGTGATTTTTTGTGCTAACTGGCCCTTGCTTTTTACAGAATTGCACGCGACTCAAAACCCATCGAAGTCCTCGGAACATATAACCCAGTACCACAAAAGCCAGTTGGCCTCTCAGACAGAGAAGCAAAAACCGCGAGACCATATAAGGATATTGCGCTGGATCAAATAAGGACAAAATACTGGCTTGGTGTAGGTGCTCAGCCTACTGAGGGGGTATGGCGGTTGTTAAGCATGGTACGTTTGACCCCGTGCAATTCTTCAGCGCCATGAGAGGGTTGGAAATTCCCTTCTGCTCGAAATGGGAGAAATAGGCAGCAGTTAATTAAAAGGTTACGGCTACTGATGGTCATGAGTGTGGACAGATCGGTCTAGTTGAGCCGAAAATAGGCAAGGCGCAAACGACCCAGACAAACGAGAAGGCCGCGGGAAAGGCGGCAAACACCAATTAATTTGGGCCCCCCTTTTTAAACGAACCGAGCCGTCTTGAAGACAGCACGCCCGTTGAGGTAATTAATTCTCATCCACAAGGACAAGGCAGCGGGCAGAGAAAAGGCTGGTACATCACATCGAACGTACCTGGACGCCTTGCTTTGGCTCCCCCCATTCTTCTTTGGACTTCAAGTCCAAATCCTTGTCTGCTGTATATTACATACCCACGTTTTCTTTTTCTTCTTTTTCTGCTTTTCCGAAGCACATCTGTTCTCGATGCGGTCACCATATGTATCACATACAAGCATTTCTGCTGCCTTTTATAGTTGAATTGGGATGGGGCGTCTATCTGGTTGGAAAAGATCATGATGTGTCGATAACTTATAGGTACTATCATTAGACGGAATGGATCTTTATTATCGTCACCCACCAGGCGGAGAAATATACCCTTCAATTCCGCGGGCAACTGGACTTATCCTGCTATCTCTGTACTGAATACCGTGGTACCTGGAGTGATCAGCAGGCAATTCCCTGGTAAGTATACATTTCGCCATGGTCTAGCCAACATACATGGCTTGCTACAGGACACCAGAGAGGCCAGCACTAGGACATCTTCGTCCCTTTCCTTCTACATGTATGTTGCCGCTCTTCTTTACGAGTCTGACGTGTCAGCTGTTATCATCCAGATGCTGTCCAAATGCAGATAAGATAGTGGTTTCAGCGATCTCAGACAGGCAATTTGGACAAACTAGTACCCTGTAAAACAAGGGGTAAGAGGACAGAAGAGGAAAAAGCAACTTTGGCTTCGTTTGTTGCCAGTTTGACTGCAGCTCGTATCTTGAAGGCGGCACCTCGTCACTGGCGTGGCGGTTGTGATGATAATGCGCCTGTACCAGTGTCCTTATCTCGCAGGACCAGAGTATTCACAGGGGGAAGCTGGTTTGCACTCCCCTGAAGGTAAAGGGTTCATGCAGTGTGCAGAAGAGGAATATGGATGTAGATGTATATGGAGGGTCAGATCAATGGGGTGGACGTAGTATCGATATCAAAGCCATATAAGCACACACCCCCTACTGGTGATATTATGACACCTCCGGGTGGTTGCATTATATCGTATTAAATAATTATGAATATTACAGCTAGAAATAATACATAACATTTCTCAGTCATTGTATCTTCCTGATTCTTCCACGGCTATTGCCAACAGCTAGCGCTGTACTCCGTACTGGCGCCGACGAAAGCAATTGTAGGTATGGATATGGTGGAAAGCTTCATTCATGACTGCCGATTGCTATAGGATGATTGGTATACGAAGTATAGGAGTTGACCGGGTAAGACGCTTGTAGATTATATTTTTCAGATGGAAGGAAGCTCTGGGGCTGAAATCTAGAGGAAGATGAGCTTCAGCTCTTGTATATCTTTTGTTAGCCGAGAGGATTAGCATTCTCGGCTGTCTTGGGTGAATGGAAGCTTCTATACTTGGATGTTGCTCACGAGGTCAACAAAGCAAGATAGATACGGAGTACTATCTTGAACCCTTTTGCCCGTATTGAGAACTTCAACAGTCACTGGCGTCCCAAGCTGCGATTTACTCGAACGCCACAGGTGAGCCTCTTTATATAGCCAATAGCTTTCACGAGGACAAGAGAAAGGTCGTAGTGACTATCGAATGGGCGGTGGCGACTATACCGCTAATACCTCAACGCAAACTCCGCGTGGTCCCCGACAGCCAGAAATAACCCTGAACGATTCATGGACTTGTACTCCGTACTGGTTGCTCTTTGACCACATTTGAAGGATGCTAATTGCCGACACGGTCACTGCTGCATAAACAGGTACCGTTTAACAGCAGAGAGCTTGTTCAAAAAGCGCACTAAACGGCCCCATCGCGTGTCCAGGGTTCCCCATATTCTGGCCTAAACAACCCTAGGAAAAAGCCACGATGGATACAACCTTGAGAACCTCGTGAAGCACCATCGATGCCCGGAGATGCTCTGACCATACTCCGTACACGTTGATCGCGGGGGGCCAGGAAGGTTTCCAGCTCAACAGATCGGGTATAATTCTCGAGATATGATCTCCCCCTCGAGCCCACGCTTCCTCTTTTGGGTATGGGAGTGCGATGTCATCTGCAGCAGCAAACACTGCAACAGACCGACTTCTCAGCCAGCCACCAGGACATCTCTATAACTATCCAGATCGAAAGAGAATCTCCGTGATCACACACGGAAAGAAGTAAAGAAAAAGACAACACCCAAGACCAGCAGCCCAACCTCGACCCCGGAGCTCCCCTAGGGCCGGAGCAACAAGGGCATCCGACCTGACGCCGAGCTCTCCCCGATAGGGGTCTCTGGGACTATCGATAATATATCTGCGAGGGGAGAAAGAGGGTGGCATTTTCGTGTCCAGTTTTCTTTCAGGTCCAATTATACTGATCGAACAGGTAAAACCTTGAGATCGCGACCAGGATATGTCACAGGGATAAACCGGGTCGGCCGATGCAGAAAAAGAAAGCAAGTAGAAAGGGAAAGGAAAGAAAAGGAAAGAAAAAAAAAAAATTCTATTTTCGATCCCAACTCTGGTAGTCGGTTCTCCATGGCGTTTTGAACGAGTTATCTGGGCCTCCAGAAAGTTGGTTTTGGTAGGGGGGAGCAGCAAGCTTGTAACCCCCTGAACCGTTGAACGGTGTTTTGAGTAGCCGAACATCCACGGAAGCTGAAAAGCCCGTGTATGAAGGCGTAATATGAGCAAACTTACCCTTACCCGGCTAGTTAGCTAATGCAGCCCGCCGCACTCCGTCTAGCTAGTCAGTTGCACTTGGATGGACTCAAAAATGGGCAAAACTCACACCAAGAGGAGGAGAGAGGCTGAGGTTGCTGTTCCCCTTGTATATGCCGGCCTTTCTCACGTGTGAGCTACCCCCGTACTCCGTACAGAAAGACGAAGGCCTTGCATGAACTGTGACATGGATGCAGCAGCTAGAGAGAGGCCAACACACTTGGCAGGGAGAGAAAGCAAGCAGGAGCAAGAAGGGACAGAATGGCCGATGCAGGGACCTGTCGGGTGCGTTTGCATGCAGCGTGGGACAGATGATATATGTTATATCCATCTCTCTGCTTGAAACGGCAGCCCGGATGGAAAGTCGATATCAGCCCGATCTCTTAACAGCTGCTTTGCCAATAAAAAAAGTAAGAAGTAAGAAGACTCTAACTTAGTTATATAAAAAAAGATGATGAAAAAAAAAAAAAAAGAAACTTGACCGACGCAGGACTCGAACCTGCAATCTCCTGATTCGTAGTCAGGCGCCTTAACCAATTGGGCCAGTCGGCCTGTTTGATGTGTTGGAGAGGCCGGCCAGTTGCTCTACTAAGCTAACACACGATATGGCAGTGCATAGTTGACAATGAGGACAGAAGAGTAGAAGTCGTAGAGAGAAGGACAGGCTATAGAACTACAGTCTTGCTGACAGCGCAGTTTTTACCCGGTTTGGGATGAAAGATAAGGAGTCACCGGATCACAAAATCAGATCATTGACCTCGTTACAGAGTACGGTGGAAGAGAAGGCTATCATAATGGCTTGGGATAGTAAAGGTAATATACACCTACATATACTTAAGTGTGTGTAAGAATATGCTATTCAGTACCCCGTATAAGATATCTATTAAGATTCTAACGACGACTAGACTGTCTATCTATCTATTTATAGGCATCCAATATCTGTTAGTAGATGGATGCCAGTAACCTTTACATCCTCTCTTTGACTATCCCCATCCTAAGCAGACATGCTTTGCTTACATACTAGTTATAGAGGCCTATCAGCCCTGGGAGGTCCGACACCTTAATGTCCAATATGCTTCGACGCTCGACGATCCCCCACGTACCCAGTTCATCGTGATGGAACGTGTAGAGCGTTTCTCTCTCCACTACTATCATATCTGAGACCCGGACTCGGAAGATGAAGTCAAGTCTTCGTCATGGGCCAGCCATCAGCTTAAATATGTGCACCAATGACGTCTTGCCACCCATCCTTCTAAGAGGCTGTGGGCATGTCTTACCTTGCAGATGCTTGTAGTGAAGTGACAGTGTAGGCCTTCCTACGACAGGTTATACTACAGAATATTCATCTAGATACTAGTTACTATCGCTGCCGTGCTGCTACAAGTGTAGCAAACATACCCCGTAGAAGAGACTGCTCTATGTGGCGGTATATCCTACAGAAACGGACGACGACAGATCCGAAGCAGCCACATAAAGTACCGTATAGTGAAATTAGGCTACTTTATGCTAGCTTTCAACCCCTCGAAAAGGTACCAGGTATCGAGCAACGGTCAACTAGGCTATAGTTGCTTGCATGCATGTCGTTTACAGGGTTTCCAACGGATGGCCCAAATCTTCCTCGTGTTCTGACCCCGTAAATTACTTCCGCTTAACGGTCAAAGTGGCTTAAACACACGGACAAAGATCTCCATGGGCCATAGAAGGCAAATAACGAAGACATCCATGAGGGAAGAAGTTGTAAGTCGTAAATCATGTATATGGGGAGTATATGGACTGTGAACGAGGATAGAAGAAGGCAGCTTCTTATCAGGATCCTAGGCGGCTGGAAAAAAACATCCTGGGCCTTCAACTCCACAAGCAAACAGGCCGACTGGCCCAATTGGTTAAGGCGCCTGACTACGAATCAGGAGATTGCAGGTTCGAGTCCTGCGTCGGTCAAGTCAAGTTTCTTTTTTTGCTTCTTTTTTTTGCTTCTTCTTCTTCTTGTCGCTTCTTTTCGTCGTTTAGGGCGTTGGATCTGTTTGTCGCGGAAGTGATAGACGACCAGTGATGCCAGATCTAAACGTGGGTGACGATAGAGTGTTCACCTAGGGGCCCTCTAGTAGAGAGGAACAGTGACTATCTAGTCATTATTTGGCCCTCGGTGACACCTGATGTGCTCTGTGTCGGGCATGTACCCGCCTGGGAGGGGGACAAGAGACGGACACGGCAGCAAGACCGGGGCAGCGAGAGGAAGGTTGATAGCTCCCTCCATGGGCATGGTAACGGAGCACGCTACGAATATCTTAAATCACCCCGGGGGAAAACGCCCACCGGACGGAAAAGCAAAGCATGGCATGGCATGAAGCAAGCAAGCAATCAACCAAGCTGGCTGCCCCCTCCACGGCCACTGCCTGCCTGCCTGCCTGTCTGGAGCTTCCCTCGCTTCCAACGTGGCTATCCATGGTACGGATAAACGGTTCTGCCCCCCTCGTCTTGCTGCTGGTAGTGGCAGCCTGTAACTCGGCGTCGACAGGTGCTACCCCTGTGCAAGGTCAGGACCAGTCCAAGCCCACACCCCAAGCCAGAGTAGAGTCACTTTCCACCACCAACTACAAAAAATAAAAAAAGCCAAAAGCCAGGGAAAAAGAACGAGCCAGCGTGGTGGTTGATTGGCCGCGCCAGAAGCACGACGAGGGAGGGCAGGACTGGTGGAGATGCCAATCAACGGGTCTGATGGCCGGTGTGTGCTTGATGGCGCAGGTGCTAGGGGGTGTGTGTGGTTGGTGAGTGGTATTCGACCAGGCAAGCAGCGAAGAGCAGGCCTGAGGAGCGGTCGATTGGCCGGGGGTGGGAGAAAGGGGAGGACCTGGTTGATGCCGGTGGGCCAGACATCGGGCCCTTGGAGCTAGTATCGTATCTCTTCGGTATCTGTATCTGCTGTACCCGTCTACCTATCTTTCCTCTCCTCGTCCTCTTGTCCCCGGTTGGGTTGGGGTTGGGTAGGCGTGGTGTTATGCATTCCGTAGAGTTGCGTACGGCGTAAGGGGCAGGGCGCAGGCGGTACACGGAAGTTTGATATTGACCGATATCAGCCACTTTTCGACCGTTTTGCTTCCTTCTTTTTGGCTGTCCGTCGTCTCTCGAGCGTCTCCTTGCTCTGTATCCTGTGTATGAGCGTGTCCAGATAGGTTCATGGTTGCTTTTTCTCTCTGTCCCCGTATCGTTTTGGCCCACTGCCTGCATCCGCCCTCTGACTGGCCTCTCCTGGCCTGGCTCAGCTCGCTCCAGACCATGAGGCAGGCGTTGATGTGCTTCTGTTTCTTCCTCTTCCCGTAGTTCTGCTTCCTTTCCTTTCTTGCTTGGGTCTTTTTTTGTCTCGTCCTCGCTGTCTGTCGCTGTCTTTCCGGTCCCAGTGGTCGTTTGCTCTCTGGCCGACTCTGCTCGTCTCTGCCGTGCGTCCCTGACCTGCCTGATCCTCCAGCGTAGTAGCAGACGGAGACGTCGTCTTGTCTCGTCCTGTTTCTTCCCTCGACCTCGTCCGTCGATTAGCATCAACCTGTCTTCTTCTCCTGTCGACGTCGAGACTCCTGGTTGCCGTCTGTGGTCCGTATACTCTGGATCATCTCCCATATCATATCAACCCAGCGTCTCACCTTATCTCTCCTCCTCTCCTCCTCCCTTTTTTTCATATCTTATCTTCTTCTTCGTATCTTCTCTTCTTCTCTTCATCATCTTCATCTTCATCTTCCGTCTCGTCTGACTGTTGCAGTTCTATCATGGTTACGCCGCGCGTTAGTTAGAATCTCAAGGCTTCAGGCAACAACTCTGCTTCTCTCCAGCTTCAACCCTTCGACCCTCGACTATCCAAGCCTCCAAACTACTCACTCGCCCTTCAACCGTCGCCAGCGAGCTTCTGCGACCCTCGTATCTCTCCTCGACCTCTTGCTGCGGCCGCCGTCACTTGCGCCGTCCGCTGTGCCTGTTTTCCCTTTTCCTCCCCCCTGTCGTTGCGCGCGCGTACTGTTTGCATCAGCCGACTCTCTGCGCTGCGCTGTGACTTCGCGCCCCCTTTCGCTCCTCCTGTCTATCACCAGCGCCTGCGACCCTCTCCTCGCTCGTTCTCCCGGTCTGGCTCGGTCCAGCAGGA